AATAACTAAAAGGTAAAATGTGATACAATCAGAATTATAGATTCCTAGATGCACAATATAAATGCAGAATTTCTTTAGGGCATAAAGGAACAAATGAATCCATAACATCAAATTTTATATTAGTTCGCTCGACACCTACATACATCACAAGTTCAAAATCCTCGGATGACTTGACATACATGTTCATTGGGTTTAAAAAGATCGAGTCTAAATTTTACTCTATGTTTTTGAAAGCCACATATTTTTATTTTTTAATAACAGCTAGTTGATCAAAATCCATGATTAATTCATGAAGAGACCCTACTAGGACATTAATATAAACCAAAATCCTGACTATGCATAATGTACCAAAACAAAAAAAAATTTCCCCAATAAACACATGCAGTAATGCCTGCATGTTTATGATATTTAAAACATCAATCCAAATCATTTTATCACATGATCAGAAATTGAGCAATTTGTAAGAGATAATGCTTATATATAGTAAAATTACCATGGAAAGAAATATCTTATATTCAACCTAGTTAAACTATAGTTTTCACAAATGTTGTACAAAATGGAAATATCTGTTTGATTTTGCAAAATTATGTTTACAGAGGACTTCATCTCTGATCTGAAGCACTTTGGTATTTTTTTGATAACCCCATACTGTTAATCTACCCAAAAAGCCAGTCAATACTGTTTATCTCTAACCTTCTGTATCATTGTTTGAGAAAATCAGGTCAAAGCCATTTTTGCAACAGCTTAGATGCCACAGGGACTATTTTGTTGAAACTAAATATAAAATTTTTGCAACTGTGCAACACTTTGACATTCACAATAAAAAATGTTTCTGCTCATACACTAAAGAAAGTGCAGCTATAAATACACGTATCTGACAAGACTCTAGCTCTACTGATTTGTATTCATTGTAAAGGTGGAGAAAAATAAGCATCTGGACTTCAAAATTTGTAGGTATTACAAGACTAATATAACAAATTATTATTTTTTGTTTAGACTTGCATATGTACCAAGTTTTATGAAATTCAGAAAAAAAAACAGAGATGGCCATAAGATTAGCTCTTTGAAGCATTGTTAAGCCTTTGGCTCAGAAGAGCTAAAAAGACACAGTGAATTCTGTACCTTACTGGCTTAGTCTTTTTAATTGTGTACCAATTCATTGAAATATGATCATAAAAGTTAGATAATGAGTCAAAATATATTGTTTTTCTTTTCTTTTAAGATATCTTTATCATAAACCAAAAGATTTTATTAAACATAGGTAATCAGAGATTACAGAGCTCACCTCAACGAATGTTGTCTTTAAGTAAGGCAAAGTCACACAATTAATCAACAAAAAGTGTACATTCCAAAAATGAAAATATTTAAGCAATTTTGACCTGATACTTTGAAATAGACCCACATAAACAATTTAAACTAGTTCTTCTTCATGAAAATGTAATCAAAATCCAGCATCTGAAGCAAATTTGAGAATTTTCATCTCTTGATGAACACTTTAACCTGTTCACTCAACCGCAAAATGTAGGTCAGATTCAGCATCCGAAGCAAGCCCGGTAGTGTGCATCCTTAGATGTATCATCCATGCAAGTTTGGTCAACATAGGGCTAAAAGTTACTTGGAAATCAAACTTACACCAAAAACTTTAACCTGTTCACTCAACCGCAAAATGTAGGTCAGATTCAGCATCCGAAGCAAGCCCGGTAGTATGCATCCTTAGATGTATCATCCATGCAAATTTGGTCAACATAGGTTTCATAGTTACTTGGAAATGAAACCTACACCAAAAACTTTAACCTGTTCACTCAACCGGAAAATGTAGGTCAGATTCAGCATCCGAAGCAAGCCCGGTAGTATGCATCCTTAGATGTATCATCCATGCAAGTTTGGTCAACATAGGGCTTATAGTTACTTGGAAATGAGACCTGCACCAAAAACTTTAACCTGTTCACTCTACCGGAAAATGTAGGTCAGATTCAGCATCCGAAGCAAGCCCGGTAGTATCCATCCGTAGATGTATCATCCATGCAAGTTTGGTCAACATAGGGCTTATAGTTACTTGGAAATGAGACCTGCACCAAAAACTTAAACCTGTTCACTCAACCGGAAAATGTAGGTCAGATTCAGCATCCGAAGCAAGCCCGGTAGTATGCATCCTTAGATGTATCATCCATGCAAATTTGGTCAACATAGGTTTCATAGTTACTTGGAAATGAGACCTGCACCAAAAACTTAAACCTGTTCACTCAACCGCAAAATGTAGGTCAGATTCAGCATCCGAAGCAAGCCCGGTAGTATGCATCCTTAGATGTATCATCCATGCAAATTTGGTCAACATAGGTTTCATAGTTACTTGGAAATGAAACCTACACCAAAAACTTTAACCTGTTCACTCAACCGGAAAATGTAGGTCAGATTCAGCATCCGAAGCAAGCCCGGTAGTATGCATCCTTAGATGTATCATCCATGCAAGTTTGGTCAACATAGGGCTTATAGTTACTTGGAAATGAGACCTGCACCAAAAACTTTAACCTGTTCACTCTACCGGAAAATGTAGGTCAGATTCAGCATCCGAAGCAAGCCCGGTAGTATCCATCTGTAGATGTATCATCCATGCAAGTTTGGTCAACATAGGGCTTATAGTTACTTGGAAATGAGACCTGCACCAAAAACTTAAACCTGTTCACTCAACCGGGAAATGTAGGTCAGATTCAGCATCCGAAGCAAGCCCGGTAGTATGCATCCTTAGATGTATCATCCATGCAAGTTTGGTCAACGTAGGGCTTATAGTTACTTGGAAATGAAACCTGCACCAAAAACTTAAACCTGTTCACTCAACCGGAAAATGTAGGTCAGATTCAGCATCCGAAGCAAGCCCGGTAGTATCCATCCTTAGATGTATCATCCATGCAAGTTTGGTCAACATGGGGATTATAGTTACTTGGAAATGAAACCTACACCAAAAACTGCACCAAAAATGTTAACCTGCTCCAAAAACATTAACCTGGTCATTCCTTTGCAGAAATTGCAGCATCTGAAACTTTGACTGGTACAATGAAACACACTATAACCATCTTCCATGCATGTCTAATCAATATAGGACATAGAAGTACTTAAAAAGAAAACTGCTCCAAAAAACTTAACCTTAACCTGGGACGCCGACGCCGACGTGGACGCCGACGCCGACACCGACGCCGACGCCGAGGGTATTACATAAGCTCCCCCAACTTCGTTGAGGTGAGCTAAAAATATGAGTATAGCTTAAGGTATGACATACTCAATGTGTACTGTAAAGCAAGAAAAACTGCAAATAAAATACAAGTACCAGAAAACAAAGGTATCTACAGTTTTGTTGTTATTGTGCAAATTTAATTGTAAACTTATAGACAAGACTGAACTGGGGAATGCAAAGGTGAGAAATATGTTTTAATTCTTTGGTACTTGAGTCCATGGTAACTTCAACTTTTCTGAGCTTGCATACAATAAGGAGGAAGAATTGAAGCAATATTTTTCCTTGGACCCGACAATTTCTAAATATAGGAATGTGTACTGTTTAATAAAATTCCCAATTGATGTATTTCAAATTTATGTGTTGCAGATAATAAGGATTAAGGACCTTTTTTCCATAAATTAGTAAAATACCCAATTATATTGATACAGGTATGTTTCAGTGCACTGTGATATAAAAATAGAATATACATGTGTGAAGCTTAGGAATTGCAATTTCATGTGTAATACTAGTATGCTATAATTTTAGATCCTGAAGAAGAAAATGTAAAATTCAATTTTTCAAAAATTTAAGAGAATGATTGAAATAGAATAATGAACTAAGGACATGGTTATGCAACACAAGTCTGAACTTGAATTTCTTTTTCCTTGTATTATGTAAGAGTTTCAATAACTGAAGGACCTTAGTGTAATCCTATGATGCCTACATAGTAATGCTATACACATCCTCTGAATCAAATTTCTAGGAAATACCAACAGGAAATATATTTTTGGTAATTTTTCTTTTAAAAATACAAGGTATCATTTAATATTTGTTCAAAACACCCCCAAAGGCCTCAAAAATAATGTATTATGTTTTTTTGCATAGGAACATCTGATGCTACTATGGTTAATTAAGAATATCCTGGAAATTATTAGTGGGAAATTTTTATTGTAAAGTACCTGTATACACACATTGCATATGTCCTTAAATGTGTCAAAGTGAAATTTAATTTTAGTGATTTCAACACCCTTGCTAAAAATGACACAATTGTCTTGAATACTCACTCTAAAGTTTCTGCTTAAACTGAACTAAATGTTTTGCAAAGTTTCTTGTATGCTAATTCAAGTATATGCTGATATATGATTTAAACAAATGTAGACAGAAGTTCAAGTTGTTCCAAATCACTGATTTCTAGTTTTGCTGATCAGTTGTCGAGGAAGATTATGCTAAATTCTAAGTGCACTAATACAGTCAAATCTTGTTGTCTCTAACTAAATGGGACCAAGAAAAAACTTCGAGATATTCAATGACTGGAGAATCCAGGGTAAAACACTTAAAGAATAAGTGGTTAGGACTTCCAAATCACCTCGACATATCCATAGAATTCAAGATATCGGTGTTCAAGATAGGTAAGTTCAACTGTATACAGAGTATGTACTTTTACAGCATAGAAACAGACACACAGACAAGCAAAGATCAAACCTATAAGACCTATAATCCCTTGGTTTTTCCTGGCAAGGCAAAAGAGAGGGATCATGATGGTCATCAAAGTACTGTAGATCACTAAATTTTCGCAACACTTTATTTTCGCGAGATAGTCATTGATTCTTGATTAGCGAGACAAAATTTTCACGAATTTTGGTCACTGCTCTATATAATCTTAAGGAATACTATTTTACGTGAGAATTAAAATTTTGCGAGCACACTGTCTCGCGTAATTACTCGAAAATAAAGTCCTCGTGAATAAAAAGTGATTTACAGTAATATAACTTTGATTTAGAAGAGCACTAACCTCTGTAGAGTCTGGCTGAACATTCTCCAGATTCCTGTTGGACAGATATTCCACTAGATCCAGGAATCCAGCGGTGATATCCATTGTCACACAATGGTGGGTAGGGGCCGTTCTCTCCACGATCTCTATGTTCAGTGGTTTACCTATTAATCTGTTAAAGAGTTTTAAAGATCTGACTTAATAAATATATTTCTTACCAAAAATAATTACTAGAGGCCCATGGACAATAATGCTTACCTGCATTCAATATGACTTGGGAATAAAAATTTATGTGAGTTTATGTGGTTAAGACTTTTAAAATTAAATTAAAACTATAAATTTTGATGTCAAACCTCAGTTGTGATTCTATTCTTACCCATGGTGAGCAAGCTTGAATTTCTTAACACTGTGGAATCAAAAATGTTCATGGGGGAACAATGTTCATGGATTTCTTGTGTCACCCTTCTCAACAAATTAACATCCTCACAAAAAATTCTCTGAATCTTCTGTAAATATGAGTTACCCAGCAATAAGGGTCTTGGGAACCAAACAAACTTTGCTTACCCATGAGAATATAACACTAAGACTTAACATGATTTCACAGAAACTGTTGAACTATTTTGTTTTGGGATGCCTTGTGGTAATTAGGTTAGGGACAGGACATTGAAAATACAAAAAGTTAACCAAAAAGATGGAGAAAAGACTACTGAGCATCTGACTAAATTTGATAGGATAAAATTCAAAGAAAGAGCTTTCTTAAGGAAACTAGACCTGAAAGCCAACAAACCTTAGATGGTCATGCGGCAAGGCCCCAGAAAAGGCAGCTCGTAGCTCCTTCACTTCTTTACCGCTGGCAGCACTAAATGCTTGCATTTTCTGGAAATACTGTGCAGCAATTGCCTTCATTTGATTCTTGTTGTCTGCTTTGGCACTGGTAGACAGGTCCACTTTCTGGGAGGGATTTTCATGCAGTAAAGCCAGAGAGAAGAAGGCTGCTCTCAAGTGATACCGGCAAAGTTCTGCAGTAGGATCATCAAACAAGCGCTGCATTGAATCTATAAAGTAAAAGGTGGTACATCAAAAATTCACTTACATGTATTACATTGAAATGTCTAAATGCCATCATCCAAAATTTTCTTTAAAACAGAAATGATATAAACTTTGATTTTGATTAACTGCATTCTTCTTTTATACAATATGATCTTTTTTATCAAAACTTAAAATGAAAAAAATATTTAAGTTTCAAAATACATACCTCTTCCAGTTCTAGCATCTCTTTTTGATCCAGATTTCGTGGCTGCAATATGCAGTAAAATTAATGCGCATATTACTTAAAACTGTTTCTATAGTTGCAAAAATTAGGAACATAGAAGTACACGTAAAGGAATTTAAAACACTCTAGATTTTAAGACGATGAATTTCAATTTTTTTTTAAGATGAAAGATCTTTTTTTTGATATTTTTTTTTGTGTAATTTTAGGGAATATACATGTAAATATAATTGTGTTATTTAGTCAGGACAGGTCCAGGGAGGTTAAATCGCTCACTTGTGACAGTGCTTCCTGATCTCCCAGAGGCCGTGCTGAAGTTACTGTTTATAGAAGACTCCATGTCTCTCATCTGGTCTGGGGCTAGGGAAAAGTACTGTTCTTCTCCTGTAAAAATTAAATGCATTTAAAATTGTTGTGAGGAAGTGAGAATTTTTTTTTGTTCCCCTCTTCATATGAATTTTAACATCCCTTGATTAGGTCTGTAAAAAGGAAAGAAACTCTTGTCAGCAGCAATTTGAAGATTTAGAATGTAGCATTGTATCTTTTTTTTAAAATTTAAACAATTTATTTCCCTCTTAATAGTACTCAAGCAGTAATTGATAGAAGATGTACCTACTCTTGACTTTGTTGAAAATATTTTTATGCCCCATGCACAGTCATCCAACACTACCAGCTATGCTGAAGAATAAACTTTCTACAAATGAGAAGAATAACATTCGTACCTATAGAGTGAGTCATGATATCTTGGAGATCTGTGGCCATCATTGTGTCTGTCTGGTGGAAGTGGATTCTGTCCGAGTGGAGCTGCCGCTGGAGCTCTGTCTCCACCTTCCTGTAATCCTCGTCACTCATTGGTTTACTCTTACTTCTGGCCCGCCTCCTGCCTCCCTCATTAGAATCTGAATAAAATTGGTATTAATTACAACAATCCGATGTTAGAATCTGAGTCAAAAATGCATTATATTACAATACACGCAAATCCAACTTGACTGAAATCTCTGTAAAGAGATATTTGAAAGATTTTATATCATTTGATTTCAAAGAGTAAAACTTGTTTAGTATGAACATGGAAACTGTGAATTCACGGATAGGGCGAAGTTATCTTGGATCCCCAGCTATATAAATTCAACAAATTCCTTATACTGATTTAACAAATTAAATATAATAGCAAAGTAATTTTATAGGTCCTAGTGACTTTTTTATAGCCGAGTTTTACTGTATTTCTTTTATTCTGTTATTCAAAGTAAAAAATATCAATGTATTACTTGGAGACAGAAACCCATCCACCAGATCAAGTACTGAGTGGAACTGAGCAGGACTCATCAGCAGGTGGACTCCTCCAACATCTAACTCTATCTCAACCTGAAATGAAAAACCTCTCAAACTACATTGAATTGTAAAAAAATGTATAAAGATAACATCTATATTAACGACATTAGATCCTGATATTTAAAGTCTTAAACTTTTTTTGCCAAGTATATTTTAAGTTTCTACTTACATAGCTTAATTAAATTCAAATAAAAAAATGGGGGTCAATATGCTTCTTATGGCGCTACAATACATTTAATATGACCTTCTTGCACTGAAATTTGTGTCTTAATTAAAAATTACATCTTCGACATTTTCCCTGCAATATTTTTATCCAATTAAAGCAAGAAACAAAATGAACTCCAAGTCTGTTTAAAAAAAGAAACTTTAAAATTGTAACTAAGAAAAAGTTTAAAATTACTTCGCATAATCAATTATTTGACCTTTCTACACTAATAAAATGTGATTTTTCTGGCATAGAAAATTTAATAAGCAAGAAATTTATTTTAAAGTCTTAAACTTTTTCTGAATTTAAGCAAATAGTTCAAGGTTATCTTGAATATTTAGAAAAGAACATCAAAAGTGGGGGTATATGATGTTAATTTTCAGATATTACTAAAAAAGTGTCAATTTTACGTTAAATTTTGCTCAATTTTTTCCAGGGTTTTCAGAATATATTTACTATATTTGTCACACTTTGTTGATAGAATTCATAAGAAATAGTTTAATAGATATTTCAGAACCAGCATGACACATTTTACTGCAAAAAACAGCTTTGTGTGCAACCAGAATGGAAAAATAGGAATCCAAAATAAAGAGTACTGTTATTAATAGTTCAAAAGGGAAAAACTGATGATTTTCGTCTAAAAAACCTTCCGCCACAAAATATAGTCCCTAGTTTAATTCAACTTGAATGGAATTTAATCGCGGTTTTTTCATTGAATATAGTTCAACCTGCATTGTAGAATTCAGATTTAATGTTAGAATTTAAAAATGATGCAGAATTTTATAACTAAAGGACATGACCAAAATCCACTCAAAAACTCAGGATCAAACGTCCTTAAGCACATTACGGAAAATGACCAATTACATCTCTAAGAATACTATGGTTTACATTTTCTGATGTCATTCAATACCCCAAAAATAATAGTAATTTATTCATATCACCAAAAAGGTCTGATCAGTAGATTATATTTAAACTGACACTTAAAACTAAAACATTTTCTACATTCTGCCTACTGATCAATTTTGGTTAAAGTTGATCTCAAGGTCTTTTGACCAAAGTTAGACATTAATTTTGTTCCTTTTTTCCTTAATACCCGAATCTTAATTATTTGTTCAAACCTATTGCTTTATCTTCAGAAAAATAAATTTTTGCCATACCTTTGGCCCCTGAACTCCCTCTTCCTGTTTGATTTTCACCTTTAGACTGGATCTTCCAGTAAAACCAGCAATCTGTACAGGATCGGAGAACACTTCAGTCACTGGTGATGTACCCTGCTGGTTGTCATGGGAACAGGGTGGGGAACTAGTGGTGGACATGAAAGTCTGGAATACAAAGAACTCAACATGACTACCGATAATTGTGGACTTACTATTCTCGTGAAGAAGATTTTTAAAGATTTATTCTGTATATATTCCTTTATAATTCTTAAGTCCTTGTTGTAGTCCCAAAGAAATGGATCTTTATTTAATAAAGACGCTTTATTTTTCAGAACAAGATTTATTTATGGCACCATTACATTATCTTTCTTTCCTTGAGTATTTCAATAAAGAGTGCTGTTCTTCATTTGAACTAACTTGAATCCCCTTCTAATAATGATGCTTTTAATTGTTAAAAATCTTGTTGAAATTAGTCAAAAGATACCTTATTCGAGGATAAAAATGTCAAAGGGACAACAAAGTGGAGCATCCCCTTACAAAGAACACAGCTAAAAATCAGGACAGGATGTGACGTGGATCCTGATATCCTGATGCAAATTACATCACTTCTGTTTTGCACAAGGACAAATTAACACCAACACAAACATATACAAGCATGTTACTTTATCCCCTCCAACTCTGTTGTGAGATGAAATGACAGCTAGGTGCCACTTAACAGACAGACAGAGGCAAGACACTTTTTGATCAGAAAATCTCACCATCTCCTTTGATTTTTTAGCTAAAATCCTTGAAACAATCTTTTTATCAATGTTTAGGAGAGATTTCACCATTTGTATGCTATATAATCACTGCATTATTTACCCACATTATATCTCCCACATCCCCAATCCACTGCTCAGCACTACATAATATTTTACCTGAGGAGATGAACCAGTGGAGTCCATTCTGTCATAATTCTGTTGGGTAGGACGACTGAACTCATCACACAGAATCTGAATGCCATCAATCAGGATGTTTTTGTGGGCCACTGCTGCTGGCTCCCATGTTGTTCTGGAGGCGTCATCTACTGGACTACCCTCCTCTTTAGCAAGGTCATCAAAATATTCAACTCTGTAAAGTTATATAAAATTAAGGACAAGATTTAATACAGGAAAGTTGCCTATAGATTTCTTAAAATTGAGAAACAAATTCTTCTAATGAGCCTTTACAAATATAGCTTGGTAAAATAAGATGTATTGAGACTTAATTTTTAGGTAATTTCAATGAAATTAAATACTTTAAACTGCCATTTTCAATTTAAAAAGAAGAATGTCAGCTTGCATAAATATGGGTTTTTCTCAATCTCAGATAAAGGAAATGTTTTAGTGTTGCCTACAGTCTCTCAGAAAACAGATTTTCATGAACATAGGTAGCCAGGCCCCATGACCATAAACTGATAATAGACTTAAGTCATCATTTTTATTCTGAATAACTTAAGTTTTATTCAAGACATGTTCTTAAAATTTTGCAGTTATGTATAATATTCAAATTCCAACAAATGATACAAATTCAATTTCATTATCATTTTTTTTTTCAAAAGTTATATCAAGTGATTTGAAATTTTGACTTAGGTAAGTCAATTGTTAGTTTATAGTCATGGGGCAAAGTTACTTTTGACATAATTTTGAACTGAATGCATAGAAAATGATTCATTTGCTACATAATTCTATTACTGTCTTAAAGAATGGGAAAAATCAAGTTTAAATCAATTATGATGCCATAATGGAGCTGGCACCAAAAAGAGTCTAAACTCATTAATTTTATTAGATCTTGGCATTAATGCTTGATGGTGAACATACAAGCCACAAAAACAGGCTAATCATTATTTTAATTTGAGACATCTTTGTTGGATAAGATTATGTTAAGTACATATATATTACTCTTTACCTTTTGATTTTGATTTCCAATGCTACACCTTTTTCGGCTGTGTTTGGTAGATGTTCTACTCTTATGACTGTGTCCACTAGAGTCACTTTCACTCTGCATAACACTAAAAAAAAGTCATATTCCCAAAATCTCAACTTTGCTCCTCATCATGATTATGATGAATTGTGTGAAATTTGTGTCTTGGTGCTTATTCAGCTCTCTTTTTAACTCTATATGCAACAGCTTTGATTTACATAAGAATGCATGCTTATATAGTTAAAAATATGTAAAAATCTAATATTGCACTGAAAGCAAACTTTGTGAAGGTTTCACAGTTAGAGATAGAGAGCTGGATATTTAACAAGATGTTTAAACATCAAGTTATACCCACCAGAGTCAATGGTCTGGGCAAATTTCTGTACCCCCTCAAAGGGTGTCCCTAGGTCCTGTCCCTGGTCTCCATCAGAGGTGGACTTCAAACAGTCCTCCGCAATCTGTAAACTGCTGGTCATACTGCACATACTATTGAACATGGTCTCCAATCCACCAACTGCATTAGGCAAATTGAAAATCATATTACCGTATTTGTATGTTGAGTTGATGGAACAATAGAACAATTCTTGAAACAGAAGACACTGCTTTATTCTGATTATGTTTCAAACGTAAATTTCAAATTTCTCTGATACTTTTTTGCAATATTTCACACAATTCAAATGAAAATGATAATTCCCTTAAATGTTAATGAGAGAGAAATAAGCAGTGTGGTAAATTCCTGAATCAGAGTTTAGAATGCAGATATGAGTGTAACAGAATTTTTTACCCACCATTTTGACTCCTCTGTCTTGGCTGTACAGTAAGCTCCAGTCCTTGAATCTCCAGCTCTGTACTACTCTGTATGAGGTTGGTCCAGGGAACAGACACACATATCTGATTGATGAAGCCATCAATTATCTCCAGAGGTACACTGCTGCTATCCAAAGCATCATTCAAAGCCTTCAAATTAAATCAAGTTTGCATGACCAGTTAAGCTCGACTATATTGTTTCTCAAAAGTTAACTATTACAACTTTACGATCTATTATATGGCACAATTTTATTTATTTAGAACTCTGAAGGCAAAAAGAAATTATAGAGAAAAAACTGCTCGAGGTTTCTTTGAACAAAGTCTTTCAGACAATTACTCGAGGCATAAATTATTCAACATTTATAAAAATATATTTCACTTTGTATTGAAAAAAAGGACAAAACTTAAAAGCCAATGAAGGAAAAAAATAAGCCCAAGAGCTTTTCCTTGGCATCAAAACTTCCCCAGTCAATGCCATCTGATTTCCTTATGTGACATCAGAATGTCATGTAATCCATGCAGTCGTGTATCTGTTACACCATGGCATAAAAATATTGCCAGCAATAACAAATAAGTAACTTTTAACAGGTTCCTGAGTTAAAAAAAACACTTACCTCTACATCAAGTTCTAGATCTTTGATAGAGCCTCGTCCATTGTACAAGTCAACACTCAGCTGGTCAAGGGATAATTTCTCTTTCAAAAACTGTCCCAGGTAGTGTTGTAAAAGATACCTACAAGCCCTTTTCTTCAGAAATTCTGTCCAAGGAAATGTCCAAGGCATTTTCTTGAAATAAGTTGTAGAAATATTTGGATATTAAAGCATTACATTGTTGTTAAAATGTAAACATTGGATGTAATTCGTCTCTCTTTATTTACGGACCTGACGTATTTTTGTTTTATTCCTGAAGAGTTCCACAAAGAGGAATAACTCTAAACAAGAAACTGCGCTTCAAGTATATCAAGGGCGGATCCAGGTTTTTTTCCCATTGAGGGTGGGGGTAGGGGTGTTATAAAGGGTCCAATAGTTTATACTACTAAAATAATTCATTAGAAATGTTTTGAGGGTAAAAAGGGAAAGGTGAACTCAAAAAGGTAACAGCCTAAACAAGCTGGTTGTTGTAAATATTGAGAAAAACACCTGCGCATGCATCAACAGTAGAAGCTTGTCTGATGTACATTAAAACTAGATACTTATACTTTTTGCAATAGACCATTCAGATTAGGAGTATCCTATAGATGTGCATTAGGGTTTTAGAATTTTAATTTTCACCCTCAGGGCCAAATAGCTATAGGAAGTAAAAAGTTGTGTTCTCTACAAAACCAAGTTTCTTGGAACTCCCAGCTCTTACATATGTTGCAATAGCCAATATATCTTTTGAAATTTAACTGGGAGTGTTCTGTAGATGTGCAATAAGGTTTTGGAATGTTCCTTTCCTTTTTTTATTGAGGGGGGCAATTTAGGTTAAAATAATGTTCTTTTTTTAAAAGCATGATTCGGATTTCCCCCTGATCCATTTACAAATTTTGCAGCTGTCAATTATTCATCTTTTGGAATATATGTTAGGATGTGTCATAGACAGGGATAGATGTGCAATAAGATTTCAGAATTTTCCTTTTCTCCAAAATGGGGGAGGGGGGTAAAGATGGAGTAGGGTTGGGATTCTTCTGTACATAATATATTAGTCAACTCATCTCTTACATGCAACATGTTTATGATTAAAATCCAATGGTTTGCCATATTGTAAATTTACATAAATTGTTAAACCCACCTGTCCCTGCAGTCCCTTCAAGATGTGATATCTTAAAATCACTGCAAGAATTTTATAAATGAATGAAAGTTATTCTAAAAATTCCTTTCAAGATATATTTAAATTGATCTTTGATACACAGATGGTGCTAAGGGATTAACACCCCAATCAGGATGGATAAAAGTATACATACTAGCCTTTGACTACAATCATGACAATAAATACTTTATATATAACAAAAGACCATTAATTTCTTTCTTTTATTCTGGTAACAAAACAAGATGCATAGAGAATTCTTGCAGTCTGAGAAATCAACAAATGAATATAAGAAACACACTAATATAATCAAAAGATAGTATAGAGATACATGGACCTTGGCAGACAAACATCAAATCAAAACTCTTATAGTTTCTATCCAATTTGTATGGAAAATGAATATTAAAATATGTTGTTTTTGTTAATCTGATCAATAAACCATTGTTTTTGTTAATCTTATAAATAAACAATGATACATTAAGTACAATGTAATTTCCATTCTGAAGAAAATTTTCTAAAGGCAATTCTATGAAAAGTTAAAATGATGCTATTCATTTTGGAAATATTTAGAGCTAGTTGTTTAAAATGCCTTCAACATTTCCAAATCACTTCAAAAGCAGAATTTAAAATATAAAATGAATACTTCATGTATTCATCAAAAATGTCTAATGCACATTTTGGTCAATATCATACATGTATATATATATATCAGTATAAATAATAAATAGCACTGAGGACATATCATTCTAAGAGGTATAGATTAATATTTTTAAAAATGGCAAAAAAAGACGGCTGCTTCATAACATTTTGGTTGTATAAAATTAAAGCAGTAGGACTCATAATGTATGAAATATAACATACCGGTAATATTCTGAGGTAATAAATAGATATACAAGTAGGTTTATCTAATTTCTCAAAGCAAATATAAACGCACCTCAGAAAAGCAGAAAAAACAATATAAATTCCTGAACAGCAGTAAAATAATAAATACAAAAGCTTGTATACACTTCCTTTGGTGTTATTCTTGTTTCAAACATATTTTTTTTTCTAACATTGTCTCATTACTACATGTTTCAAACTTGTTTAACTTATATTCAAGCCAAACATATACTCACTGGTACGTGTGTACTTGATTCAATGTTTAAAATTTTCCAGAGTATCAAGTTACTTTACATAAAGCAAGCTGGTAACAAAGAGCTAAGGATGGACAATTTTGCTTTGTTATAAACAAAATTTGTGATATCTATTTAGTTTACAATAACAGTACATTTATATTGTAACGCCAGGCAAATGAAAATCACTGCACTGCAACTGTTAGCAATAAGCATCAATGCACCAGAGGTATTCACATGAATACATGTATAAACAGTATATGAAGTATAATAAAAAAAAATCAAAGCAGACTTTATCAAGCTGCATAAAATATAAATAATATGAAATTTCAATACATATAAGCACTTCATTTCCTTTTAAAATAGAAAGCACTTTTGCATCAAATTAATATATTTGAATACTGTTATCGTTTTTTTCTTCTGTGGACTCAAATTTTTGCACATTTTAAAAAAAAACTTCATTAATAGAGGATATTGATACTTTTTCACCATTTCAAAATTGATGATATTAAGAATAAATGTTCATGAGTTTAATTTTTATGGAAAAAGTGCAAAAATTATGTCCATCTGGTAAGAAAAGAAAGGATTTGACATGAACACAGCATGTTAAATACAAAACATGGTTATAGGCATCAACAAATTTCATTCTATAACAACTATAATTTATAATTTCTGTATACATGTACATACATATGAATATGAAAAATTTTACTTATATAAGTAATATTTCTTTTGGAATTCCAAAGTTTTGCAATTTCACACAAGCTTCAGTTAGGAAGGTGCAATGTAGATGAAGTTTTCTTTTTCTTGATTTTTGCAATCAGTGAACATGATAAGTTGTGCTTATGAAATGGAGAACCACAAAACTGATGTTTAATATATGGTCCAGTATATGTCCTTCTAATTATGCCATTATTCTGATAAAAGATCTGACTCTTGACTAGCTATGTACAAAGCTACAACCTTTTCATCTTACTACTACACATGACTATAAATCTTTTCCAAGCCTGTCAATTTCATCAACAACAAACTGCATGTCGGCTTTGTTTGTATCCAGATTAGACACGATCATCCTGAAGAAATTGACGCGGTCTCCGTCCGGCTGGTATCCTATTAACATGGTCCCGTCTCTTGTCATTCCCTCCTTAATCTGAGGGGCAACCTTTAAAAGACGATACAAGTTTTATCAGTGCATTATTGTATACCGTAAAATGATTTTTATTTTTGGAAAACTGCAATTCATTATGTGTAACTGAAAATAAATTAAACCATATTTAACAATCTCCCATTACTACCTTTACAACTTCTGAAACACCCTTGACTACATCAGATGGCATTAGCCATATAAATATTTTTTAAAAAGTGTGATTAACATATAAAAGAATATACTATTCAGACTTTCTGCATAGTGAGACATCCTTTTAATTTCAATTTTTCTCATTTATTTGTAAAAAAGTATGTCACCTCCACATTTGTTGGTATTTTATAAATCATTGAAAGAATAAGTATACTTCTGACGAACTAAGAAAGTTTAATACAGGTCAAAGGTTACCTTTCCCAGTCTCTGCCACCAATCAGCATCTCTCTTCTGGTTTCTCATACTGACTGGAATGTACCAAAAGCACACATTGGTGCACTCAGGCTGAAAGAAACAAAGTGACAAAAAATAAAATATAGCATATCATAGTTTGTTGACAATTCAGTGAAATTCTCTGCTCACTTAATGATAAAAATACAGCATAGCTTAATTTGTTGACAATTCAGTGAAATCCTCACTTAATGACAAAAATACAGCAAAGCTTGATATTTGTTGACAATTCAGTGAAATCCTCTGCTCACTTTATGACAGAGAGTTTTAAGGGGAGACAGGACACATGTCACACGACTAAAAAGACATATCACGTCATAATCGGTGATGATTTACATGTTAAACGTTGTTAAAATCAACAGTTCTTGTGTAATTTTATTCTAAATTCTAAAATTGTTTTTTAAACATTTAATTTTAGAAATAATTTTTAACAAAATATTTAAAGATCTTGCCATTATTTAGATATTGTGAAGTTGCCCATTCTACACATTTGTTTCTCTATACCCTGCAGTCTGACGTCAGTGACGTCATAGACGTCGTGTTTGAATTCTCAGTGCAGCGAGATCAAGTACACACACCCGTCATGATTAGTTTTATTTCATAATAAACAGGTCACAGTCAATGTATCGTGATGAATTTCTGAAGCAGATTTTTTAACATTTAATATTTTTTCGTGTTTATAGTAGCAGAGATTCTCTCTATTTAGATAATTTTGAATGTTTATTTTCGTGTGACGTCACAATTGATTTCCCGCACTCGGAAAATACAAACGTGAAGCGTTTTTATCATGCTGACGTCTAATTCAACGATGTCCTGTGCGATATTGAGGTAAGCTTCACCCTGTGATATTTATGCAGTAAATAATTACGATGAAGGACTGACATTCAATCGTAAATTTAGAAATATTTATTGACAGAATTTTTTTCCAAATGAGGTTTTTGTCGTTGAAGCTGCCTTGAAAAATGCAGAAATTATCCCACCCAAATACTATATAAAATTAAAACAATTGCTTTCAGATAATTTAAACACTGAATATTATGAAATATTTGAGTATATAGTGTTATCTATCATATTTATCGTTTTTGCGTAAAAATTCGCATTATGGACTCCGTTATGGGCCCGTAAACATGAAGTATCTAAACTCCATACAAACTCTAAACAGGGCGGTATTTGTGGGGCGATATCTTTTAAATAAGTCAAGAAATCCCATGACAGGACCATTTTAAAATGTAAGGTACATATTAAATTAGTAATGTAAAAAATACGAAAAAAATTCATTGACAGGAATTTTTTCAGCTAAAGGTCCTGTTCCTCCTTAATATGTCCTAAAAAGTAAGCAACTGCATGCACTGCCTTACCTCGACAACTAATTCAAATCCTTCCCTCTCTCTCACAAGTTTGGCTAAATATCTGAAGAAACAAGAAATCATATTTGAATTACTAGAATCTACTCTGGATTGCTTTTGTCCCTTTTTTCATGAATATTTGTACATGCATTTTAGCACTTTCTAAAGAGAGACAGGTTATCTGCAGACTTCAAAAATCTATTCACACGTTGTTCACATTTAACATTTTTTGCCTAAGATCCATGGTTGTAAATATACAACAAAATTTTGGTTTTATACTACAACACCTGTGTAACTCACAAACATAAGAAACATACTTTGAACATTCAAATAGATTATCAATATCCTTCTGGAAGCCTTCGTCTCCTTTGGCTTTCCACATCAACCATAACTTGAGGGAGTCATTCTTACGCCCACACTGTATGGACTTGTCCCCTGTATCATAGGACACATCATAGAATTTGTCTTGTTGGAACAGGTAGGCAGCATTGGCTGAATGGCAAGCGGGTAGGAGGTTCTACCAAAATTATCAAGAAAGAAATACAATGTACTGTGTGCGTCTGCCTAAAAATTAAGTTGGCACCTACACTGTACCATAGGATGTTGCTGATCTTGAATTTTAATTAAATCAGTTTATACAGAATTTATTTTTTAAAAACACACATACAAAAACTTTGAAGTAAGGTAAGAACCTTGTGTCTTGTGAGGAAAGCAGAAGATTGGAGAGGGGCTCCCATCATTTTATGTGGGTTCCAAGTCATGGAGTCTGCTCTGTAAGGTAAATCATCACATTATGTTTCCATGAAAATAAAATCAACATATTTGATCTTATGTTCCTTTCAGCTTTACTGTAGAAAGAAATCCATGCACAATATTAATAAATGGGTGATATCCTAATCTGGAAAATCTTGTTAAGGTCTTCCGTCTTCACGGAAGACCTTATAGTGATTCTACTGTTTCTTATTATTATGTCGCCCCGAACGAAGTCGGGGACGACATATTGATATTGTACGCATGTTTTTTTTATCCAGGCTGTTTCTCGGAGATGGCTGGGACAATCTTCCTGAAACTTTCCTCAAAGGACGATCACTTGTTGTAGTTGTGCAGTGAGGTCATTCAGTTCCAATATGTCTACCGTTGCCATGGAAACCTGTAAAAAGCGACGAATTTTGTCCGAGAGTGTTCTCTCTGGTCCCTTAAACGTTCGTCATGAAACTTTTCTTATTTTAATGATTAGTATCTGTAGTTCTGCAACTCGTATTTAAAATTTTCATATAATCGATTATTGCCATGGAAACCAGGTGAAAGTTAAAATTCTTTAATTTCGATTTTCTCAATAACTACTCAGGCAATCGTTTTGAAACTTTCAATGTTTATTCCTTGCAATGTGTCAAAGTGATTTCTACTTTCAAAATAATTGTAATGAGTCGCTCACGGTTGCCATAGAAACGAAACAGAAAAAAAGATTCAGATGTACACATGTGTTCTCCAAGGTCTAGGTCAAAGGGTCAAAGTTCGTCATATCCAATAAAAGTTCTTTTCACAAGGATTACATATTTGAAATATGAAAGCCCTAGTACTTACCGTTCAAACGTTATGGCTATTTACTATGTTCAAGACGACCCCCCCCCCTTTTTTTTGAAGCACACAGCCAAGTAGAATGCACAGATATAACATATACAACTTACAAGTAACTTTTTAAAATCTTCATTCATAAAATTCAGCTCCCGTCATGTGATATTTTGCCATCATTCATTCTCCTTCTGTTTTGTCTCTTGAATTTATAAATATTTTATTTTATCTATATAAAAAAAAATATCGATTGTCAGCTGCATTTATTATCATTTCGCGTTTTCTTGTATATCTATCACTTGTATATTATTCATTTCATTAGATAGTGCAAGTATAAATTAAAAAATTGGTACGTCATTTCCATAGTTTTTATTCATTCATAAATTCTTTGATCCGCTCCTGATGGTTCGCAAAGCCTTGATCACCACTGTATACAAAACATTCATCTCGCCGAAAATGTTCATGATTCCGCTAAACTGAGAAAGTTCACACATGATTTATTATCTCATAACACACATCAGCTCTCTGCAATGCAGAAATGCTCAAATTGAAGGGGAAAATTCAGGAGTTATTGATGAGAAAAATTCAGGAGTTATTATGTCGCCCCGAACGAAGTCGGGGACGACATATTGATATTGTACGCATGTTTTTTTTATCCAGGCTGTTTCTCGGAGATGGCTGGGACAATCTTCCTGAAACTTTCCTCAAAGGACGATCACTTGTTGTAGTTGTGCAGTGAGGTCTTTCTGTTTCAATATGTCTACCGTTGCCATGGAAACCTGTAAAAAGCGACGAATTTTGTCCGAGAGTGTTCTCTCTGGTCCCTTAAACGTTCGTCATGAAACTTTTCTTATTTTAATGATTAGTATCTGTAGTTCTGCAACTCGTATTTAAAATTTTCATATAATCGATTATTGCCATGGAAACCAGGTGAAAGTTAAAATTCTTTAATTTCGATTTTCTCAATAACTACTCAGGCAATCGTTTTGAAACTTTCAATGTTTATTCCTTGCAATGTGTCAAAGTGATTTCTACTTTCAAAATAATTGTAATGAGTCGCTCACGGTTGCCATAGAAACGAAACAGAAAAAAAGATTCAGATGTACACATGTGTTCTCCAAGGTCTAGGTCAAAGGGTCAAAGTTCGTCATATCCAATAAAAGTTCTTTTCACAAGGATTACATATTTGAAATATGAAAGCCCTAGTACTTACCGTTCAAACGTTATGGCTATTTACTATGTTCAAGACGACCCCCCCCCCCTTTTTTTTTGAAGCACACAGCCAAGTAGAATGCACAGATATAACATATACAACTTACAAGTAACTTTTTAAAATCTTCATTCATAAAATTCAGCTCCCGTCATGTGATATTTTGCCATCATTCATTCTCCTTCTGTTTTGTCTCTTGAATTTATAAATATTTTATTTTATCTATATAAAAAAAAATATCGATTGTCAGCTGCATTTATTATCATTTCGCGTTTTCTTGTATATCTATCACTTGTATATTATTCATTTCATTAGATAGTGCAAGTATAAATTAAAAAATTGGTACGTCATTTCCATAGTTTTTATTCATTCATAAATTCTTTGATCCGCTCCTGATGGTTCGCAAAGCCTTGATCACCACTGTATACAAAACATTCATCTCGCCGAAAATGTTCATGATTCCGCTAAACTGAGAAAGTTCACACATGATTTATTATCTCATAACACACATCAGCTCTCTGCAATGCAGAAATGCTCAAATTGAAGGGGAAAATTCAGGAGTTATTGATGAGAAAAATTCAGGAGTTATTATGTCGCCCCGAACGAAGTCGGGGACGACATATTGATATTGTACGCATGTTTTTTTTATCCAGGCTGTTTCTCGGAGATGGCTGGGACAATCTTCCTGAAACTTTCCTCAAAGGACGATCACTTGTTGTAGTTGTGCAGTGAGGTCATTCAGTTCCAATATGTCTACCGTTGCCATGGAAACCTGTAAAAAGCGACGAATTTTGTCCGAGAGTGTTCTCTCTGGTCCCTTAAACGTTCGTCATGAAACTTTTCTTATTTTAATGATTAGTATCTGTAGTTCTGCAACTCGTATTTAAAATTTTCACATAATCGATTATTGCCATGGAAACCAGGTGAAAGTTAAAATTCTTTAATTTCGATTTTCTCAATAACTACTCAGGCAATCGTTTTGAAACTTTCAATGTTTATTCCTTGCAATGTGTCAAAGTGATTTCTACTTTCAAAATAATTGTAATGAGTCGCTCACGGTTGCCATAGAAACGAAACAGAAAAAAAGATTCAGATGTACACATGTGTTCTCCAAGGTCTAGGTCAAAGGGTCAAAGTTCGTCATATCCAATAAAAGTTCTTTTCACAAGGATTACATATTTGAAATATGAAAGCCCTAGTACTTACCGTTCAAACGTTATGGCTATTTACTATGTTCAAGACGACCCCCCCCCCCTTTTTTTTTGAAGCACACAGCCAAGTAGAATGCACAGATATAACATATACAACTTACAAGTAACTTTTTAAAATCTTCATTCATAAAATTCAGCTCCCGTCATGTGATATTTTGCCATCATTCATTCTCCTTCTGTTTTGTCTCTTGAATTTATAAATATTTTATTTTATCTATATAAAAAAAAATATCGATTGTCAGCTGCATTTATTATCATTTCGCGTTTTCTTGTATATCTATCACTTGTATATTATTCATTTCATTAGATAGTGCAAGTATAAATTAAAAAATTGGTACGTCATTTCCATAGTTTTTATTCATTCATAAATTCTTTGATCCGCTCCTGATGGTTCGCAAAGCCTTGATCACCACTGTATACAAAACATTCATCTCGCCGAAAATGTTCATGATTCCGCTAAACTGAGAAAGTTCACACATGATTTATTATCTCATAACACACATCAGCTCTCTGCAATGCAGAAATGCTCGAATTGATGGTGGCATGTCAGATTCGTTTTTCGGTAGAAACTTTAAAATGAAAGTGAAAGAGGGAAATTTCAGAGTTCTCACTGGCGTTACAATACACAAAATAATTCGGCTGATCTTCTTCATAAATTACATTTCCCAAGCTTTTATCAAAGGAAAGATACTGCCAATTAACAAGTGTGAGGCTCAGTTCAGTACATCTGCCAGATTTCTTTTATGCAAGTCTGCAAATTGAGGAACTTGTAATTTTCCTGCACTACTTTCTTCTCCTACCGATTCTAAAAATAATGAGTGGGATGTACCGAATTAAGGTCTTCCGTTTCCAATGGAAAGGACTGATATAACTCAATGGTTGTTCAAATTTAGCTTATGGACTTTTGTTTTAGTGATGATAAAAATGAAAGTCTTGTCTAATACGGGGCGACATATGCTATTGCTTGCAATAGCAGACTTTCTAGTTATTATTATTATTATTCTTTTTATTATTTTTTTGACTTTTTAATTTTGTGCACGCGATTTCTCGAAGTCTACTGGATGAAATGACGTGAAATTTTCAGAAATGATGTGTCGTAACATGAATTTTATATATCCGGGAGATTTTTTGGAAATTCGCTTCCGGTGCCAAGTTACGGACAATTTCCTGAAATTAAAATGACATTTTGTCCGCGATTAAACTCAAAAACGGTAAAAGATATCAACATGAAACTTTCAAGGATTATAGATCGTGATATATACCATCCAGGACGCGACTCTTCGTTCGTCGTCGGTACTTCCTGTCGTTAGGACAAGCGAATTGAAAAAAACGCATTTTCTAACTTTTTTGTTTTTCAATATTTTTTATTAATTTTTGGAATGATAATAGAGACTCTTTGATTGATGCTTACTATATAAGTTGTTTGGATATTGATATGTCTGAACTCTAGATATTAACATTTGAAAATCTGAAGCGGGACCAAGATGGCGGCTCTCTCTGTCAACTCCGCCATTTCGCGAGTAGGGGTTTATGGAGGCAGCTAAGCGTTTGATTAAACGATTCTGACATAAGGATACATGAAATGTAAAAAACTACCTAGACTCTCACGTAGTAGTGAAATGGTTGGAGGAGTTACTTCCCGTTACTTGTTTATATTATAATAGATAATCAATGTAAATATTGTAATTAATTGGTCAATTGACAAAAGAATTATACAAGTAATATTGATAAATGATGTTCTGTTAGAAAATAATAATAGTGTTGCCAAAAGAAAGGCAGTCTGTAGTATTTTATCAATATGATATCTGATAACTTATGATCATTGATTAAGTTGAAGTACAAGGGGGCAGTACAGCCAATTGGCTTGTGTCTTCACTTTGGTACAGAAACCAATTAGTGTTTCGATCAAATCCGATTGTGCAAAGTTGCCGTAGTCAGTGACTAGTTAAAATATAGCTGTGTGACGTTAGCTATAGGTTTGTCATTAGGACAGAGAAGCTCTCACAAAGTTAAATACTGTGTAAGTATATTGTAGCTACTTGGCTAGAGTTATATAGGCAACTTGGTAAGCAGTAAGACACCAGGCAGGTGTTAAAGGCTAAATCAAGAGGCACCAGGCAGGTGGCTGTTGACTTATATAGTCAGTTGTATGGTGAGGCAATTGTCATATGGCACCAGGCAGGTGCCGGTATTAACTGAAGATATATAAGTGTTCAAAGCACTTAGGTCATTTGATTTAAAGACACCAGGCAGGTGTCATATTATTATCTGTAAATATTGCATTCAATCATATCCCCAGTAAAACTCGGTAATCCCAGCACGGACCTACTGACCGCTAAGGTCCGACACGTTACAGTAGTAAGTTGCAATTGAGTGTCAATCTTAAAACTTAATTTCCGTTTCACTGCTTTAGTGTAACTGGGCTAGATACAATATGTAATGTGTATAATGTGTTACATATACTTTCTTAACGTCGAAATAAAATATAGGCGCTAAGAATGTTTTATTTTTAAAATTTAATTGAAGCTATGATACCTATTTAATAGATCAGTCAAAGGAAAGGCGCGAATATTTACTCGTGGCGTTTGGCGCGAAATAATGAATGCTTTTTATAATTCTTAGACAGGTGAACTGTTGCAAAAGTATACACAAGTATGTTAAGAGCAGTACTCCAAATAGCTTAATGGTTAGCGCGTTGAGGATAAAAAAGTAAAAAAAAAAAAGCGCATTCACGTTGGCGACATGGGTTCAATCCTCCTTGTGACCAAAATTTTGAATCTCTTTTCAGCTCGATTTTACGTGGGTTTCTTTTCCTAAAACGGACGGAAGACCTCTCGTTGCTCGCAACGAGATCGTATCTAGTTATTTATGTAGTTGTAAATATCATAAGTTCCTTAGAGTTCAAACTATGATTCAAACATGATTTGAGTACCTATCACAACAAAATTTCAAAACAAGGTCACAGAATCTTATTTTTGAGTTTAATTACCTGTTACATATGCATAGACTGGAAAAGGTCAATGGTCTTAAACTTAATAGTATCTAGCAATGGAAAGCTTATACAACAATATTGCCTGTCCATATAAAATCCTTCGAACCTTTCAATGCCTTTCATCAGACCTCGCTGATTTTTGGAGACCAGAGCACTGCCACCCCAGGCTCCATCTACATGCATCCACAGTCCATACTTCTCGCAGATGTCTGCTATCTTATCCAGAGGATCATACGCCCCAAAAACAGTGGTACCTGCAGTTGCATTCACAAGATAAGGGACCTTACCCTGTAAAATTAAATTTACTTCCATAATATGTCCCTATAGTGAACTTTTTAAACTGTTTTCCTATGACGTACATATATTTTGCCTCCAAGTTATTACCCTTAGCTGCCATCTTATATGGCAAATTAGCGAATTTTCCTCTTTGAGCAACCAATTTTAAACATGCATGCAAGAATTATTCTGGGGAAAATATTTACAATCTTAAAATAAGAATTATAGAAGCTTTAACAAACATATACCGTATAAATGGAAATTTTAGCGAGACGCAAATTTAGCGTTTTGTCCTTATATTTTAATTTTAGATAATATTTTATTTTTTATAATGTGATGTAATTTTAGCAATTAAAATGGTCATTTAAGAACCTATTACAAATAAAAAGCAATCAATTTTTAACAATATTCAATTTTAGCGATCTCGGCACCCTCGCTAATAATGACAAAACTAGAACTGTCCAAATGGGACAAAATACCCCCCGCTGGGTTTTTCAGAAGTGCTAAATCATGAATATTTTATGGATCTAAGAGAAGAGAGAAATGCTAAAACATTTTTAGTGCAACTGGAAACAAAGGTGCAGCCTAACAAAAATATAGACTACAGTAAATATACGGACCAGACACGAGTTATGAACTTTTTCTATCAGTGACTTTGAATTGGTATAAATGACCTTAGTTCAAAGTCATGACACAACCTCAGGTCATAAGCAATGTTTGTGTGAAGTAGTAGATTCAAGTTTTTCCATAGTAAAGAAAGATATGGACGGGACACAAATTATACAATTTTTCTTCCAGTGACCTTGAACTTCCCCAAATGACCTTGACTCAAGGTCATGACACATCCTTAGGCCATGAGCAATCTTTGTGTAAAATGATAACTTACCAAGTTTATCCATAAGAAAGATATGGACCGGACACGAATTATAAGATTTTTCTTCCAGTGACCTTGAACTTTCCCAAATGACCTTGACTCAAGGTCATGACACATCCTTAGGCCATGAGCAATCTTTGTGTAAAATGATAATTACCAAGTTTATCCATAAGAAAGATATAGACCGGACAAGAATTATAAGATTTTCCTTCCAGTGACCTTGAACTTTCCCAAATGACCTTGACCCAAGGTTACGACAAATCCTTAGGTCAGGAGGAATCTTTGTGTGAAATGAGAACCTACCAAGTTTATCCATAAGAAAGATATGGACCGGACACGAATTATAAGATTTTTCTTCCAGTGACCTTGAACTTCTCCAAATGACCTTGATCCAAGGTTATGACAAATCCTTAGGTCAGGAGGAATCTTTGTGTGAAATGAGAACCTACCAAGTTTATCCATAAGATAGATATGGACCGGACACAAATTATGAAATTTTTCTTCCAGTGATCTTGAAGTTCCCCAAATGACCTTGCATCAAGGTCATAACACCCCGCATATGCAATCTTTGTGTGAAATTAGAACCTACCAAGTTTATCCATAAGAAAGATATGGACCAGACACAAATTATGAAATTTTTCTTCCAGTGACCTTGAACTTCCCCAAATGACCTTGGGTCAAGGTCATGACACACCCTTAGGTCAAGTGCAATCTTTGTGTGAAATTAGAACCTACCAAGTTTATCCATAAGAAAGATATGGACTGGACACGAATTATGAAATTTTTCTTCCAGTGACCTTGAACTTCTCCAAATAACCTTGAGTCAAGATCAGGACACACCCTTAGGTCATGGGCAATCTTTGTGTGAAGTAGTAGATTCTAATGTTCCTCCGTAAGAAAGATATGGACCGGACAAGTTTGCACAGACAGACAGCTGGACAGACGGACGGATGGACAGACAGACGGACAAGGTGATTCCTATATACCCCCCCAAACTTCGTTTGCGGGGGGTATAATTAAATCCTCGCTAAAAACACAGTTTATACAGTATTCATAAGAAAAATAGGGTTATCTTTACCTCAGTAACCAGTTCAACTTGGTTGAATAATGAAGGGATCTGCAAATGTGGACCTAAAATATGGCGGCCATGGGGAATAACTATTGCTTAATTCACCCCAATGGAAAACACTCTTTTATTAATACCATATAAATGTATTATTTTACCTCCTTTAAATATATTGCTTTGTGAACATGAAAAGGTTTTGGTCAATCGCTTTGATAATGTTGAATATTTACTGAGGAATTTATAAAAACTTTAAAATAGCAACACTTACCTCTGACTGGGCTTGAAGAATCTTTTCCTCTAAGTCCTTCACATCCATCTTTCCTTTGTTATCTGACTTGACACTGATAAGATTTTCCAAGCCAAGACCTAAAAATGCCATCCCTTTTTTCATGGAGTAATGACCCTAAAAAATAATTATGTGTTTACCACATGAAATAAAATCTATATGATGCTATATAATGTTTAATTGAATACACTGGACTTTTAATAGGGTTGAAAAACCTTTAAAGGGAGACTAATCTTTATAATCTTAAAAACATTGGTTTCTGTTTTATTAATACTGCTTGCAGAAAAAGTATGATGGTTTTTTTTAATAGAACTCTTATTTGAAAATCAACAATATTTTTCTATATTTTGGAAAGACAAAATAATAAAGCTAGCTGTACCTTTTCTGAAGTCAGCACACAGAGTCTTGGTAACCCATACACCCCTGTCCTTTTGACATCTGGGAATCTTTTATAACGAGCCACGTTCAATGCATACATATTGGCAATAGAACCTCCTACAAAAGAAATATTCACTTTCATGGATAATATAAAGGTAAATTCTAAACAAATATTTAACAATTTTTAATGCTATTTATTATTCTAGAAATCTTTTTTTACCTGGACAGAAAATGGCATCCCCATCATTGAAGCCAATGAGATTCAGCATTTTTTGTAGCAGAGCTTTCTCCATGACAGTGAACACTGGTGACACCTCAAAAGTGTATCTGAAATTACAGAAACATTAAAAAAGTCTCCAAATTCATAATAATTTTGTGTGTACAAAGATGCATTAATTTTTGCCTCCCTAACACAAAGTCATGTGTAGCACAACTTCATGTACATGTAGCTGCCATTAATTTTAAAATCCAAATTTTGTTTTCATGGGCCATCACCTTTCTTGAACTTTTCCAACCAATTTTCTCTACCTTTATAAATCAGATTTTGGTAATATTTTGAGTACTTACACACTGGTATTGAGGGTCTCTGTTAACCAAGCCCCTCCTAAGCTGTATTCATCTAGTCCTCCAAACAACTGGTTAAAGAAATGGGGGTGGCCTGAAATAGTTAGTACCCAGTTATGTTAATTACTTGCGAAAACCCAATGTTGTATTTGAAGGGGATATTTGTAGTTCAGATCAGGCAGTTTATCTGACCTTTTTTCAAGGAGTAAATCTGATTTTGTGATATATTTCAAGAGAGCCAGCTTGTTAGAAATTATTCAAATAATAGAATCACCTGTTTTGACACTGTATCTAATAACATCTTGACAAATCTGCAGAAGTCTCTCATCTGACGTCTGTTTCTCCAAAGTCATGTCCAGCATGGCTTCCAGTTCCTTGGGATGTTTGAATTCCACGACTTTAGAGTCACGGTTCTTCATGGCATCATAGCCATCTTTGACCATCATCTTGTACAACTCGTCCAGAAACTGGTGCTGACTCTCGGGCTGTGAGTTACCATTACAATGACCATTTGACACACCTGGAAAATAAAAGAATATCAATGATGAGTGAGTGTTTTGGAAACAGCCAATCCAAAGATTTTTGAAATAGAAAGTACAGTGTAATTACTTAAGCCCAAATAAAAGTTGCTATCAGACAACCTCCCCACACTGCAAAACTAGTATAAAAACCTCCAAAACTAGTCATGATTTTTATGGCAGCTTATTCCAGAGTTATTGTGATCAACAGAAAGTATGTGTTTAGTGTACTGTCATTGATCGACTGAGTCTCTTCTTAAATGTTTTTTAAAGTCGAGAGGACTTTTAAGCAAGAGCATGATAACCTTATAAGTTCAAAATGGTGTATTAACCTACATGTATAGGGGCACCAACAAATTTGTTAGAAATTCACACCCCTAGTTTATTCACCTGTAATGAGATACCTATTTTGTTTTATACAGATTGGTCAAAGAATGTCTCTAAAACGGGCGATTAGTGGAAAAATTCTATCAACTGTAATGATGACTTAGGCCTATATTAGGCTGCGACTTGGCTATGGATCTTTTTTTTTTAATTAAAAAAAAATATAGCAAATCAAATGGTAAAAATGTGGGAATTAAAATACCCATAAAACATTATGGAGTGAAAGGTATATAGTTGTGTGGCTTTCAGCCAGTTTCCTCCTATATGCCAATGAGTTTGTTAAATTTGGCTGTGACTTACAGCACATCTAATTTCTATTTATTGTAACAAATGGTTTATTCAGTAGTGAGTATTTGTAAAAGTTATTGTAATGTACCAGCAATCAATCAGTCTGGTATTGTGTTGAAATACTCATGTATGACTATATGACAGTTTATGGAGGAAAAATAAAACATATTTTAATACCTCTCCCATTACAGTTGATTGGATGCTGGAAAGTGGAGATATCTCCCTATAACAGTGCAGCACAGAAAATCTAACACCTTGAAGTGCTAATTTCTTGCATTATAGGATCTGTAGCCTTATGGTAAAAGAATGATATATAAAACCATACTGAAATCTAGAAACCTGGGATCCACCAACAACATGCTATATATCAGACTGATCAAGAACCGACAAAGTAAGAAAGTTTGAAAATTAAAAACAACCAATATTGATAAAAAAGAGTAAAAAGAAACATAAAGTTACCGTTTGTACTTTGTGACATGATGTACTTTTCATGCAACGCAAAACAGTTGACACTCTCACCGCTGTCGGCTTTGGACAATCTTGGGGATTTCGTTTAGGTCCCAGTGCACTTTTATGATCGGACAAAAACGGAAAGACCGAAAACTCTAAATTTTCATTGAATTACTGTGTTTGATTCTAACATTTTCTTCAATGTATTGGATTTGATAATTTTTATTTTTGTTTAAATTGTTATCCTTCGCTGTTTGCAGTATAACCGCAAACTGAAATTTGAAAAACCGAATTGCACCTTTTAGTTCTTACCGTTATCCATGATATAGGTCACAGTTATTTAGGTGATGGAAAGTTACGAGGGATTTTCCTTATTTCCAGTGTTCTAAAAATAGAAAACTTAGTACACTTAGGGCAACACAATGTTAGAGGATATCACAACAATTCAAAAGCAACCAATATCAAACTATTCTAACAATATTTTAAATGGTTTTGTGAAATATGCATTAAAACCCTTAGATTTCTTATCAACAGCTCTCTTGCTGATTCATGTTTTGAAATGATCCCTATATTGCAGTAGAGTAGGTTGTACATGTTTTATTCCTATTCAGTATTTATTTTTAAAAATTAAAAAAAAAGCTTATTTTTACAAAAAATGAACAAAATAAAGTTTTGTCTACAAACTACAATAGCAACATTTCTCACATGGAACTGAATTTCGTGGTGGAAATACTTACGAACATTTCTTTGTATGCATTATTTAAACGCGTTGTCACCGGAATCTATTTTCAGATATGGCGGGAAAAATGGCAGATCAAGAAATGGAAATAGATATTCCTCCAACAAAGACAGCATCAAAATCTGGAGGATCTCATCAACATGAACAGCCGTGGGTTGAAAAATATAGACCGATAAAGCTGCACGACATAGTTGGCAACGAAGAGACAATTAGTCGCCTTGAAGTTTTCGCCAGAGACGGAAATGTTCCAAATCTGATTATTGCAGGTCCTCCTGGAACTGGAAAAACCACAAGTATATTATGTCTTGCCAGAGCAATGTTGGGACCTTCATACAGAGATGCTGTCCTAGAAATGAATGCATCAAATGACAGAGGTATTGATGTTGTGAGGAACAAAATCAAGATGTTTGCACAGCAGAAAGTTACACTGCCCAAAGGAAGACACAAAATTATTATTCTAGATGAAGCAGACAGTATGACGGATGGAGCCCAACAAGCTCTGAGGAGAACTATGGAGATCTATTCAAAGACCACTAGATTTGCATTAGCCTGCAATGCCTCGGAAAAAATCATTGAGCCCATACAGTCACGGTGTGCAGTTTTACGATACTCCAAACTGACTGATGCTCAAGTGTTGAAGAGGCTGCTGGAAGTAACTGAGGAAGAATCTGTTAGTTATACTGATGATGGCCTAGAGGCCATAGTCTTTACAGCCCAAGGAGACATGAGGCAGGCTCTCAACAACTTACAGTCAACATTTCAGGGTTTTGGACATGTTAACAGTGAAAATGTCTTCAAAGTTTGTGACGAACCACATCCCATGTTGATTCAGGATATGCTTCAACACTGTGTTAATGGCAATGTGGAGGAAGCTTACAAAACTATGGCACATCTCTGGAAGCTGGGATACTCAGCAGAAGATATAATCACCATTATCTTCCGAGTATGCAAAAACCAGAATATCCCAGAATTCCTGAAACTTGAATTCATTAAAGAAATCGGATATACACACATGAGGATTGCAGAAGGTGTTCAATCCCTGTTACAGATGTCAGCTTTGTTAGCAAGACTGTGTAAAAAATCTGCTATGCCAGGAATGAAAGGATAACACGTGAATGATAAATAAACTTCATAATTTTTCATAACTTTGAAGAGGTTGAATAAAATTAATATAATAAGCTTTATATATTGTAATTGTTATATTTATGTACTATGATAAAGTTTTTAGCTCACCTGAGCCGAAGGCTCAAGTGAGCTTTTCTGATCACATTTTGTCCGGCGTCCGTCTGTCTGTCTGTCTGTAAACTTTTCACATTTTCGACTTCTCAAGAACCACTGGGCCAATTTCAACCAAACTTGCCACAAAGTATCCTTGGGTAAAGGGGATTTAAGTTTGTTCAAATGAAGGGCCAAGCCCTCATTCAAGGGGAGATAATTGGGAATTAATGAAAATTTGGTGGCATGCTTTAAAAATCTTCTCAAGAACCACTGTGCCACGAAAAATGAAACTTGTAGGGAAACATCCTCTGGTAGTGAAGATTCAAGTTTGTTCAAATCATGACCCCCGGGGGAAGGGCGGGGCCGAAATGGCCGACCAAAGTTTTACATAGAAATATTTAAGAAAATTCTTTAAAAATCTTCTTCTCAAGAAAAGCAAAGCCATAATTGATCATTTTAATTTTGAAACTTCGTCTCAGGTAGTGTAGATTCAACTTTGTTCAAATCATGACCCCTGGGGGTAGGGCGGGGCCAAAATGGCCGACCAAAGTTTTACATAGAAATATATAGGAAAATTCTTTAAAATCTTCTTCTCAAGAATAGCAAAGCTATGATTGGTCATGGGACTACTTTTGGATTTAAGCTTTTCAATAATAAACCAATTCTACTTTTTCCTAGCCACAGTGCTCAGGTGAGCGATGTGGCCCATGGGCCTCTTGTTGATATTTATGCCTCCCTTCGAAGAAGGGAGGGCATATTGCTTTGCTATTGTCCGTCCGTCTGTCGGTCCATTTAGTTTCCGTTCATTTTCTTCACAACCGTAGCACATACTGAAATTAAATTTGGTATACAGGGTTATCAGGTAAATATCTAGGTCAAGTTCTGTTTTGGGTACGATCACACCATTTTTGACAGAGTTATGCCCCTTGGACTTAGAAAAATTCCACTTATTTGCAGTTTCCGTTCATTTTCTTTGCAGGGGTTGCACAAATTGAAATGAAATTTAGTATACAGATTTATGAACTGAATATCTAGGTCAAGATCTGTTTTGGGTGTGATCACACCATTTTTGACAGAGTTATGCCCCTTGGACTCGGAAAAATTCCACTTATTTGCAGTTTCCGTTCATTTTCTTTGCAAAGGTTGCACATATTGAAATGAAATTTAGTATACAGATATATCAGATAAATATCTAGATCAAGTTCTGTTTTGGTTACGATCACATCCTTTTTGTTAGAGTTATGCCCCTTGGACTTAGAAAAATTCCACTTATTTGCCGTTTCCATTCATTTTCTTATCAGAGGTGGCACATATTCAAATGAAATTTAGTATACAGAAGTTTCAGCTGAATATCTAAGCCAAGTTCTGTTTTGGGTTCGATCGCACCTTTTTTCTCATGGTTGAAGAACTGACGAGGGGGGGGGTAATAATAATTTTACCGATGTATAGAAAACAAAACTGCGTTATGCTTGTGTCCCCTCAATAATAACGTCCTAGAGGAGATATGATGCAACCATTCTTGGGAGAAACATCTATATATCCGGAGCTTGGTTGGTGGTTCATAAAAAATCATGTACTTATAGAAAGTGAACATGTGTTTCCATTTATCTAAAATATCATTTTTCAAATTCGAATTTAATTCGAATATTAATTAAAATACTAGTAATAAATAAAAGAAATATACATGTGCATGTAGATAAAAAAAACATAATGTATACATGCATGTATAATAATGGATCAAATCATGTTCTAGTTTTTTGTTTACGAAGACGTGTTCTTCAAGCACGTGTAGATCTATTTCGCCAGCTCCAGTTTTGTGAACGGACATTTTCGTATACTTTTGAATAATTTTGACACATGTTTGCCAATTATTGAAATCCTAGTACTGAGTAATTTCATGCAAAGCAGTTTTAACCTGGAGAGAAGGACCATGTCCTCTTCCAAAAAGGAGATACATGTACATGTATTAATGGGGATGGATATTGGTAACTTTCCACATGGAAAATATCCTGTGTCTAAGTACACCAGTTCTCAAACACACTAATTCAGAAAGATGTTTGTAAAACACTTATGCCCCCTCCCCCAAATGATTTGAATTTTTCCAAGTCCAAGGCGCATATCCAAAATGGCTTGATCATACTTGAAACAGAATGTGCCCTAGATATTCTTATAATAAATCTGTATACCAAATTTAATTTCAATGTGTGCAACCTCTGCGAAGAAAATGAACGGAAACTGATGTGGACCAATAGACAAACAGCAGCAGAGCAATATGCCCTCCCTTCTTCGAAGGTTGGCATAATAAAATACAGAATGTAAATTTGAATTCTCATTTCTGGATATTTTTGGTTGTAGAAAAGAACCTGTCTGTGCTGACAAATGATTGTCATCATGTTACTCTCACTGTATCCAGTTTCTCAGCGTAGCTCAATGCTTTTACAGGACAGACATGCAAACGAGGAATTCAATGCTTATCAATTAATAATCCTTCTTAGAACTTAGAAAATGGGCATCAAATTCATTTTGGAAGATTTACAAAAAAAAAATGACAGACGAAATCATTGAATATTTTATTCAAAGCAAATTAATAATGAAATTAAGTTGGAATTTTTACTACCAGGGTAATAAGTATCATTGTCTCATTCATTGTCATTAATATTGACTCCTGTAAATCTCTAAATATTGACACTTCTTCATTTATAAATATTTAATTTTAAATTAATAGAAAGGTTAAGTAGATGACCTTGTACATCTCTGTGTGGCTAGGGATATCCCATAATTTACTGCACTTTTTGAATACCGCATTATTCTACAGGTTGTACACAACAGTATTCATAAACTTGTACATGGAGGTGAGAACTTTTGCTTCTTCAACTCAAATAATTATTGTAGAATAAACATTTTTCAGGTGTTTGGTATGAAGTTATAATTTATTACATTCACACAATGTATCTTTTTTAATTAAAGTCCTTGAACTTTTTGACTGGATTGTAAAGTGACTGTAACTTGTTGAAATGACGTTTTACATGTACCGGTACACATGCAGTTTGTTAAACAGAACATGATGTTAGTTAAGCATACTTGTAAAAACAATTGTAGGCTAACTCATACAAGTAGACATATGTGGTCAAATGCTAAACCTCTCTAATAAGAAAAAAACATTCATACTTATGTGATACATAAACAATAATTGATGATTTTGTTAAATGTATACAAAAATGATACTGATAATCCACCCAGACATACAAAAATAAACAGCCAAAAAAAATTACCATTCAAGAATTAAATTGCAAACTTTCTTTATTTTCACTTTGTGAATTGCAAAAAGTAGCACCAAGTAATAAAAAAAAATTAAATTAATATATATCACAGACAATTAGGTAATTCCAAAAGTTATATACATGTAATTATAAAGTAGAAAATAGGATTCTGAGAACCAATTAGGACAGGATTTCATTTATTTATTACATATAAAAGTATTGGTTAAAATGTTACCCCTTTTTCATTCTCTCTCTCTCTCTCTCATATACACATTTCTATGACTGTGTAGGTCAAAACCAAACCTGAGCACTTCCAAGTCACTTTCTTCCAATTAAATCAACACAATATTGCATATGATATGGATATAAAGTATGAGGTAAATATATTGTTACAAATTGAAAGTATTTTGCACTTTATCAGCAACCATTTTTGCAATAGCTAAGGAGGAAGTGGCAGCTGGTGATGGTGCATTCCGTACATGTAATATACGAGATCCCAGTTCTCCGCCTCCTACGTCAAAAACGAAATCGTCCACAAGATTACCGTCACGATCCAAAGCCTGGGCTCTCACCCCTGAAGGACCTCTGTACATGAGCAAATTTAGACTGGTTAATACAAACCTACACTGGAAAAATCTGAGTTATTCTTGATGTATTTAGAAATGAAGCCAAAATCCATTGAATAGAACCTTGACAACTCCAAATGTAACATTCTGAAACTTGCTATACAAGTATGTTAAGGTTTTTCTCAATAGATATTAAGGAGGAACAGGACCTTTCGCTGAAAAAAATCCTGTCAATGAATTTTTGTCGTATTTTTCATATTACTAATTTAATATGTACTTAACATTTTAAAACGGTCCTGTCATGGGATTTCTTGACTTATTTAAAAGATACAAAAATACCACAATGTTTAGAGTTTGTATGGAATTTAGATACTTCATGTTTATCGGGAGAACGGAGTCCATAATGCAAATTTTTATGCACAAACGATAAATGTGCGAATGACAAAAAACTATATACTCAAATATATAGAATATTCATTGTGTTAAATTATCTGAAAGCAATTGTTTTAGTTTTATATAGTATTTGGATGGGATAATTTCTGCTTTTTTCAAGGCAGTTTCAACGACAAAAACCTCATTTGGAAAAAATTCTGTCAATAAATATTTCTAAATTTATGATTGAATGTCAGTCCTCCATCGTAATTATTTACTGCATAAATATCACAGGGTGAAGCTTACCTCAATATCGCACTGGACATCATTGAATTAGACGTAAGCATGATAAAAATGCTTCACGTTTGTATTTTCCGAAAACGAAAACATAAACATTCAAAATTATCTACATAGACAGAATCTCTGCTACTGAACACGAAAAAGTATTAATTAAAAAAAAATCTGCTTCAGAAATTTATCACGATACATTGACTGTGACCTGTTTATTATGAAATAAAATTGATCATGACGGGTGTGTGTCATCTCGTTGCACTGAGAATTTAAATATCTATGACGTCACTGACGTTGATTTACAGGGTAAAGAGAAACAAATGTGTGGACTGGGCAACTTCACAATATCTAACTGATGGCAAGATCTTTAAGAATTTTATTAATAATAATTTCTAAAATTAAATGTTTAAAAAACAATTTTAGAATTTAGAATAAAATTACACAAGAGCTGTTGATTTTAACAACGTTTAACATGTATATCATCACCGATTGTGACGTAATATGTCTTTTTAGTCATGTGATATGTGTCCTGTCTCCCCTTAAAGGTACAGCATTCAGAGCTAATTTATTAAACTATTCACACTAACAAATCAATATTTTGAATTCTTTGAAGCTTTGTGATAAAAGTTGTAAATTTTGTTATTTTTAATCTCTAAGTTATTTATACATTGAGATTTGACCTTCAGGACAGATTTAGGAAAAAGTAATTACTAAATGACAATAATTTTTCAGGCAAAGTCAAACAAAATACAAGAAAAAAAATTGAATAAACACTAATTTCACAAACCTTGTAACATCTGATACTTTTAAGGATGGCACATATCTCTGAAGCAGTTTGACCTGGGCTGCTATGTTAAAACCTCGGTACATCTCCTTTATTCCAAATCCTAAATTCCTTATGGCTAGTTTTCGAAGACCCCTAAAGCAGAATAAAATCAACTGACATTTTTTCCAAAAGTAATACATTGAAACCTGTCTAATAGTCCGACATGCACTAGAAGATAATTTTTTTGTCAGAATAAACGGTGTCAAATTGTACAGTGTAAACAAAACCATGAAAAACAGTAAAATGGGAAAGAAATTTAACATAGGATTTCACAGTGTGAACAGGTGTCGGATTCGATAATTTTCACTGTATTAGCATCTAATTCTCTTGATAAGAGTAATTTAAAAGTTACAGATTGTAAATTATTACACATTCTAATGGTACTTCAATATAAATATTTTGTAAAGTACAGCTTAATACACTAAACAGCCAAAGGAAATAATATCAAAAACATTTCTTAAAGTAAGAACTCATAATCCCTTCAACATCTATCAACTTTAAAACTAGAAGCTCATATGAAAGTCTTGAAAGTAGCCTGAGCATCATAAGCTTCTCAAAATATGACTACTTCATTTTCTGCAAACAGTGATACATGTATAATCTCTTCGTAGACAAATAAACTGACCTAAAAGAAACAGCATCTCTAGCATCCTTTGGACTAAAATCTGTGAGACTGTATCCTTCTCTTTTGAATGCCAGCACTGCATTAGGGCCAAGCCAGACATCTCCATTTATTCTGGGTGTGAAATGTACTCCGAGAAAGGGAAACAAGGGATTGGGAACCTGCAATAGTCATGTACCAGTATTTGATTAGAGAATCCATTACTTTTTAATGCTTACAAAGTCTTACATGTAGTTTGAAATACTGTAAACCAACTTTTATTCGCGATGACTTTATTTCGCGATTTACCACGGATAAACTAGTTCGCGACGATTTATTTTTGCGATCAAGCCTTTTTGGATCTGTTGTTAATAGACACATACACTTTAAGGACCGGTTCGCGGCGAGAATTATTCGCGATGACGAGGCTCTCGCGAACGTCGCGAAAATTTCTCGCACGCGAATAAAAGTTGTTTTACAGTATGCATAAAAGATATATTTTCCCTGATTCGATTCCCATGTCACCCTAATGAAATAGCTTTCCTTCACTGATTTTGTAGAGATTTCTTTAGGATGCTCATAGTTCTTTAAATGGAAGCTTTCCAGTGTTTGACAAACCATTAGATTCAAAGCTTTATTTAGAATTTTAAAATAATCATCCTCATCAATCTGTAATTAGAGACTTACAGGATATATATTTCCATTAACAAGGTTAGTCTTTTCAGGTTTTAACAATAGGTAGTCTCCCCTGAAAGGCACTATTCTGGGTTCCCGATCACATCCAGATAGTTCAGCTAGCCGGTCAGAGAACAGGCCACCACAAGTAACCACGTATTTACATCTGACCTCTCTTGATTCACCCTGAGAAATTTATTTTTAAAAAAAATCTTAAAAACTTTATTCCTCAGAAATTTTTTTGCATTTTCATATAATATTACATGTATATTAAAAATTCAAAGAGAAATATATTGTCATGTGTTTCTCCCCTCTGTTGATAATACAGTGCAAATGTATTTTGAAAATTTTCAAACATTTTGTTACATTTTTAAAATTTAAATCAGAGAGTTAAAAAAATTTCAAGTTAATCACACATCATATGAAATCAATTCAACTGAATACCAAATCAAAATTTCATTTCAAGGGAGCATTAAGTACACTCTTAGTTTCAGAAGAGAAATGTATATGACCAAATATTACCACCTTATTGTGACCACTGCCTCTGATAGTAACTGGATAGTCAATACCGTGTCCACTCTCCTTGGTCACTGAGAAATCTGTCACCTCAAAGTCCGTATAAATATGTCCTCCTAGCTTCTCAAAAGTATGACCATATGACTGGGTTACCACTTTGTAGTCAATAATTCCTGTATGTGGGGAGTGTACTGCTTTCAAACCCTGAAACATTTCAATTGTAAGAGGCTAAGTGCAAATGAAACCAAAATTACTACATGTGTCTCTATTTATCATAATTATTTAGGTTTTGCCTCAATGAAATTTTAGAGCCATATTTCTTTTCATTACGTTGCTGAGGAATTTCTCTTTTGATCATACATTTAATAAATGTAAAATATAATATATTTACTTTTAAAAATACTTTAACAATTGTAATGCAGCATACAATTACAAGCATAAGATTTTATTTCTAATCACAGGGACAAGTAGTACCTCACAATTTGGTTCTATTTCTCTGATCTCCTTTGGACCCAGCATTCGTAAATCTTTGACTCCATTTTCATTTCCTCTCTTCAGAAGACCTTCTAACCTTGGAATTTCTTCTTGTTCTACTGCTACAATCAACTGCAAGATACATCAGGAAATTGTTTATAAATTAACTGTCCACTGGACATGACCTAGGATAATCTGATTTTCATATATCATATCATGAAGGAAGTTAAGAAAATATATATATTAATTGAACATCAGTTTACTATTAGGTATTAAGATACAAGTATGTTAAAAAGGATATATATATTTTTTACAATTTATATTTTTGCAAATTTATGAAAGATTTGAAAAAATATTCTTATATTGGGTATATTTAAGAGTTATCTCCCTTTCACTGCAGCCCAGCACAATAACCTGAATGTAATTACCTTTCCACATTTGTTGTAAGGAATGTTATTTTTATCACAGTAGTCATAGAGGAGCTCCACACCCTGGACACAAAGCTTGGCCTTCAGTGACCCCGGTGTGTAGTAGATTCCAGCGTGGATGACCCCGCTGTTATGTCCACTCTGGTGGAATGCTGAAAATAATTAGGGGAGAAAAGTGTACTGATGAAAATGTAGCAGGAGAAGGCTTGAGTGTAACTTAGCTATTTGTTTGTAGTCATTTATTTACCTTTTTTCTTATTTATAAAAAAAAATTAGTTATATCTATAGTGTACTACATGCCTACATGCCTTTCAAACAATAGTGAGCAAAATGCCACTCACATTGCAAAATCTTTAAAAGAGTTGTGATGAACACAGGGAAAAGCAAACCTTTTCATTTTTTAAAAATATATCAGGAAATGTATACTAAGTTAAAAAATTTCTTGAGGAAGAAATATCAAAAGTAATTTATCTCTTTTTAGATTAGAAACAAGTATGATGTGATCTTGAGAAAACAAGAATGGGTTGAAATCGGTTTTATAATCTAAATGTCTATGTTATTATTTTATCAGAATTATTAAAATTTTGTATCACTTCTTCCATGAACATTGTATAAAATTCTTACAAATTTCTTTTTCCTTTTCTAGAACCACAAAAGACAGGTTTGGGTGTCGAACTTTAATTTCCCGGGCTGTTGCCATTCCAACAATACCTCCTCCAATGACTGCAACGTCAAACTCTCCCCCATTCTGACTGCATAAAAATGAAAGCAAACAAAATTGTAATTGTTAAGTAAAGAGAATAGGGTGTGTCAATATGTAGGTCACTTATCTCTGATCTGTCATCTACTTCCATGTGTTGATTCCAGAACAAGACAACTATTTTTCTTAGTAAAATCTGAAAAACTCGCATTTTTTCTCGATGTTTATGAAAAATTCATTTTCTAATAGCAACCAATAGCCCAAAGATTGAAAGTTCACCAGCTGGTCAGGTGACAGTGGAAGGTTCACTGAACTGCTGAAATAAGTTCTCAACATGCATAACATGTCATTAATTATACACTTACTTATGTGCATATCGCTGATGTCTATGCTTAAAACTTGACACTCTATTTTTATTGCAAGAAAGTGCAGAAACACTAGGAAAATGCCTCTGACAGCAAACTCGGGCAAACTTCATGGGCGCAGCCATATTGCTTCTCGTGCAATCACGCGTGGCGCAACGGGACTTTCCGATTTTCCCGAAGCATGACAAGAATAGCGCTGGCTTTCAAAACATTGTACAGGTGAGCGAGCGACGGGCAGGATGGAGGGGGAGCTTAAGTGTCCCATGTGCCAGCAGTTCTATTGTAATCCACTTTTATTGCCGTGTTCTCATTCTATTTGTGCTTCATGTGCTTCAAATATTCAGGAACCGTCGCAAACATTTTTAACGCAATTAGAAGAAGGGGGATGTTCCTCTACCCCCGGAGAAGGTGATTTAAAAGATTTTCCTGACATCGATAAAATTAGTATTTTAAGTGAAACAGATAGTGGTGTCGTATGTAACAGTCGTCCAAGTAGTTATATAGGAACACCTAGTATCGCAAATATTTATCAAACTGTGCAATTCACTCAAAATCCTTATGGAATTAAATGTCCTGTGTGTAAGAAAATTATTTTGCTGGATGAAAATGGATACAAATCACTGCCATGTAACAAAGTGTTGGAGACCATTGCAGAAAAATTCAGTCATAGTAAATATAAACCCCTGACTCTCTATGTGAACTGTCAAATGTGTGAGCACAATGAAGCTAAAGAAGCAGTTGTCATGTGTGAACAGTGCAATGTGTTTTACTGTCAGTCGTGCAAAGAGAGTTGTCACCCAGACAGGGGGCCACTGGCCAAACACACTCTCCTGGACACAATACAGGGGAGAGCGCTCCAGCGGGCCCGCAACAAGGGGAGAGAACTCCGCTGTCTGGAGCATGAAGAGGAACAGCTCAGCATGTACTGCATGACATGCAGTATACCTGTATGCTGCACTTGTCAGCATGAGGGAGGGCATAGTCAGCATGATGTCCAGGCCATCGGGGCGATGTGTAAATCTCAAAAGGTTGGGACCTCAGAAGATCAGCATGTTTGTATCTATAGACTAGAATCTTTCTCAAATTTTATAATTATAGTGTGAAGGCAAGAATCTTTTCTCAAAAAAATGGTCAAAATATTCAGTAATGGCTTTTATATTAATATTCTAATTTGATAAGTATTCTTTTCTACCCATTTCCCTTAAAAAAATGCCAAGAGACAGATTCAAAGAAAGGATTTTGAAACAGTGGATATTCTACCTAATTTGATAATAAAATATTAGGCCTTATAGTGATTAACTGTTACCCATATAAATTTCAAATTTAAAAAAAATCACCCAAACACATTAAAAATTTATACGAGGCATTAGTCATGTCAAAGGTATAAACTACATGTATATCCAAAGCAACATGATGCTTGTAAATAATATAAGGCACTAAAAAAGGTGACAACAAATGGGCTCTCTATGATAGCTAGAAGTCACTTAGTGCAAATGTCAGGAAACATGCACAAAAAATGTAGGATTTATGTTGAAATAACCGAGTGCATGCTTGTCATAAGTTACTAATGACATGTTCTTTAGATTTTGCTTTCGCCTTTAGATTTTATCATATTTTCGATTTATCCATATTTCAAAGAAAGGAAAACAAAGAGCTCTTCCCTCTGTAAGGGTCATATTGATTAGGGTTCTAAAATTTTCTAATGTCATTTAGAATTAATGACAGTTTAAATGGGTGTACATTAATGATAGTGTAAATTAATGATGAATTCTATTGATGAGTGCAGCATTATACCCTGTTATTTCAGTATGAGTAACACATTCTGAAGTACCCTTAGAATAATGGCTTTATGTTAAAATTGGTGTGATAATACCTCAGAATAATATTTTTAAGAACCCTTAGTAATGGAACTAAAGAGTCATACCTGAAGTGTAAAAGTTCTATTATTACAAGTGTTAATTACCTTTCAAGTACCTTTAAATGAAGTGCTCTCTCTCTCTCTCTCTTTCTCTCTCTCTCTACAAATTTTTAATTTTAAAATATTGACAGGACAGTATTTCCTTGTTTTTGTCTTTCCATGTATTTTTCACTCTCAGCTGATTGATAATCAGATTTCTCTGCTTTCTTCTTTGTCCCATTAATACCAATACCTGTAGGGTTTTTCTGTTGATTTTCTTGGTCTGTGTAGAAACTTAGGAATGCAGTGATTATATAGTGTTTTTACCTGTGTACTGAGTGAATCACCTGCATAGTGAGAGAGAACACAATGACTTTCCTCTGATACATACCTGGGTTTGTTTGAAGAAAAAGTTCATTTCTCTGCCATCTTATTGTTAGCTTCTGAGGCTGAATGATCAATGTAATTATTACCCATTGTCTTCTGGAAAACGAATAGGCATTGTTCTTAGGAAATGCAATAATTAGCTTGTGAAGCAAAGTAAATACCAGGGATTGTGTTAGGCGAGATTTTATAATAGGCGAGGATTTTGTCATAACAAATAATGGTATTAGATAGATGTGGTTTTGATCTGGTCTTGTTACTATAACAGTATTTGAATCAGGCTCTTTTGTGTGTATACACCCCACACTTATTTAGTCTGTTAGTACAGCAAGCCGAGAATTTTGGCAAGGGAGGTGTTAAAAAATCTATAGGCATTAAGTGTCCTGCAGGGAGCCACATGCTATAAAAGCCCTTCTGCTCAGTCAGATACTTGTACACACTGCAGTAAGCTAGGGATTCTCTCTGTAAGAAATGATTCAAATACAAACAAACTTTGCACTGTTTTTTTGGCCTCCCTATTGTATTCTTTTGAAAAAAATTCAAGGAGAAAAAAACTAAGCTAGATTTCCTTTCGGCATTTTAAGTTTGTATATGCTTCATCGATTTTTTTTGACAAGGACCGATCTTTTTGATCTTTTGTAAAAAACTGAATAATTGAATACTCTTAACGAACAATGCTGACTAACACACTGGTAGTATTGGATTGCAATGAAGACTCCAGGGATTCAACAGTAAACAAGTTTTATGCATGCTCTGGCTTCAGTAGAAATCCTCCCACCAGCCCTTTAACAAAATCTGAAAGAATCTGATAAGTATATCTTCAAATGAAGTATATACCAGGGTAGTAATATTTACAGATTATCAGGAATTAAAAATCTGGCTTGAATAAATATTTGAGTCAGTCCTTGTGTTTGTCTACATACCATGTTTGACACTTCAACAAGGGGAGATAACATTGTCATAGCAGGTGCCTGTGTGACCCGAACAATAAAAAACAAAAATCATTCTGATTATTGAAGATCACTGATCAGTGATAGATAAATATCTTTGATCTATTATTTGATGTACTAGGACTGAGGAAATTTTTCGTCATCCATGAAGCTTTTTATGCCCCGTGGAAATGCAGCATTAATTTTTACAGTCAATTTTATCTTACTTCGTACAGATCACCATAGAAGTGGGATAGGGTGAAACACTGTCCCAGATTTAATGAAATCTTGTAATTCCTCTGAAGCCCTTATCATACATGAATGGAAATAGTGTCGCCAATCAATATTTTATTGTGTGCAACATTTAAATATTGGTGGCGCCTGATAAACTGGGTTCTTTGTTGACAGTGAGTCTAGCAGTTCGCGGACCTGTCATTACAGGGGAAATCATTATGCATAGCCTCTCTGCTTCCCTCTTAAAAAGGACAGATGGGGCTGTGCAGATAATAGCTCATATTAACATTCTAAAGAGGGTACAAATTTGAAACATTTGGAAATAATTGAATTTCTCATTAATTTTTGATGTAGAAATAGAAAGCAGTTTGTTACATGTTGATAACAGATGTATTTTTAATTTTCATCACATCAAATTTTCAAATTCCTGTATAATTGTTTTGTCATGAAATTTTCACACTTTTAAGTATCTGAAACTTTGATCAAACTTTTTTATGCAGATCAAGGATTAAATATACATTACAACCTTGTTAATAATTAGAAAAAATGAAAAGAAAATATGATATAAAAAAGACTGTCTGCTAATATTTTTCTTTTTAGCAAAAATTTCCTTCAAGAATGTTGAAAAAATAAGCTATAAGCTCCTTATAAAAGTGATGACAAAAAAGTGATTTGCAAGATGTCTTCTCGCATTACGCAACTAGCACCTATTTAATTGAAAATAAATTTACACATTACATATGACCGAGCATTGTTTATACTTGAGCTTCAAAGGAAAGGAGGTAATTTATAAGAAGTTCTGACAGAAACCTTCTGTTTTACACAAACCCCTGGATAGAGGGGAAGTCTAAGGATGATTGATGCTGCAGAGGAAATCTCTCTAACGTCCCAACTCATCTCCACTGCATTCCCTCTTCTTTTTTCAACACTCTCTTTTTTCAAGACTTCAAAATATTTTTGCTCTGCAGAGCAGAAAATTATATAAAAAAAAAAACAGATCAGCTCTTGTCTTTCCTTTGGCTCTAATAATGCTAATTAATGGTTTATGAAGTGTTGGCTTAATAATGAGTAGAATGATTGTCTGGAGTGACAGGCCAGTGATGAATTACATTGCTTAGGTGTCGGTAACTAAGATTCCATTGGTTTCCTGGCGCCAGACTTCTGGCTACCGTAGCTGTCTGGAATTACTGACCAAGGTCTAATCAGGAGGCCATCTTAATTAGTTATGACAGACAGTCAACATCCACAAAATTGACACTTTATAACTGTAAAGAAATGCAATTACTTCTTGATTGAGCAAGTCTGCAACTTTGTATTAAAATACAAAAGTGTAGGTTGAAGGTGATAGGATCTGATACCCAAAACTGGAAGATAGAGTTTGACATGAGTACACTCATTTACATTATAGCTTCTTGTACTTTAAATTGTTCTTAAACTTAATTTGTTAATTGGTAAATATAGTGAATATATGTAATTTTTTTTCTCAAAGAATTCAATCTCTTATATTTCTATTTTTATATTGCTATTTTTTTCAGAATTTCAGTATATAAAAGGCATAGATTTTGGGTGAATGCAAAAATTAGCTGGTTCATTGCAAAAATTTTGAAATAAATGTATTTTAGAAACAATAAATACTGAACAAACAATTCTACCAATTTCTAAATGTTGATTGCATTGGATATAAATCATTTCAATTTATATTAAGGTACATAATTTGAACATTATCATTACAAATGTTTTTATTCTATTTTGTAGCTAGAACTATCACAGATTCTACAGTCTTTGTCAGAGAAAGCCAAAGTTGGAACAGAGTTCATCCAGAGTTTAAAGTCCATGACGGACCAAGTCCATGTAAGTTCCCTCAACTGGAATAAATAAGCAACTCATTTCGGTGATATAAAAAGTGAATTAAAACCATATTCATGGAACCTGAACACTCCCTATAAAAGCCAACTTAGCTTTGGCCATTAAAGGACAGTAAAAATGACTTAGTCATAATCGTAAGGGTTTTTCATGCTTAGACTGGATACATGTGATTAGGCCTCTGAAGCATGCTGATCCATTTGTTTTGGTTGTTGAATCTAACACCTGACTTAAATCAATCATGTTAATTAGCGGGTAGAGAGTGTCAGTAAGTGATTCACAATCACCAGTTTATGTGCAAATTTATGTATAATTATCATCCTGTCCCCCTGCCAATTCATTATATATTGTAACCATGTTACCTCAGCAGCAGCAGTGGATTCAGGGATTTTTGAGTCTTTTTGGAAGTATTTATATTGGCTTTAGAAAGGATATAGGGAGTGATGGAGATTTGTGATTGGCATCATCATTTGATAAAAGATGAATGATTGATTAAGATTTCTTTGATTTAAAGGAATTTATATGTAAGCAAATAAGTGCTTTTTCCTTTGAAAATTAACATTCATTTGGTAAAGTCTGATATAGTTTATTAATTCATTTGATACCCAATCCCCCCCCCCCCCAAAAAAAAAAGAGAGAGAGAGAAAGAAACTGAAGTTACATAACTTATATTTATTATTCATTCAAGATCTGTCAGAAAATCATTGAAAGGCAAAATCACTGTAAGATTTTTCTGTCAGCATTTTGTCAGCAGTATCACTATGTACACACCTGGATCTTTAGATCCCTTATCACTCGCAGCCATTACACTTCATTCTTCTTCACTGGAAACCGATCCCTCACTGCCATTGTGATGTCTTTGTTAACTTCCTGTGTGCAGCCCTGACAAGTTCACAGCCATGACAACAATAGCTGCACACAGCTGACTGCATTAGCACTATCTATTACATCACATCGCATCCTTCACATTTCTCTAGATTCTTGTAGTTTCTTTTTGTCTGCCAGCTAACTAATTGTTTTGTTTAAACAGAAAAGAGATCTGATGACATTTTAATCCTCTAGATGTGGGTGAAGTGTATTTTGTGTTTTTGCTTGGCAGTCGGTTCATTCTTTGGAATCTGAAAAAGAGCAAGGAGAATAGAGGGAATATTTTTGGTATATTCAAAAGTGTATAAGTTCAATGTTCAAGGACTTCCATGTTAAAAATTGATAAGGTTTCCTTTCCATTTGTGACTTTGCAAAAGGTTAAAAGCAGAAAATAGTTTTGACATTATCAAGTTTTTGCAAGGATACCGGTACATCCATAAGCGTAGGAAATAAACACCGAGTGCTATTGCACTTATTTAATTGGCACCCTATGATTCTTTCATTGTGTGTATGACAAATTTGTTAAATTAAAAAGTCTGTGAGACTGTTTTGCATATAAGATAATTCAGTAATATATGGGGATGGAATGGATGAAGCTTTGAAATATTAAACCAGTAATCCAAGCAAGGAACTGTTCTGTGCCTTCAAAGACTATAAGAAGATTCTGTAAAATTTTTGATGACATGACTCAAAAGCATTCTAGTTCTAATTAGCAGTCAGGCACAAATGTTGTGCTAGCTCATTGGACAGGAACAATGGTGGAACAGATTGAACTTAACTCTGATATTATAACCTGGTCATCTAATTCCCTGTTTTCAGTATTATTCATTTGTGCTTGAGTGGTCCCCCCGTGATGCTCAGTGGGTTATTCCCTGCCAGTTTACAATAACAACCACTCTCATAGTTCATGAATGAAATATGGAGAGTACTATGCAGCAAAATATTCCCTGTCAGATTTTCAGGAAAAGGGGCATTAGCAAGGAATCGGTTCAGATTTGTAAAATCAATTATTTATGAAGTTTTGTAGCAATCTTGAAATGTATCAAGACTGCCAGACTAGAAAAATTTTTATGTATCCAGTTTTGGTCTCCCAGGATCAACAGGTTTTGATCATTTTGTTTTCAAGAAAATAAATAAAGGATAAGGGCTAATTTTTTTATATTAGCCTTAGGTAGCTGTTTATTTAGCTCCCTAATCAATTTTTTTTGCCCACCCATTGGTAATGACTACCTGTGCTGGTAATGGGGGATTGTGGGTCGTTAGGAGGGTGATGACTCGTAGGGGAGGGTTATTGATGGGGGTGATCAGACAATGAGCTCCCTGTTTATTTACTATCACTCTAAAAAAATTGGATTGTAATGAAATCCAGGTAGGGAAAAATAACCTCTCCAGAATCCAAAAAGTTAGGTTTCAAGAGATTAGAGGGAGCATGGATTTTGTTGCCAAGGAGCAGAAGGAGAGGAAAATGTAGGTTAATTCTATGTGTCTGATTATATATATTCAATCATTGGAATCTGACATGCATAAACAGGGGAATAAAAAGGAAACAAAAAAATTGAGGCACATTTATTTTTCACATATCTATTTAAACAAATGAGGAAAGCATGAAGCTTTTTCATAAAGCAACAACAGTTCTGACTCAGGAAATATTTTCAGATCAGATTTATGCAATAAAATCTGGTGCTAAGCTTTAACACCATGATTTATGACATTCTTGGGTGCAATAAAAATTGCGAAAATTGAGAGAGTTATTGCAAATGAAAATTATCTTTATCAAAATATTTTTTTTTCATATGCACATGTGATTTTTATCTAGGGGAACTGTTTAGACTTTGAAGCCACAGTGGCAGCCCAATGTGATGCTTTGATTGACGCCATCAAGAAGAGGAAACAGGAGCTGTTGGTCCACGTTGCAGAGGAACGAGACCTGAAGATCAGCATGTTGAAGGAGCAGGCCTCCCAATGCACGGCCCTGCTGCAGCGCACCACAGGGCTCCTGCACTTCTCCATTGAAGTCCTGAAAGAAAGCGACCCAGCTTCATTTTTACAGGTCTGTACATCAAAACAAAAATAACAAAAACACAATGAATGTTAACAACATGCCATAAATCAAGAATTGAAAGACAGCAATGGTCTTTCTCCAAGAACTTCTTTTGCACTACAACATTTTCCATTCAGTTTAATAACAATTCCATATTTCAAGCACAAAGCCAACATGAGGGAAAAAATTCAATGAATCAGTGATAAATCATGAACTTAAGCTCATTATTAATTTAACAATTAGCCTTAAAAATTGATTTCCATTTATGAGAAAGGGTGGCCCTATAGTTACCATATGTCAAGTTCAAGAGAGTTGTGATTATTATTGAGCTTTTTATGTTATGTATGGACATCAGATAACCGAACTACATTTGTATTTCATTCCTTTCCTGGTGCCTTGACAGAAATCCTTTATTTCAAACAGAAAAAAAATTATGTAGGTCATGTGACCTTATTTTATTTTTGTCGAAAATCGTTTAGATTAATCGTTAACAATCCTTTATTTTTTTGTGACAATAGCCATTAAATTCTATATATATATACTCAAAGCTGACCTTTCACATGTATGAGTGGGAGCAGGCTAATATTTTTTGATGAGCTTTTTCCTATAAACAGTTTTTAATTACTTTCTATGAGGCAAATAAAATTATTTGTTCTACTTCAGTGGCTCCTGTATATAGTATAGACATAATCCCAATGAGCGGATTCCAAGGATTATAGAAGCCGACGAAAGTAAATCAATGGAATTTTTAGTGAATAATTCTGTTTTATGATAATTAAACTGAAAAATCAATCTTTAAGATAAAAATCAGTCGAGAGAGTTAAAGTGGTTCTCAATCAAGCCAAAACCAACATAAAGCTCAATCAATTATTACAAACACTTTGATGTGCTAGGGACATGTCAAAGACCCAATAATATCTAATCTCGTACCAATTTCTCTCCATTAATTATAATTTAGATTTGCATCCAGGGCATTTTCATTCCCTGTGATGTGTGTAAATACAAACACATTTACTGTGAACAGGCAGGTTTTTTGTCTATTATGAATCATAACCAATTTGTTTTCTCCATTGTCTAACTGCAGTATGGCTGTCAATGGAAATGTTACCATGACACACTCTTGGCTGCAGGGAACGTAGATATCTGCTTAATATCACTTTTTCTTACAAGCAGGTACATGATACGGATCATTAGTTATTAGGCATTTTAGTGTTTTACATGCAGTAACAGATCAAGAGTTCTGATAACCGCAACTACAAAGGCAACATGTAATTGGACATCCATTATTTTTATTATTATTTAATTTTGCCTACATTTAATGTGTTATCACTTTGGAAGTAAGGGAGCAATAGGAAGAAAGAGAGCCAATAATCCCCAAAGATTCCTTAGTTAGTGCATAGCTGTATGATTTACTACTGATATTTATGGAGAAAGGAAAGTAAAGTTGGGGGATAATGTGGTCCAGAAGGGGCGTTCCTGATCCCCCAATGTCTCATTATCTGCATATGGTTAACAAAAAATTGCTCTCTGTTGGTAAGATTTACTGTTGGCTAGTGCCATGATTGTCCATATACCATACACTTCTGTCAGAAATTATTTTCAAGTGCTCCGAATTTCAGAGATAATATTAGACTTATTCTCATTTTACCCCTCCCCAGAGTCATGTTGCAAATCGTGGGAGGTCTGCAGAAAAAAAATGGCTAAAACATGGTAGTCGTTGTATCCTCAGATGAGGGGAAGGATTGTCTGTTTATTTGTAAGGGGTTATACAACGGATTTCCTTTAGAAAATTAAAGATGTACAGATGAGAAGGGAGAGGATAGAAATTGATCTGCAATTCTGTTTCCTGTGGCTGATACTCAGTAACTCTACTCCTAACAAATTCTTTTCCGAATTAATCTCCGTTGTTAGTAGATATTTACATATCAGCAGTTTCAGCCTGTGATTGATGTGTAATAAATCTGTTCCAATCAGCCCTCATGGAGGAAAAAAAAAGATTTGGTGAACTTTTGAGAATGAATGGAGAATTCCCTTCAGATGGGATCAAATTCTTTACCCTGAGAAATCATATGTATCATAAATCACGTTGGCTATTTAGAAAATCTGATGCCATCTTATAAATATTTCTTTGAATAGTTTTTCGCTTTAAATGGGGTTTATTTTTTTTTGTAAAATCTTTTATTTAAATGCCTTTTATGGAATTCTTTTGATTAATGGCTTTACAAGAAGGGTGAAACGGAAGGGTGCCAAAATATAATATGACTGTTACAATTTGCTTTGTTGCACAGAACATTTTGCACCAGGGTTTATTTCGTGAAGCACCTGAAACTTTATCTTTGTGATATTAATGTTGATAGAGGGCTTCTAATTCTCTTACGATCTTGTGGTAACAGTCCGTTTTGGTACCAAACCATCACTGATATAAACTGGATCTCCCTGCTCTTTAATCATCTTGTCAGGTGTATACTTATCCCCTTTTACAGCTATTACTTGTTACATGTACCAGTATTTAATTCCAACATTTGCTTTCTAGAACATTTATTTCTTGCAGCAAACTTAATGCTTTCAAAGCTTCCAATTTTGAAAATAATCTTTTAGGAAGAGAAAAATGAAGAGAAAAGATTGATTAAAAATCCAGAGCATAATTACATTTTGATTAACATGAGAGGCCAAGAACAAAATGAATTATAACAATTTTCCCTTTACCGGGGTATTTACTTGCTTGAGTTTTCATTTATGGAACATTCTTTTTGTTGAGACTTTTTGTCACAATACTGAGGACTTGCAATCCAAGACCTAACAACTTTTGTTTCTGGCATTTGGTCAATGTTAAAGAGAGAGAGACACTAATGCCTGAGATGACCTTTGGTCATAGTTCCTGGCATGGGTCAGAAGTTTGATCTTGATAAATGAGAATGCAAACGACCATGGATACATCATTGGTTACACATAAATAAAGGATCTGGAGTTAGGGCAGATTAACTTTTGGAAATCTTGACAATTATGTCAGAAATGCTGATGAATAGCTTTGTGACCAGGGAACCCCATCTTTCTGATTGTGTTTCAATATGGCTTCCTTTTACTATGAATGTCTTGCTTGAGTATAGATTCTCAAAGGGTTTCTTTTATTGTCTTTTTTTTTATGGAGTCATCAATATTATAAGATGGTAGAAATTCTTATATAGGGAGGACAGATGATACTTTATTACTGAACAGAGTAAAGTCTAGATGACTGATGTTATAATCAAAGACAGAATTCCTTCCAATAATGTGGACATAATTAAAGCCATTTCACACAATGAAGCAGAATTTTTCTGGAATCCAATCCTCTGCCAGTGACATCTCACTTTGTTCTTTGTCAGACCTCTTTCTTTTTTGTGCTGCATTGAGTTTTTAGGAGTCTTAATGAAACTTTTTGCCCATTGATTTTTTGGGGGGCATGTTTTAATAGCAGTTTTTTTTTCATTGGTTGTTTGCATTTACTGGAGAATTTGTCCAGTAGTCAATATTATTGTCACATTTGTTAAAAAAAATAAAGAAGAAAAATTGACAGAAGCAGTTGCTACTACTTGGCTTTATGAATATCAAAACGCAAACCTTTATCAATACTTTTACGACAGCACAGCTAAGTAGAAATACCCAGTGCAACATCAGGTTTCAATTATTTGATAACAGAGAAGAAAGGAATCAATTTTTTAATTCATTAATTTACTTATTAGTCATACAATTATTCAGCTTTAGAAATTAGCCTCAATTAAGTGGATGTATGATACAGTGAAACTCTGTTATAACAAATTCACTTGGACCTGTGAAATTACTTCGCTATATCCTTAATTTGTTATGTCCATATAAAGAATTTGTATAATTTACGTAGTAGAGGACCCAAGAAAACTGTGCTATATCCATAAATTCGCATTATTTCTCTGTTTGTATCAAATGAGTTTTACTGTAACTATAACTGTCTCCTTTAAGAAAATCTTAATATGGAGAATCACTTATGGATGGTAAAGCCATGGTACGGTTGTTAATGAGTATTGGTTTATAGCAGCCAAAATAGTAACTATTATTGGGGATGATCAGGGATCTAAATGACTTGTAAATCACTCCCATGACATCAGAGATTCTAAATCGAAGATGTATTAACATGTATATAATCATTTGTTCTGCAACAATGTGAATGATCTATAGGGTTCAAAATAAGTAAGGATAATTTGTAACAATTCCGTACGATGAAATACATAGTTCTGATACCATTACTGACAATGCAATTTTCCATGACTGAGGAAGCTTAGTTCTTCACCTGTATTGAAGATCAGAATAAGAGTTTGCTGCAGGAGAAAGATTTTTCGTAATGAAGCTTCGTTTTCTAGATATGGCACGCTCTCCCAGTGGGATTAAAGGGCTCCAGAGTTCTATTAATGTTCAAATAATCCCTCCCCGATGATTGTCATATTTCACACCGAAGCCAGCCTAGCAGAAAGGAAGTTATCAGTTCTTCTTGGACAAAAAAATTACTATTCCAAACACAGATGAGTTAAATATGGTAATGCCATATCCGATTCTGTCTTCTGCCTTGGTATCTCCTGTCACACACAATGCGGTAAAATGAAAGATTGGGCAAATGGCTTAAAAGTGAGGAAACAACCATGAAATTTGAATAACAGAATTCATGGGACTTGTATTTGTTCATGCAATTAGGGTTATTTGATTCTTTATTCATTATACTAACACCACAAAGGCTGCATTTTCATTTTCGAAATCTAATCCCTGTGGGCTGCAACCGAGTTGGAATTTTTTTTTCCTGGTCTGCCTAATTTGTGATGCAGGGAGACTGTTATTAAATGGATTCATCACTCATGAATGAGGATGCATTAATTACTTAAGCTCATTAAGAACCGGTTCCTCTCAGTCTCCATTGAAGTTTTCTCTATAAACAAAGACTTCTCATGACCCCCCACAATAATCAAGATCATTACTATGCTTGAGGTCATTTATAGTGGTAGGTTTCCACACCATTTACCCCAAGCTTTATATTGTTACAGATTTTTCCCCGGCATTATCATTGATTGGAAGGTGATTAGGGATGGGTCATTGAAAATGATTAAAATAGAATTCCAGGAGATTGGATAAAAATTTTTATCTAGACAGCAGTTACTTTGTGTGACCACTATCAACTGTTCCCCTCAGAATCTCATGAATTATGGATGGATGGTGCTTAGGAGTAAGAAGTTTTGCCACAATAGATAAAAGTTTACATACTTTAATGCCAGTATCTATAAAGGCAGTGGATTTGTAGACAAGTTGGATAAGATGCGATGATTTACAGACAAATAGTAATTAAAATCGATATTAATACAGAGATGAAAGACGGGGATAATATTTGCTTTTCATCACAATTTTTGGCAAGAAATTCATCTACAAATTAAGAGTCTATTTGATGCAATATAGAAAGTCAAAGGAGAGGGCTAGGATGGGTTCCCATGTCTCTCAGAGAAGATTGAGGTTTTTTTTCTAGTAGATATATTTAAAGGTCTTTTATCTGTTAATAAATAGGAAAATAATGAAGAGGATGTAAATTCATTTAAGAAGCATATTTTCCCAGGCTAGATATTTCGGGGAAAATATGCTGACATGTATAACTTATAATAATCAGAAAATTGACATGTGATGACATAAAGTAAATATTGTATTTATTATAACATTTGACTTAGAAAAGGAAGATATTGGAAAGTTGACTGAAGTGTTTGGTCACTAATGTATCTCTGTTTTTGCTCTCTCTCTCTCTCTCTCTCTCTCTCTCACTCTCTCTCTCTCTCTCTCTCTCTCTCTCTAATCTGTTGATATGTGCTGTCATTAGATGACAGATGTGAAAGATAGCTGATGAACCTGTTGATATTACACCCAGCCTGAGTGACCTAAGGCACACACTAACTGACCATAAATCACCAAACACAGAGTTTCTGAGGGGATTTCACATCCTGTACAGTAATAGAGGTGAAAGAAAAACCTCCTAGTATCTGTCCAAGGTTTAGATTATTCAAGTAATGAGCATTTGGGTTTACAAATGTTCTTATAAAGGTTGTCAGTCACTCTATGAGTACCTGGTTAACTGGGGACTTGCCAGAAGATAGATACAATTATCAAAATAGATATACTTTGTTATGTTGTTACCCTGGATGGAAAAAAAGAAATCTACTATTTGAGAGGTTTTTTTATCTAAAATTCTTTTTTATAAGATTAAACAATATTTCAGTTTAAAGAAGTCATTTTGTAGGTGTCTACATAGAATGAAAGAAAAAAAACTGTTTATAATATGCAGCAATATAAAGTTTCACATCTTTTGAAAAAATTGTTTGTCACATGAATTTGTGTGATCTGCAGAGATGTCTATATTTTAGTTTCCATTGTTTGATCCATTATTTGATTTGTTTGTCTGCCTGTTCTGTTTGTAAGTTAAAATTGATCGATATGTCTTTCGATGTGGAAGCTATATTTGATTATATGTACTTGATTGATCAAATTGAAATCTGATATCAAGAACAAATAATAATACCAGGACAATGTATTGTCAATTAAAAAAAATCTTACATTGACTTTGTCATGAGCATACAAACACATCTAAATCATTTTTGATCATAATTAATGTTTCTGTATTTTTTTCTCACCCAGGTCTCCAGCGGTCTCATCAGTCGAGTGTCCACAGCTGACCAGAACTTCAACAAGGACATGGAGCTGACCCCCCGCATCGCCACGGAGATAGACTTGACCTTGGACACCGGCCCCACCCTCCACGCTATCCAAAGCATGAACTTTTTTCAACTGAAAGGTACAGCCGCCGTGCTCTCAAAGTTTTCTAATCTTTTGTGGCGATGGCGGTCTGATCTAGCTCACTATGAAAGTGAGTACTCTTTTTGTGTCTCTAATATTTTAATGTATGCTCAGAGTAAGTATTTTAAAAAATGCATGATTAACACTTAACCTATACATTTTTAAGGATTTTTTATTGATTGACCTTTATAAGTATAAGGTAATAAAATATAAATGAAAAAAATCCTAACACTTTAGATATGTGGTGACATTTAGAATTTTTCCTTGTGATGGTTCATGTAAAAATGTTAAAATCAATTTTTGAATTACTTTTTCTTCTGGATATATCTATTTTATGACCTAACTGCTGACTAGATTAGAACAAGTCCCTATGTCATTTATCCCTTGGAGAGAGGAAAGGAATACCTTACTAGTTAGACATGTGACAGTTTTATATCAGTGGCGGATTTAAGGGGGGGCGCACCCGGCGCGCGCTAAAATTGTCAAAGTTAACATAAATCACAGTTTCGTCTACTTCATTTTTTTATAAAAGTGCAGCTGGGGGCCTCAAGGCGGCCCCCAGACCCCTTGCCTACTTTTAGCGCCCCCCCCTAACTTCAAATCCTGGATCCGCCCCTGTATATGCTTAGCAGCCTAGGCTTCATTTATAAAAGTGCAGCTTGTACTCTTCAAGATCTAAATGCTTCAGGGAAAAAAAAAGAAAATAAAAAAACCAGAGCGTTTGTATATCTGTCTTGGTGAAGAACGTGTCCCTCGAGTAAACCTCCATGTATCTGTGTACTTGATTTCACCTGCTGCAAAACAGAACAGAATAAGTGTGAGTTGAAGCATTCCATACACGTGATAATACGGGTAATATTCCAGACCCCATCTCGACTAAATCATGTGTGGCACAGCTCACAGGTCAAGCAGATTTCCATTTTATGAGCTTCTTTATCATTTCTATGATAAAAAATGTCTGAAAAATATTTTCACAATGATGCCAATTAATGAGGATCATGTTATTTTTTACTTACATGAACCAAATAACACTGAAATGCAGTGCTTTTAGGTTAAGGAAAAATATATATTGGAAAAAGTACAGGTATTAATGCAAGATTAAATAAATCTAACTTGGGCTAATTTTTGGACATATGTTGTTTTGAATAGGACATATAAAGGGCTTAGATTATTTTTACAGAAAGGTACAGCATAGTGCTAAACACCCCCAAGTTATAAACTTCTGAAGTGTATAAGTTTTCTTGAGAAAAAATCCCTAAAGATGATGAAAAGCAAAACGAAGCAGCGAGCACAAAGTTTATGTAATTAGCCTGATCTCCTAGACATTGAGTGGGATGAAGTTATATTAGATATAACAAATTATGCCACTTATCAACATCATTAAAACAATCATCTACATAAAAGACTTTAATCAGCAGGTTTTAGCACATCGAGAGGAGGATGAGATAGCGTTAAATAGGAAGAAGGGGCGGCAGACGACACTGGGATGAGGGGGGACCATCTCAAAAGACATTGGGGTGTTCACAGGGGGAAAAATTCATCAATGCTATAACTTTATATCCAGGCACTTCAGAAGAAAATGTTTTCATACTTATTCATGAATTGTGTAACTTCTAAAGGGTTCAAAGATGTAGCTCTTAATATAACTTCTAAGAAGGTTGAATTTCTCTTGCTTTAAGTGTAGCCATGTAATTTAGTCAGGTTGAGGTAAGTATGATAGAAATTTCCATATCCATCTCTTTCATGGCTAATGTTCTGACTTTCTTTTTCTTTGATTTGATGCACAGGGGGTGTGGGTAAGTAAAATGGAGGAAAATGTTGTCTGTCTTGCATCTTTGTCACCTGAGTTTGCCTCCATCTCAAACTTTGTTCTCTGTTCCCTTTTTATTTTGAACCATAATAAAAATAAGATCTTAGTGTATGACTCTTAGCCAGATTCTTTAACAACAGAAGAATGACAATACTTTGCACGGGAACTATTTATTTGATTGCAAATTAAACATGAAACACCTTTGAGAGTTCAGAGTTTTTAGGAGTATAGATAAACCTGCTACGAATTTACTTAGATAGACCATTAACTGATTATAACCAAGGCTAACTTTTGTTTCCCATGCATGTTAATGAAGTGCAGTAGAAATTCTCTCTCCATGTTTTATTTTTAATTCCCTTTTGATATTAATTTTCTGAATGGTTCCATAGTTAGGCGGCTGCATGCATTGATGCGCTCTGATACTATACATGTGTTGCACTTCACTATTATTATAGACAAAGCTTTTACGAACGTAAGAGATGGTTAAAGATGGTAATTAACATCTTTGATATCTATTTGAATTAATTAAGATAAGTTGGATGCATCTCTTTAAGAAGATAAACAACCTTTAAATAGCTCCTGCGCTAAACAAATACAGTTAACGATACCTTGGGAACAAGATGCAGAATGTCGATAAGGAGTACAAGTGTACAGATTACCTAAATATTGACGTTATAATACTTTTGTCTGGCATTTATACATATATGGCAAACACTCGGGGGACTTAGATTGACACAGATCTTGGTGATTTGACAGAAACCATAGACACCAAATTACTCATGAGGATTCCTTCTATGTCATTTGTGTTACCAATAGATCTAGGTTAGTGGTCCATCTTCCAATTAGGTTAAATTTGAAAAATTGTCAAAATTGTTTAGCTGTAAAGTCTAATTTCACCAGAGAAATGCATCCATTTTCACTTTTTTATACCAATGCTGTCCATGATTTACCATTTATGTCATCAAAAGTTGGAAGAATAATTCAATTGATGTCTCCAGCATTTCTCTTGAAACGAAATCCTTGCTGAAACAGTAGAGACAAATTGCAATATGTATCTGTTTACACTTGGATTTATGTCTTATGAAAAATTTTAGCTTCACACTTTGATAAATCAATTTCATCTTTCATCTACAATAATATTTTCTATCAAAAAGTTATTTGTAATGTGGACTTTGATGAAAAAGGATAAGACCAATCAATGACCATTTTCAAAAAAAAAAAAAAGATACTATCAAGATGTTGTCCAGATGATATTAATAAAAGATAAAAAATATATCAAAATGCATAAAGGATAAACAGATAAGAAAATGTCCAGATCGTGTGCGTGTGATATATCTGGGAGCTGACCAGCTGCCTATAATCAGCTGTCACTCAGCTGAGTTTATCAGTACCCCCAGAGGAGGATAGCATCAGGTGATGTTGACAGCAAGAAGACTCCAATAAAGCCACAAAAAAGCTCTGGAAAAATAAGGGTTCCTGATCCAATGTCAAGTTTTCCTGTTGATTTTTCTGAGAGAGATTGCAAATGGTTCTTGTCTTTGGGGTTTTGTGTTTTACAACATGTATCATTATCTCTGCAAGATTAATGTCAAAATAAGTTTTTGAAAAGTTGTACAGTAAAACTCGGTTATGATGCTTATAATTGGCTATATCTGTAATTTGTAATAGAGAAGTATAAACATTTATAGCGAGTTCACAATAGGAATGTTTTTTCAAGTATTACTACCAAATATGAGAAGCAAATATTACAAAAATATATAACTAAGGTTTTATTCTGAATTGAATTTTATATACAAACGCTACAAGAAAATAAAGTCAGTTCAATTTAGCAAATTTTAAGATCTTTGAAAGTTCGTTACAAAAGATGTAAATTTCATTATATTTAACCTCATCGGGACTCAAAATGAGTTTGCTATATCCGGCTATATGTTATAACCATAAAATTTTACAAAGATTTGTTAAGAATTTTGTTGCTATATCTGTGAATTCGCTATATCCGTGATCGTACTAAACGAGTTTTACTGTACAAAGTTGATGCTTATATTAAGAAAGACATAATTCTGCAATTTTGTTTTAATGGGTATGTATACATTTGTGGGTTTTAATAATTTGCTTTTTCTTGACAAGGCTATGCAAATCCTTGGTTTTGTTGGTTTGATTTACTGCGCTAAATCTGGAATTTTTTTATGCTTTTATTTGAAAATGACTCTCGTATTTTTAAAAGAAATAGCTCTAAAAGGGGGAGATGAAAAAAATTATTGGTTTTAAAAATGCAATATTTATCAAGTATCCAGGGAAAAGGTGATTTAGTGAATTTTATAAATTAACTTATACGATGCAAAAACCACATTATCAAGACCCAAAAAAGATGTTAACATGATAACTTGTGATGCAAGAAGAAAGGTTCAAATTAGAAGTGATGATTTTTACAATAAAATGAAAAATTTTTACAAGCTTAGCACCATAGATTTAATTGTTATATTACAGTTCAGACTTGCTGACTGCCACTAGCAGAAAATTGACTTGCGATCGCTTTCCTTTCATTTTCTCTTAATTAAAATCTATCTTTTTCATCCATCAAGATCAGAGCTTTAATTAGTTAAAAAAGACTTTTTGATTCAAATGTTTTTGAAGAAAATATGAACTTAGCCTGAAAATAAACTCTGTTACAAGAGGAAGTTTTTGTGTGTTTCAGCTCCTGGTAAACCCAGAATTGTACCAGAAGACTGTAGTGCTGAGAATAACAGTGTGACCATTGCCTGGCAGCCACACATGGGGAATGTGGTAGAAAACTACAGTCTGGAGTTAGATGATGGCTGTGGTGGAGATTTTAGGGTAAGAAACTCAAGAATTACAGACATGTCCATCAGGAACACCACAGATTAAATTTGTCACATCTCATCCTAAATTACCTCCCCTGTTTTGTTTTTTGTATCCAAATATCATTGAAGATACAGACCTACATTTAAAGAACTTAAACCTTGGACCTGAGCTGCCATACGGGGGTATCAGTGTTTCACAAACACATCTTTCTTTATATGAGGTTTTGAAGGTAACCTCTCAGATGCAGCAGAAAACTGCATGCACTTTTAAACCAATTAAAACTTTTCAATCAAGCCGAAGCCTTCAGGGATTTTATACGACATTTATTTTCTCATATAAAATGGAAAATGCGCAAAATAAATATTAGAAGGAAAATGAGTCAAATATTTTCAAATAAATGTAACAATATTAAACCTGGAAATACGATAAAGTAAACATAGAATCTTTTCATGTGGGGAATAATGAAATTAGCTCCCGTTGAGTCAGGGATTTCTGTTTTTGCTCAAAAATGGAAATATGCAGCACGATGATTCACGAATATCATAACTGTTGCTGTTAATGACTTTGTTTACTAATGAAACGTGACAAAGTTTGTTTCCGACAAAAAGTCGTTCTTGCATATTTCCATAAAAGAAGGATAAGGTAATGGTAAAATTTTATTGTCAGTCAACAAATGCAATTAGAGAATACAGCTTCCTGTTTTTCATTTTCCCTTTTCATTTCTTGCCCCTTTACAATTGCATTATTTGAAATGAGAAATAAGTTTATGACCAGTATGGACTTTTTTAAACATCATATTCCAAGCTTTTGTCAAAAGTTTCCGAAGAAATTAACTGGTATTCTTTGCCTGTCATTGCACATATAAAAAAAAATGAGCAAGGACTGAACTGATACAATTATAGAATCATCATAGCTTTCATTTAATCTACTTCCGATTTTACATGAGGAGAGAGTAGGGAAAAAAAGAGCATTTCTTTTCCTGGCGGACAATTGGCTATTAGTGGCTATTATACTGTTGCTCGAGGTGTCACGACTCGTTGCTTTCATCTTTTATTTCCATTAAAGTGAAATGCTAAAGTAATGTAATATCTGCACGCTATGAAATATTAAATAGGGAAAATCCCCTAGATGCAATCAATCCGAGAGCTGAACCTTTCTTGCCCAGGGCATTTGTATCACTAAACCTAACGTAACTTAGGTTTATTGTGTAGTTTATGCCCCTTACAGTGTTTTGCATTTCTTAATAGCTAGCTTTAAGGCCAAGTGCTTTCAATTCTTAGTTTTCAACCAATTACCAGGGTTTTATTAAGTTGATAGGCTGAATCATGTAGATCTCTTTTGAGTGAATGAAAACCCTTTTCTTTAGTACAATTTAGAGGGGTTTTTTGGCTCATTGGTAATTATTAGAAAGCTAAGTTGCCTTTTACCAACTGAAAATTCTTTCAGAAACCAAAGAGTTAATTTGCAAATTAACAAACAGAACAATTGGTTTATTATTAAAAGAAGATAGATGGCTCCCTGGTTGCTTTGTAATGTCCTTATTGATCCTATAGCACTAATCTTCATTTGATAAAAGGTGGCTGTCCAGTTTCTGCTGACATTATTGAAAATTACTGAGAAGCTGCTCTGATTGAATTTGGAAGTGAGAAACAGTGTGTCAACTTGATGTGACAAGTTAAGATTGTTGGTGAATTGTCTAGACTGTAGAATCCCAAGGGAAACTAAAATTAATGGTCATCCTTTGCTTTGTATGGAGGTAGCTGACATTAAAAAGAACAAATGAAAGTGAGAGCTAAAAAGAAAAAAAAGATTAAATAGAAAGGCAGTAGGATTAGCTAGACCCTTTTTCAGTTAGGAGGAAACATTTTGGCAATAAAAGTCAAGCATTTTTACTTGTAGTATCCATTCGATGTGACCTTGAAAATTTCTCCAAAGATTTTCCTTACATAAATGCATATATTTTTTTAGTCATTAGCATTTTTTGTTCACATCTTTTGATGTCACATAGATTGCGATGTTTGTTTTCAGTTCTTCATTATACATGTATACATTGAACAATTTTTTAATACCAATTAACAGATGCAATTTGAGGGGACTTTTTGTTTTTAATTAAAGCAGGCCTGTTCAATACCAATCACTGCTCTTCTAAAAGACTTCTCCGCACATTAATTATCCAACATAAGGGATGTTAATTTCACAAGTTCATGATTTATCATTTTTCCCACTAAATTAAACTTTTAGTGAATGAGATTTTCAAATTAAGCAATTATAAGTATTGATCTGTCTCAAGGCACGCTTTTATAGCCCATATAGTTTCAGATATTTGTACCGTTGTAACAAATAGTGAAATTTAAGCACTTTTTGAATGAAAAAAACTTACAGCATGCATGTTGTCGTAATTGAAAATGATGTATTTTGAAACAATGTCTAGCAAGTCCCAGACATCAAAACTAAATGGTGTATTGAAAAGTGCACCACTACTTTGAATTAAGGAAATTAAAACAAACGCAGGTGCCAAGTTTCAGTTCATGATTTTTATTCATAGTCAGAGATAATGAACCATACATGCCAACTTTCCCGATTTTTTCGGGAGTCTACCGATTTTTAACCCTGTCTACCGCTTGTCTACCGATTAATTTTTTTTCTCCCAACCGAATTTCGAAAATCCGGAATTTTTATTCGCTTTGAATAATACAGTATTTCCGTGTGCAGAAAACATGGCTGTTTCAATGTTTATCGGTAGGATATCTGTTTATTGCCGCTGATAACAGGTAATCAACAAGGTGTCAACTGTGCTACCAGTCATTACAGAGGTTTTAATTGCTCCTGAACCTCATTAACAGTGTATTTTACCCAAGACAATTATGCCAGATGTGGAAATTTTTAGAAATACACACGACACTGAATACAAACTGACAAACTTGTGAGAGTTCACACTTTAGTCTTTACAGCAAACTTCGGCAATATACGTATAAACCGTTTATAAAAGGTGTTCAAGTTTTGGAATATTGCATTCCTCATTAAATTGTAATCTACTTCATGGAAAAGACACTGTCAAAATCCAACATGGAAAAAATGTGCCTGCAAGTAAAACCATTAGGACTGCCCAGAGTGATCAAAATAAAAAAGAAAGGAAAAGACCATACCTTTTGCAGACTTTGATTGAAAAGTTAAAATGAATTCCCTCTGAAGAAAAAAAATAATTTAACAATATTTTGTATAAAATTAAACTTTGTAATTTACCAACAGACAATGAACAGGCTTATTTGTAAAGTTTAACATTCTTATTTATGTAATAATATGTTAACTTTATGTATCACATTCTTTAAGACAGGGGGTATATTTATCTTAATATTAACATATTAAATAATTTTTAAAATTGTCATATTTGTGCTTTTCTTTAAGTTGATAGAGAAGAAAACACTTTTTGAAGTAGTAATAATATATATGATATAATTAAGGTAGTAATTGATAAATTTCACGACAAAACGCCGCGAATTAGGAACTACGCGCAATCTCCCCCAAGAAAATTTTCAAAAGTTGGCATGTATGATGAACTGAATAAAAATTATGAAAGGGACTTAAATTTGGACTTTGCATTAACAAATGCAGCAACCAAAAAAGAAAAGCTTCAGAAAACATGAATGGATGCAAGTAATTGAGATATTGTGAGAAAAATGCAGATATTACAAACTACAAAGTTATTCATCAAAGAATTCTTTTCTTGGCAAGAAAAATGGAGAAAATCATTAAAAAAAAAAAAACTGAATATGAATGGAAAGCTTTAATTAAGAGTGTTTTGCAATCAAGTTAATTTTACAAACACAACGTTATTCAGATTTGTTAAATAAGTTAAAAGGTATATTCCTATTAAAGTAGCCTAGATTTGTGTGCATTTTTAAATTTGATATTAAGCTCACCTGAGGTGAAAGCTTAAGTGAGCTTTTCTGCTCACCCTATGGGTAGGGTGGGGCCACAATAAGTATTACAAGGAAAAACAGCAGGGCCAGTGTTACTCAGGTAAGCATTGAGACTCATAGGCCTCTTGTTTGCACATGTATTATATCTTTTGCGTAACATTTTTTTAAAACCCATTTATTGACATTGCTAAGGAAATTATTGTGTATGATAATTTGTCTCCATGATATAATGATTTTCAACAATACACTAGTTACAATATTATATACTCTCATAATATTTCCTGTTTTCTACTGAGACTCTTTATCATTATCTGCTGGCTTCCTGAAAGTGCTGGAATTATGAGAAAATAAAATTCCTCGTTGAGCCTTGCTTATATAGTGTATATTTTTTATAAATAATTAAGGGCTGCAGATGTACATTTTTCAAAATAAATTGATTTAAACTGTTTAATTAGAGGTTTCTGGTTGGTTTGATAATGCTAAAATGCTTCAGATCAAAGTAAATCCTGACTGAAAGATTCCAATAATTAATATTTGTAACGTAACCAATATCCAATATTCAAGCTAGCATTCTAAGGATGGACAATAATGTTTGAAAACAATTTTTTAAAAATTTTTTAAGGTAATGAAACTTCTGGATTCAGCACTTTTGGTTGAAAATGCAAGGGATTTTGCCAGACAAATTCACACTTTCTTATAACACCAAGTCATATTGATTTAACTAGGAGTTGTTAAAAAAAGTCTTCTAGTTAGGGAAATTGGTGTTATTTTTACCTACTGGTAAAGATTAAGGCTTGGAAATTGGGGATTTATTGCATAGGAAGGAAGCCACTGAAATCAAAATACACCCAATTAGTTTTAATTACATCTGATGTAGGAAATATAACGACAGTGAATATAAAAATTCAGAGCTGTAAAACTCTCATGTAAAATTATCAATTTATACCACTGGCACACCGTCTTTCAGTTGATTAGAATTGTTTTTTAATGGCTCTCCTATAAAAAATAATGTAAGAGTAATTACAGATAAATTATTTTGTAGGCAAAATTAAGTACATTTATGTTTTTTATTACACATAAAAATCTGGATATTTTGGCAGGTTGTTTACGTGGGAAGTGAGACGATTTGTACTGTGGATGGCCTTCACTTTAACAGCACTTACTATGCTCGGGTCAAGGCCACCAACAACTCGGGAGACAGTGACTACAGTGATCCCATCAGTCTACAAACAGCTGAAGGTAATCTATGGGGGATCGGTTTTACCATACCACCCCCCCCCCCCCTAAAAAAAAAAATTCAACTTAAGACCAGGTTGTGGTTTTTTTTTGCTTACAACTTCCTTATTTACATTAATTTGAAAAAAAAAATGCTTAACTTCTTCTTAAGGATTTTTGAAATATATTTTATTTAGGCAATTTAATTTTAATAAAAAAATTATACAAACTTTTTTTAAATTGGCAAAAATTTAAGCACACTGTGAAAAAAAAAAATACCAAAATGTGGCAAAACATTAAATTTTTGTTTCTTTCATGAAGAGTATTATAAAATACTCCCTTGCTTGTTATTAGATAGCAAGAATATTACATAAACCTAACATTGCTGAAGTTTCTTCAAATCATTGTTTAAATCCATGTTTACAATTTTAAATCTTACAATGGCTTAAACACTCGGCTATGACCCAGATAAAATGCACCTAATGTAACAAATTACTTAAAAACTAGTATTGATAAGCTCATAATGTCCTTCTTCCTTATTTACTTTATTTCATAAAAGGCTCATCCAACCATCTTTCCCAGTGCCTGGAGGTATATAGACATTAAGGCAAGATCAGGTACAATACTATAGTCCTCAGTGAAAATCAAATGATTTAGTGGTGTGTCCTGACTGTTATTAATAGAAGGGTCATAAAATTCTTAGGCAATACCAGCAGAAGGTGGAGTATTCCATTATTGCCAAATGATTTGGTGATAAAAATTTAGCTAAAGGCCATGACATTAACACCTATGGTGACAAATTATTGAAGCAGAAGGATCCAGGGACCAGGAGCTTCTTTGTTATCTGTGTCACTGGCCTCTTTCTGAGAGTCTCTCACCGTCTGCTTTGGCGGACTTTTGAGATTTAATGAGTGTCAGGGCTTCAGAGGACTTCTGCTTCCCATGCAGTGAGTGCTGAGAATGAAATCTGCAGGGCAATACATTTCAATTTACCAAAATTGATGTCATTTTGGTTTAATAAATCAATCTATTTCCTTTATTTCTATCTGAAGAGGAAACCCAAAGACTTTGTCCCATATAGCTTGCAGGTGTTAGAGGGCAATGTAATTAAGACAATATGGTAAAATATATAAAGAAAGGATTTCTGTTCAGAGGCAGTTTGCTATAAATGGTTTGATTGTAGATTTGTAGTAGAATCTCCTGTTTTACTCATGCACTTAAAGAACAAGGTGTGATATGGCTTGTGTTTTGCCCTAAAACTCAGGCTCATAATAAACTTGTCAAAATGTATATGATTAATCACATGTTGTTAAGAAGTAAATTAACAAATTCCAAGGGGCTAAAACAATCTATGCTGTAATGATACAGATATTATTGGCATTTGAGGTCACAAAACAATTAATTTCCTGGTGTTTTGCCACACTTGCTTTAAGATGTAAAGGCCATGTGTTACTTTAAAAAATGAACACAAAAAATTGAAAAAGATATTCTCTTTTGAAAGGTAGATAACTCAACCAATTCATGTGATTGAACATCATCCCTCCTCCCCCCTGCCAAAAGGGACATTCCAGTGTTAAAGTTGCCATTGTTCATTTCCATCACACAAAATCACACAAATGTTTCTTTGATCTTTTCAGTGGCCTGGTTTACTCTGGATCCTTTCTCAGCTCATCCGGACATCCTGTTTTCCAATGACAATCACACAGCAACGTGCAACAGTTACGAACACCGTATCTTGTTGGGAGGTGTAGGATTTTCCAAAGGGATCCACTACTGGGAGGTGACCATCGATAGATACGACAAACATTCTGATCCAGCCATCGGAATTGCCAGATTTGATGTGGACAAATGCCAGATGCTAGGTAAGCATGGGCGGTGTATTTTGGCTGCAGGTCATTGCTGAGCTTGTAAGGTACCTAAGACTTTGGAACACTTCTATTAAAAAAATCAAAGAAATGCTACTGATCATACCTTCACTTTCAACACTTTACTCATGCTTCAGCCAAAACTTAAAAAAAAAAAATCCAGTTAATCTATATATTGAAAAGTATTATTTCTCATATTAAACAGGAAGATTAACTTAGCTTTTAGCAATAAATCGATATGTATGTTGTGTTTCCCTCTGAAAGCTCATGGAGCGTGATAGCAAAATTCGTTTTTCTGCAAGGCTTATAGAACTCCAGGATGATCTTTTTGGTAAAAAAACACAATGTTTTCAATAATAAAAAAATTCTGCAAGATAATAGATAAATTGAAATTTAGATCTAAGACAATACTTGTTGTTAGGTCTAGTGGGAGTAGATCACTCTGAGGGCATGAGCCCTAATTGGAATATATTAACCACTGTACTTAACTTTTGTAAAGATTTTCCCAATTTAATCTTATGTATTAAGTATTCTTACAGTTTTATGACATTGAGCATTAACTTGGTGAGAATCTATTATTTATATTTTTCTTTTCACCTTGGATCTTGGTTCAATGTTTAGGCAATTTCCTTCGCTGATCTATATAGTCGATAAAGTATTCAATAAAACCTTGTTTATTTCTGAAAGTGAGAATTAGATCTATATAAAATAAGATTTTAAAAAATATTTTTTTTAATTTGGATATATTTCAAACAAACTGTAGACATATCCCATCTGATTGCCAAGCTTTCAAAACAAGAAAAACAATGCTTATATAATGACTTGTCTAATAGATGCATTTTATTGAATAATACTGACGTGTAGCCTTTCAAGTTCTTTAAAACATGAAAGATTATTCACCTTAGACCTATTGGAGGTGTCTTGTAGATTCAGATCCTTTCGAACTCAAATTATTGAAGTCTGTTCCTCCAATAAAACTAAAACATTCTTTCATTTGAGATGCAGTTGGAGCCTGTCAGACTTTTTGAATCGTCTTTTTTAACAATAGAACAAAATTAGTTTATTTAATTTCATTTTAAATATGCATGAAAAAAAATATGCAATATAACAAAAATTTTTATTCAATTATATTAGCACTTTCTCATCCAATTGAATGATGAGATGAAGGAATATAATAGGAAAAAAAATAGGAAGACACCAATAATAATGATAAAATCCTACAGCCCTATGATTAACGCATCCTCAGTATGACATAACCTGCCTGTCTCCTGAGGCTTTGGTTGCTGTTATTCCTCCTTATAGCTAGAGGAGAATATCAGTATGCCTAGAGATCACATATAGAAAAGTGCACTTAAAATTTATCAGCTTTGATAAAAGGAAATCGAATGAAAAGACACTTTTTGCCTGCGAAAGCAGCAGTTAAATCAGAAGTGAGTGTCTGGCGTTGAGTAATTTGGGATTATATGGCGAGACTTTACAGTACTCTTTGGTGAAGAAGAAAGATAGCTGGATGTACGTGTTTTATTACTCGGCATGATGAAGACTTGTTCATGTTGTGGTTGTTACTTTGATAAACTTTTTGACATTCATAACTTTTTTTTTTTATCCCCCTCTTGTATTTCAACAGGAGGGCAAGTTGTCTCCCCTTTTTTTACTCTTCATAACCGTTAGGCAAAAATATTAAACTTGTGAGATTGTTGAATCTCTTGGAAAATGTGAATTATACTCTGTAGCATTTCATCCCAGGCATTGATTTGGTTTGAAAGGGGGAAAAAAATCTGTAAAACCAGTAATAGTTGTAATTTCTAACAGGTATTGGGTTAGCAGTGTTATGGAAGTACAGCAAAAGGAATTAAAAAAAGAAAATAAATCAATATCTGTTGTTATGAGATTTCCACAATTTCCTTGCAGCTTAAAACATCTGATGCCACTGAGACTGCATTATAGAGGTCTCTGAGTTTAGAATATTATGTTTTTTTCATTACTCGCAAATTCTCCTATTCTTCATTTCTTACGACCAAAGGCGATAAAACAGAAGATCTTGCACTTTATTTAGCGGGAGTTTGACTTACATCTTTTAAATAAATGATGCCATGTATCATTAACTTAATGTAATTGAGTGCATTGTATTAGTTTATCTCTCTCTTTCTGGCACACACTCTCTCTATCTATTGTATATAGTAATAAGCTATTTTGTTTTTGGCTGTTGAAATTCAATATATGAAAGTCAGAGTATGGACATTGCATTAATTAGCATAGAACAGAAGCTGTGACATTTTTGTCTAATTTCTTGTATGTTCACCTAATCTTAATTTTTTTTACTTTATGGATTTTTTTTGTGAGAGAGAGAGAAGGAAAGAGAAAGTGAAGAAGGAAGTATCTATTTAATGATTGTTGAAACAGAAGGAAAGAATTGGAGAAAAGTTCCCTTTGTAGTGGTATAAGACAAACAAATAGCTAACACCCAGACAGTTTGATCCGTGTAAACATTGGCCTAAACTTTGTTAATGGGCCGGCAGCCCTTCTTCAAAATGTTTACATTCAACAGCTGATTGATAGCTAGAGATACACCACAGAAATTTAAGCCCAATCAGGAAAATTTAATTATTTCCCTCATCCTCTGATTACTTCTAAAGATCAAATCAAAATTTGTCTTATCAGGGGGTCTACTTAAACTTGTATAAATCTGTCCGGATTGGAGAGAAAGTTGGCGACTACCTGTCCTGTTTCTGAAATAAATTGTCTGACAGCAGAAAGAGGGGGAAAATTTTTTTTTTTAATGTAATTTATGAAAAATTCCTGGGGATAATTATAATTGGATTTTTGTGGGAGATTTATAAGAAGTTAACATCTCCCCTTTGATAAGTACATGTAGGTGAGAATGATGGAAAAATTGATAGAAAATTATGCAATAAAACATCACGGGATGCCCCACTTTCATAATTTTCTGATATTGAGAGAGATACTCTCAATTTTTATGAGGACACTTTTTGCACAGTTTAAATTAGCACAAATACCTCAAACAGCATTTTTATGAGGTATTAAAGCAGCTAACTGCTGCAAAAAAATTCAATTTAAAGTGTCTTAGACTTTGTTGTGAAATTGACAAAGAACACTGTTATATGTACCCCAAGATGTCTATCTCAAAGAGATGGGAAAATCTGAAGTATTATTTCTATTACTAAAAAATTAGCATTTACAATAAGATGAACTTTGATTTCTTTAACACTCATATCTCAAATACCCTGATATATCAAAGTACCTAATTTAGAAGTCCCAGCCACTTTTTCTTTAAATATCTTACACGACTTGATATCTCAAATCCTTCTTGAAGATTTTTCTCAGTTCAATGGAGTTCAAGATAAATAGGTTTGACTGTATTTTGCTTTTCTCCTTTTATAAGCTAAATTAATGATAAACTTCTTTTTTCCTTTTCAGGCAAGGATGAGAAAGGATGGAGTATGTACATTGATGATGGGAGAAGCTGGTTCATGCACAATGATGAACACTCTGAGAGAACGGACGGGGGGATCAAACGGGGAAGTGTGATTGGAGTACTGTTGGACCTAGACAGGCACAGACTCTGTTACTTTGTGGACAGTATACCCCATGGACCAGTAGCCTACAAGAATCTTCATGGAGTCTTTTTCCCTGCCCTTAGTATTAATCGTAATGTTCAAGTGACCCTCCGAACAGGTCTGGAGCCCCCTGCGGAAAGTGAATCTGATGACGAATAATGAAGAAATGTCCGTTTCTTTTTTATTTTACTGGAAAATCTGCCATATCGGTCGTGCAATAATTTTGACATGTTGAGAATCATCCAAAAGATATTTTTCTAGTCAGATTTTTGTTCATTCGTGGGTGTTGCATTTTTAACACACAAAATATCATTATTTTTTTGTGAAGATGTGAAACAATTTTGAAAATTCATTATCGAGCTCATTTCTGAGATAAAATCTTGTTCAAAGAAAATGTAAAAACAGCAACGAATCTCGCTTTTTTTTTATATGGAAACTTGTATTTTTCATCAACATTTATTTTAAAATTCTAATCTGTTCATTTTCAATAGTCTTAAAATCTACATTTATTACCATCCTCACAAAGACTTCAAAAATAACTTGAATGATCTATAAACATCTAATCCCCCCCAGTGCCCAGTGTTGGGTGGAGCTAATAAACATGTTATTATTGATTTGATTCAAAATGATCAGAAATATTTTTGGAATCTTCATTAAAAATATTTTTTATTTTTGTTCGCCCAGCTGTGATGACTTTATTTCTCAAGGCATTTGATTTTGCAGAATTTTTATCATACAAAAAATATCTTGATAAAAAAGTGGTTTTTGAGGTAAAATCTTGATTAATATTGAAAAATATTTTGCACTATAAAGATACATATGCACGAAATGCAAAGAGTGAAATTTGTACCGGTACCTAGAATGTAATTTTGAAAGATCCTTCTAACTTGCTGTGGATGAGATTTGCTTTTTAAATTTGGATAAGAAAGCTAAAAGAACCTTCACTGTATAGACAAAATATGAAAAAACTATGGTGTTCTTTTATGTAGAAAAATTACTGTGAAAGGAGTTTGTTGACTTCTTTTAGCATGTACATAACTAGTTTGTACATAGCTTCAAAGATTATGTTCATGTCCTTTTTCAAACAAAAGCATTTCATTTTTAAAACTTTCAAAGTGCTAAGTTAAACAATATCAACTGACAATCTATGTAAGGCCAAAGTGTCCAATGATTTGTTTTATGTCCCCATCATGGTATTCTAATTAAAAACCTCCTTTATCAGAATTATGACTTAATTATTTGACTTATTCCATACATGTTAACTCTCCCGATTTAGGCGGGAGTCTACCGCTTTTTCACTCCGTCTCCCGCCTACCGATTTAATTCAGAAATCTACCACTTTTCTACAAAATCTGCGTCTAAAGTATTTTTGGTTCGCTTGGGTATCCATTTTTGAAGCCACTCTCATAAAATCTCGCTTGATATCGCTCGGAATCATACAAACGCTTTTTTTTGTACATAGATTTCAAGCATGGATTTGACAATGACAACAACACAAGACTACCAGTGATTACATTGGTTACGATAAATTAATCAACATCCCTGCCATGAAAAAGGAGATACAGCTTTTAAAAATTAGATGAAAACATTTGACATCGTCTTTAAAAGCACAGAAGCTCACAACTTTATCAATAAAGTCAATAGAAATCACTCGATTGACCAAGCCATGTGGCACATCTCTACTTTCGTTTTCGATCATCGCGGAGAATCTGATTTATATAACGAAAGAAAGGAACTTGTTTTAGATCTAGATTAAACCATGTCATCATTTGTTTTGTTTAAAAACTGAATGAACATTCAGAATTATTGCTTCTAGGCTATATCAGCAAAGATCACTCTTCAAAAGGCTAAGTAAAGCAGCTAATCCAAGCAAAATGATGAGCATTAAAAATATTTGAAATTGTACAATTTATATCAAACTTAAGGTGTTTCTGTCTTCTTCTTTGCTGTTGATATTTAAGATTAATTAGTGTAGGGATTTCATTTAAGGCTTATAATATACATGTATAGTACATGAAAGTTATCGATAATCCAAGCGTTAAACAACACGCGTGCAATGCTACCGCTTTTGAGGTCTGAATCTCCCTATTTTTCCTCACAATAGGTTAACATGTATGCTTATTCCTATTTGGTCCTTGGGAAGCATAGGGCCGCAACCACACAGTGCCATCAGACTCTGTTTTGTGCTTTGCTTTTTAATTGGGTCAAGGTAAATCCTGCCTCTTTTGCCTCTAATTATCAGAATTATCCATGCAGTAAAATTCTACTCCAGCATGCTAGAGTTTCACTGTGAGATACTTATGACTTGGCACCAAGATAAAAGGAGCCTAGAGATGTTTAACTGCATGAGGCTCTTATTTGTAAGAGTATTTTGATTCATACTTCTAAAACACTGATTTCTTAGATGATTCCAAATCACTTTGAGTTGAGAAGTCTTTTTACTATGTTTGAAATCTGGGTTTACAAAAATCACCATCTTTAAGAAATTCCTGTTTAGGATATAAAACAAATAATTTGATAGCTTTGGCCTAGATATGGTGCAATATTTACTCAGGTTGTCTCCCCTTTATCATTGTCATCCAATACATGCCAAAAAGGACCACATTTTTTCATCAGATAAAAACCTACAATGTCTACAATGTGAAAGTGACATTTAAAGGGCTTTAAAAATGAGAAGCTGATAGCATTTTATCCTTCAGTCATTTTAGCAAAGTGCACCTTGATCTGTGTAAGACATTTTTATGTTATTTTGAAACATTGTGATATTTTCCTTTTTCTTTTTTTACTTTGAACAAGTATTTATAGATACATTTGTACTTTTTATGACTTATTATTATTTTATTAGTTGAGCGTTTTTCAAAAAAATATTTGTTTTCTGAAATGTTTACCCTAAAAATTGTTTTGTTACAGTAATACATTTATTATATTACAAATTAATTGATGCATAAGAAATTGTTTGATCTGTCTAAGTTATTTACTGTTTTAATATTTTAAATAGTAAAGATATATACTATATATTAGTAAAGATGTAAAGTTATGTAAATATTTTCTTACTGTAACATTGAGAGTTAGTAGATAATTATTTGTTTCAGCATATGTACTTATGCTGTATGCTGTACATCTTTGATGAAACTTCATGATCAATTACGACTTGGTAAAATTTAAAAAAAATTGAAATGTGGAATTAGTTATTGGTTGTAGTTGGAAAAATACAAATCATTTTGTATAAATCAAATAAAAATGTTTTATTTTAAGCATTTGAATGAATAAATGAGTAAATTCCAGAATTCTTGGGCTGTTTTCATCCAACAATGAGAGAGATCAGAGTTTGAATTAAAGTTATATACTTCTTGGGTGTATTTCTGAAACAAATCTCCCATTATAATACACTGAGGATTATTATGATGGTAAAAGTGGATATTTTGTTGGCAAAAGAGGAGCACAGTGAAAAATAGAGAATGCTGAAAATATCTACCATGGAGATTCTAATACATTATTTACATACCATACACTAAAAAGACTGAAAAATTAATGTGCAAAATACCAGATATAAGCAGTCAACATGTTGTTGCCAAGGCCTAGATATCCAAAGAGAGGGAGAAACGTGTATCTCTCAAAAAACTGCTCTTTTTTAAAGTGCATATTTTAACGCGGGACATAAATACATGTATCATATAAGTAACTGTACCAAAGTATGTTTTTAATCACAGTTTATTGAAAAAAAAAATATGTCAGGTATGTATTATGCAGAAAAGTCAAAAATTTGTTTGGGTAGGAATGTTCAACTAACAAAAAACCCTTGGAACTAACCTTTCTTTAAAAAAAAAATAAAGAGATCATTGGAAAATGTTCACCGACTTTTTAGATGAGATCAAAGAAAAATGTCTAGTTATCAGGATGGCCAAAAGAGCAGCAAATGGCTGGGTTTACCATAATGTACTTCATAAGAAGGAAACAGCAGAACTAAAGGCCGTGTTCAAGATTATTGCAGCTAGATGTAGCTTTATACATTCTTGAGGGGTATGCTTGCTAGCTAGCACAGCCATTTCAAGCATTAAATTCATACAGAGAATTCAATAAATCTACATATCTAGCCTAACAGCTGGGCTAGCTGGTATAATAATGAATGTACAGGTAACTCAAGCGGCCCATGTGTATAGCTATTTGACCATGTACCTCAAACTATATTTCATAGACTTGATGTATTTCATGATGCCATTTAACGCTAAATACTGCAGAGCTCTGTATTCAAAGAAAGATAACTCTTTATAAAATTTTCCTAAGAAATACACCTTTAAAGCATATTACTTTTACACTCCCTTTTCTTCTTAAAATCAGGTTTCAGGGTGCTAATTTTAGTGATTTGGAAGTAGCCTGCTAAAATTTTAATTGGTAAAATATTCAGTATTATTCACTGTGTACCTTTACAAATTCATGTGGAACCTAATGTGACAGTTCCACCAAAATTATTGGTGAATTAACAATGCCAAATTTTACAACCACCAAGAAAATTTGCTATATTGTATTCACCATACATTTGAAATAAATATTGGTTTCATGTAATTCCAATATAAAACAAATCAACTGTCAATAAGAATGATAATTTATTAATATAGTATATACAAACTTTTTTAACAAAGTATTCATGAATGATGTTTAATTCTCCTTGTTCTTCCTACTTGTTATCAATGTATGAATATTGACTCCAGAGAGATTGCAAATATTTTATACTTCCATAAAGTTCAAAGTCAATAAATGCCTTTCATCACAGTTCTCATTTTTTTTCTCTTAAAGAGTCACTTCCCCTATTCTTCCTCTACAGAGTTAATGCCCCTGTCTAATCATCCTCATCCTCCTCCTCTTCACCTTCCTCCATTTCCTCAGCTGCCTCGGCAGCCTCCTGTTGAGCATTCCTGAGGGCGTTCTCCTCCTCAACTGTTGGGTCTTCAGCCTCGGTGATTTCTGGGCCGCTGGGGAATTCCTCTTGGATGGGTGGAGTTTGTGGTGGGTTGTAGTTGTCCATGCTGTATTTGTGACCACTGCCAATGTAAACATTCTCAAATTTCCTGTAAAACAAGCAAAGCATTGCCATTAAATATGTTTCTTTCCAACATTCCAATCAAATACCCCTTTTGAAAATTAATCAAATCAGCATTTGTTTCCAAATAATGTCTTATGAATAGATCATGAATAACTTACTTTCCAGCTGCAAATGCATGAGCACCAGGCCACAGGTTAGAGTGAAGAACAGCAATAGCATACTGAGGGATCAACTTTGAGGATACTTTTGGCGTCCATGGAGGAAGGTTTCCAATTTCAGCATCCTCTGACAAGGGTGTCAGAAGAGGAGGACCAACCTCTGGTTCTGGTTCATCTGGTTCCTCACGCTCTTCTTCTTCATCCTCATCCTCAACCTCCTCAGGAGATTCCTGTCCCACCTTCACCCAGACACAGCGGCCCTGGGGCAGAATGTGTTGCACATGGTGGACCCAGTGTTGTAGGGAGCCGTCACATAAATCTCTTAGTGACACTGGCTCAAAATCCACATTGATCACACAGTCATTGCGGCCTGAAACATATGAAACCACACATATAATATTATCCTTTTAAACCAAGAAAATTCACTGACATGTATGTACCAACTTTTAATAACACACTTAAATGAATTTACCTTCTGCTTCTTCCTCTTCCTCCTCATCTTCCTCAAATTGGTAGAATCCCATGGGCGATACATGGGTTCCAGCACTGATACGGGCAATCTGGGCCCTCAGGTAGTTAATCTCATTGCCAGGGAATGGGGGATAGCTGACAACCTAAAAACATGAAAAAGATCAATGTTACTACCACTGGTAAATATGCATTGAACATCCAAGTTTTCAGAGAGGATCACATTTTCAGCATAACCTGTTCAGTGATGGAGTCACAGTACTTACTGGGGCATCCAGTCTTCCTGTGAAGAACTTTTTGATGAGTCTAGCTGACTGAACCTGGGCTGGTGTTACAGCTGGAAGTTTTGTCCAGGGTTTGCCAGCTGAAATAAAAAATTCAAAATGTTAGAACAATGTCTTGAAAATCAGAACATCATAAGATTCCTAACACCAATACAGTTTAAATATTAATCACACTTACGGTCATTGCAGACAAAGTATGTTTTCTTGTTTGTTCCGGTTTTGTTTTCCTCCTTTGGAACTTCTGGTGGAGGTTTGAAATCTGGTTTTGGAGTGTCATCCTCCTCTTGTTCTAAAAGAAAGATTTTGGTAATTTTATTCAAACAGTAATTCCACATCTCTATCAAATTAGCAATATTCAGTATCCCCTCTTCTGGAAAAATTCATTGATTTATTCACGAAACAAGGGGAGGGGGGTTAAACATACCTTCCTCTCCCTCCTCATCGCCATCTTTGTCAGTTGCTTCTTCCTCTGGCTGCTCCTCAGCCTGAAATGATAAATAAGACCATTACATCAACAAACAATCTAAACATCACTAACTTTCCAAAACAAAACAAACAACACAAACCACAAAACAAACAGAACTGTACACCATACCTCTTCTTCTTCTTCCTCCTCTTCATCTCCATCTCTGTACTCTACCTCAGCCACATAATAATTCTGTTCTGTTCCAAAGATTTTACCCCAGAATCTAACATGTGATAATGCATGAGTGTCCACTAAATTTTTTAAAGCTAACCAGACACGAATCATTTCTTCACGATTCAAACCGATTCCAGCTTGCTCAAAGAAAAAACAAAGTTCCATAATATTTGGAAGAGGAGTCTCAAGCTCTTCACTTTCTTCTGGTTCATTGTCCTCACCTCCTTCTTTCTATAAATACAAAGAAAATATTCATGTACACATGCATATTATATGTTTTATAAGGTTTCTTTTATCACCATTGAATTTTGCTTCTAAACTTTTCACATGAAATGTTATTCATGAAACAACACTGGATTTCACTTTGAATTTGTATTATCATAGAATTCCAAGGGGAAAAACGATTAGAAAGAAAAAGTACTAGATCTAAAATACTTACTGCAAAGAGTTTTTCTTGAACTTTGGCTAGAGCTACCTCTGTGGACTGATCAAGTTTATCTCTGACTGTGTCAACATCTGATGTAAATTTAGATCTTTTTGTGTCTTTGCTAATATCCTCAATAACATCCACCACATTGTTTGGTCTTTCATCGAGAACTTTGGTAAGAACACGGCTAAGATGGTCATACCTGAAGAAGCATTACACTTATAATGAAATTTCAGACGAGAAAAACAATAATGTAGGACACTGTAGACTTCATCTTTTTTCATTATTCCAAAAGAAAAGTATGTACTTGTGTAACCTGATACACATATATATGCTGTGACTTGCAAAACAAATCTTATTAAACTCATATATCCCTATTTTTTTATCAAATAAAGTTCAAACTTATCATTGTTTATGTGGTTAATGTTGTTACCAACAGACAGAAACAAAAATAATATGTGGAAATCATAATGCAAACAATTTCTATTTTGTAATGAAACACATTAATTAATACAGTATCAGAATGTTTAAATGTATAAATCATATTTGTTTTCACATGGAAAATTATAAATACGAGAACAAAAATTCATTTTAGAATATCTTCAAGCAAAACTTACAAGTTCAACCCTGTGTCTGTGCTGGCAGTGAGGAGAAAGGATTTTGCAGAGATGAATTGCTGCTCCTTTGGGTTGATGTTCAACTCCATGTTGACATCCGTCATCTTTGCTGCTATTTAGAGAGATATCTCTCTTTGTATGTATTCCGATAGCAGTACAATCTTATCGTGCCCTGTTGCTATACCACCAACACACTGGACACAAACTTCACTGCAGTGTTGTCAAGGTAAATACGCACTTCTACTTTAAACGTCACATCCGGTTTTAGTCTGTGACGTTTTACGCATATTGAATCCCAAGGCACTTCCTGAGTGAAAATGGAGAGAAGAATGTAAACAATTTATCCACCTTATACAATCAATTATGTTACAAATAATTAATTAATGAACAGACAGGTGTAAATATGGTGTCATGTCAATGGAAATAACTTTGGAATGGCAATCTATATTGAAATTATGTGGAATTCGTATCAGGAGGATGAACGCACCTGCGATTGTTTTCCACAGTGCAACATAGTTAAAATACTTCATTATTTCCACCGGTAATAATGTTATCAAAGAAAAAAGATTCGGGCATTAATGATGGCATTGCAGGAAAATATGTCAAACGTGAAACTCCACCAATGCTCAGAAGTAAGTCAAAATTCTAAAAATGAAGTTTGTTAAAAATAAAAACAGGTTTTCACCTGTCTCTACTATTTGCCACATTATTGAACTACAGTTGAGCTATGTTATCTCAATTACCAATATTTCCAATACCATGACTATCTCGAAGTGAGTTGAAAGTCTTTATCACGATTATGCATGTATTATGAGTTTCTCCAATCTGAAAAAGATCCCTCATTGCTTATTGGCCCTGAGTGTCGAGTATAGGACAATATTTGTAGCTCTCCACTGGCAAGTGGTCTCATATACTGAAAAATGAGAGAGATAAACTAGCAAGGTTTTACTGTCTTCTGCACCTTTGAGTTTGAGATAAGAAAGAATATTGTCATGAGAGATATGGAATCCTTCACACGGGTAATTTTTTTTAGAATGTGTGAATTGTTTTGGGAAAACTTCGGTTTAGATGGGGTTCAGATGACAGCTAGGGTCGAGTTAATTAGAATAAGGTAATTGTGTCTCAGGACAGGTCATCACCATTGAACATTGATGCTAATTTTGTAGAATGTATGAAAATCCATGACAACTGGAGTACATACCATGTCATTCCATTGTTGTATAATGGAGCATTTCATTCTTACAATAATTTTGGAGAATGATCAACTTACATTGCAAATACCCACCAAAACACCACTCTCTGAATTGTTTGATCATCATAGTGTACTACATGTTTATAGACTTATATAGAGCTAGTATTATCTGCCTGTTTTCATAGCTATAGTGCCAACACACAAATTGAACCAGGTATTTTGAGGACATGATAATTTTTTTTAAAGGGGCCAAGGAAGACCAAGTTTTAATTTATAACCCTCTTCAATGAGTCTTCATGGGATGTAATTTTTTACTGTTAATTAGTTGGAGGATGAGAAATTCCCCTCTACTGCTTAATAATGCAGTAATTGTAAATAGTGAAATATCTTACAATCTAAGGGTCCTTGTACATTTTTCTAACACAAGAAGAGAAATATTTAATGTTTCTTTGGATATGAATGATGTATGAGAAAGTTCCATAATAATCAACATGACAGTGAATCTAAGAGCAAATGATCTGAATAAATTACTTCACTGTGTGTAATAGTCTTACAGAAATAGTTTGAAGTTTCAGTAAGTTCTTCTTATTTTGTTTTCTGATGTACCTCATTTGTCATTCAAGGTTGGCTGCATCGTTTAACACAATTGGTTTTCACAGTATAAATAATGAGATTATATTATAAATTCATTACAGCAGCTTCAAAAAGTAGATATATATAAAGAACAATTTTTACATTTAAGATAATTAACTTAGAAACAAGAATTGTCAATGAGCTATATTTTATATTTATCAAAATTGTTAATATTTTTACTGTGAGCAAAGTGGTTGAGGGAAATTGATTGCAAATGCTTAGAAGTTTAAATTAGTCTACACTCTACAGATTACTAAAAAAACACACTATAAAGTTCATTTAAAAAGTCCATAGCAAAATTACTTATTTAGCATAGTTCCAGGAGAGCCAGAGAGCTAAATTGGCTTATCCATTTGTGTCTAAGTAAATACTATAAAATCTAAAATAATCAATGTGTTCATAAATGGATTGGAATGACACTGATTTTAAAACTTTGACAGGCAATTTTTCATAATGTACAGTATACTGTTTCAGAATAACATAGTATCAAAAGCAACTAGTAATTTATTAATTAGGTGTAAGGTCCTTTGATTATTTTAAATTTAAGGTTAAGATTGAAGGATGCTTTACAATTTACATGTAGACTAATCAATTTGATATTATGTAGATGTGCTAGGAATGAACTTGAACATTTTTTGGCAAACCTTTTCACAGCTGAACAATGTGTTAATGTTATAATACTGATTTTAATAGATCAAAATTTAAACATTAACTTAAAGACAGTTTTAATTTTCCTCTTAGTAATATGTAATAGAGGTCATATCCAGTTCAAATTATCTAGTTATTGTACATTATATTCAAGAGACAATATGTTAAAAGTAATTTTGAGGACACTCACTTAAAATTGTTGAGGTTCCATACAACAGCTTGATGACATAGAAGTTATTTGTTTGAGTCATTGGTTAGTGTATATAAGGCATTATTGTTGAGCATTCAGTCTATTAGTATATCCTTCTTTAGAACATAATGTATTCTTCAGTAGCTGCACCTTATGATATTGACAGGGAATTTGATGATGTGTTTGATAATCTCAATAAAACATTGGATGATCTTTTAAATGTTGATAAGTTACCAGGTAAGATGTGAAATGTGTGCACTATTTTAATTTTTTCTCACAGATCTGTCAAAAGATTTATAGCAAATTTGAATATGTTTTTGCAGATTATCACACCCCTGTCCGTCAGACACCAAATTTTCAACGTCGCAGCGTTAAAACTCCAGCGTCATTCTACGTTCCTCAACAGTCGGCCAGTAACGTGTTAAGCAGCAGAACACAGGTGACCACTCGATCCAATGTTCAGTCCACCAGCGTCACATCGCAAGAAACTCGAGCCCAGCAGTTGTCTCCCTTGACACAGCAGAGGAACACACAAAGTGCCCCACCCCAGATAAACCAGCTATCCCAGGGCATACAGAACCTGAGCGTGGGGGACCGGTCTGATGTCTCGGGGTCTACCAGCTCACTGAGCACCCAGGGGTCGACCACTAGTAGTCAGGGGACATCAGGGTATGGTACTGGTCCACAATCAACTGAAAGTCCAACTCAGCAGAGCTCAGGGCAGAGAAATAATCTGGGAGCCATTAGAGAAGGTATTAATGATATCCTCAATTTGAGAAAAAAATTAAAGTTTGTATAAATAACATTTTATTGCATGAAAGTTAAAAATATGACATTGTTTGAATTTCTTGTTACTGTAATTGAAAATTGTAATAAAACAGGTGCAAAATCTGTTATAGATTTCCATGAACCTGGTAATTTGGGAGCCTCACAAAGCAACTACTCAGATTATCACAGCCAGTTTGATGAAAACTACCAGATACAGCAGTACCATGAAGAGATCAGAAACCACTATGCACAGCAAAGTGGAGGTCATGTGACCAGCACACAGCACAGTCTGCAGTCCAGCACTCAGCAATCCAGCACAAGTGCATGTAAGTATAGCAAAGAGTGTGCTGATAAAAAATTTCAATGTCCCACTACTTCATTACCACAAAATATGGCACCCCACCAACTGCCACCCACCAGCAATGACTTTCAGCATGGTCAGCTTTTGAACACTACAACCTTGGGAAATCAGTTTTCTGGAAACCCAGGAAGTGGACAAACAATCATTAATACTACAAGTAACTTTAATAGCAGCCAACACTCACTTAGCAGTGTTAACAACTTTCAGCAAAATCCTTCTTACAGCAACTTAAATACTGTACAAAGCAACCAGGTTTCTCAAAGCACAAACACTATTCAGCACAGTGGGTCTCTCAGCAACATAGGCAACATGCAGTGCAATCAGTCCTCCACCAGCACAAGCACGATGCAGCACAGTCAATCCACCAATACCTTGAACCAACAAGATAGCAGTTTCGGCAACAATGTACAACATTCCAGTAGCGTCAGTTCATTTCAGTCCTTTAGTTTTGTTTCTGAATGTACAAATGTGGATGCGGGTTCTTTTGATTCTTCAATTTGCTGGCAATATAATCCTCTACAACAGTCTAGAACATGTTTAAATATACCTCAGAACACTAACACCATGCACAGCAGTGTTTTATCTAGCAGTGCACACTGTAGCAGTTCTAGCATCATCACAGGTGACACAGTGGTTGATTCCTTTGTGCAACAGTCTAGCAGTGCACAATCAGACAGTGTTAGCACAGTGAGCACAATGAAATGACTTTCTTGTTATCAGCTTGTGATTTATCTAGTACTTAATGGATTGTTTTTTAAAATATGTAAAATTTTATTTGGAAATTTCAAGCATGTGTTCTTTGTTAAAAAAATTATTTTTTTAGAACGTTTGTAAATATGCTGAATGTAGACTAAAGAATAAAAGTTAAAAATTTCTTTGAAGTGTCCTTTCATTTTGTGCAATGCAGAAGATTTCACTCCTGATGTTTTATAAGGAAAAAAGTTATCTAGAGAAAAAAAAACATGAAGATAGATTAATTGGTGGCACACTTTATTATTTGAAATATAAGTAGGATTTTTTTTTTTTTTTTTTTTGTAAGATCAAATCTTGATTTATTAAAAAATCTGAAAGTGAATTGACTTGAAGCATAATAAATATCATATCTAATGCATGTAGATCTTATGCATATGAAATGATTGCATAAAAATACTGATGGAGAATAAGTTCTTCAAGAAAATTCTAGCAACAAAAATATTTGAAATGAAATTGAAAGAAAAATGAAATTAATTTTTAATGGGGTACCATTTCATAATGAATAGCATAAAATTTTTGGGGATATACCAATTTGAGGGAGAAAAAAAAAAACAAAGATATTAAAATTGAGCATTTTAGTTGCTTATTTCTCTTCCTTAATTTTTCGTGAAAAAAAATTACTAATGGAAGCTTCAGTACAGAGGAAATCGTACTCAAATATGAGAGTTCAATAAAAGCAGTGGTACTTGAATAGCCTTTCCCTGAATGTTGACAGAATACACATTCTGGGGGCATTAGTCAGCACATGTATGCAATATACTGCGGTATGTGTGGGAATTTCTTACATAAGTAGCCCCTTGATAAGCTGGGAAATACCATTAAAACCAAAAGTATGATTCATATTAAAGTAATAGCAATGAAAGGTTAAAAATAAAAATTATATCATATTATGTATTTAAATCAACATTTTATGTGCTACTAATTAACTTCTCGAGATTTAAATGTGACAGTAAATTATAAGAGATTTTAATAACATTGTATTTTAAGACTTTCAAGTGAATTCAATTAAAATATACTCTGATTATTTCAGCCTCCTCTTCTGCCTATGCTGGTGATGAGTTTCCCCTACCCCCGGGCTGGTCGTTGGATTGGACGGTGAGGGGGAGGAAATATTACATTGACCACAACACCCAGACCACTCACTGGAGCCACCCCCTAGAGAAAGAGAGCCTCCCCACAGGCTGGGAGAGGATAGAAAACAAAGAGTATGGGGTGTACTATGTAAAGTAAGTATACTGTAATGAATCATTTTAATTTGTGTGTCTGTTTGTAGGCAAGCAAAATTTTATGTGTTCATGGGGATGTAATTTAGTGGGTATCTCATTTACCAGGGTATATGGTAGATTCATTGAATCAATATGTTTCAAAAATAAACATTATTTGTTCATGGGGATATACCCATGCTGGTCCTCCATGAACTAGGATGATTCCACAGTATGGCATATTAAACTACATGTTTTATTTAAAGTATATCAAATGTTTCTGTAGAATTAATAATATCTAAATGTCAACTTCTACATATGAAAAAGAGAAAAGAAAAAAAAAAAAAAAAAATGTATTTACACAGTGCTTATTTGAATTTAAAGAATGATTTATTTTTTCTCCAGCCATTACCTGCAAGTAGCACAAGTGAACCATCCCTGCTCCCCAACTCAAGGGAATCCAAGGTTTAGCCTCCCACCCCACCTACCCCGACAGATAGAGTACCGCTCTACCCGCCAGGACCATGTCCTAGTGCCCGCCAACCCCTACCTTCACACAGGTCAGAGATATTAGATACTACGTAATGTAAATAAATTTTCAGTGTTCTATTTTTATCAAATTTTTTATTTACTTGTAATTGCAAACAAAAAATAATAATAAATTCTAAAAAGTTACTTAATTAACTTAACAATTGATATAAAAATTGAAATCAAAGAATATCATGTTCAGTACTACACATAATTTAAAACCAAAATATATCAATATAAATGATTGTTTTTTACCTGCTTTAAAAATTGAATTTTTGTCTTACATATTTATTTTTATTGGTGTTTTTCATTATTAATTTTATTTTTTTGCTATATCAGAGATTCCTAAATGGCTGGTTGTGTATTCAAAAGGAGCCAAAGAACATGATCATAAACTGAAGGTTAGTAAGTTGATCAATTAAATCAGTAAGTTAATTATTATTTTATTGTCTTTAACTCAAACAAAGCTTCCTTTGCTATGTACATTACATATATTTACAAATACCTAACTGTGTGAAAATATGTATACCCAGTCAAACATGCTATACTTATAATGACTTTTTCCTTCAGTGGGATCTGTTCCGCTTGAATGAAATTGAGGTCTTTGATGCCATGTTGATGCGACTTCATAAACAAGAACTGGAGCAGATAGTGATGAGCTATGAGGCTTATCGTAGTGCCCTGATCAGAGAAATGGAGCGGCGAAAGAAGGAAAATCAGGTGCCGGGCCAGCCTCTGGCTCTCACTCAAGGTGTGGAGCATCAGAAACAGATTCAGAGTGAAGGACTTATACCAGGAAGACTGTATAACATTGGAGCCCAGGGCTCAGGGCAAAGCCCAGCACAAGGTGCTCCTCAAGGCATTCAACAGAATGTGGGTCTGGGATTTCCTAGAACTGTTGAACAGGTTTCTGGAATGCCCGTAAATGTGGGTTTACCACAAGCTTTGCAAGGACAAATGATTCAACAGAATATGGTGAGAGGAAATCTGAATTTTCCAAATGCAAATCCAGCAGTGTCAAATAATCTTTCAAATGTTCTAAAAGCTGGGGTGAATCCAAATGCTGGACAGATTGGCCAGACAGCAGCAGAGAGGATGATGATGTTGCACAGCCAGGTGTCAGATAACCAGTTTGCTATGCAGAAGACAGCCACAACTCAGCATCATCTAATGCAGCAGCACCAGCAGATACAACAACAACTGGAACAACTGCGGCAAGAACAGATGCAGCGTCATCTTCAACAACAACTCATACAGCAACGATTGATGCAACAGCAACATATGCAACATTTTCAATTACATGGTGCTCAAATGTTGCCTACATCTCAGAACTTTGTCTCCCAGCAGCCAATAAGTAGCCAAGTGCAGCATTACACCCCATTCACAGCTAGCCAGCAGACTAGCAACCAGCAGACACAAGGTTATACATCACACCCAGCAACCATTGCACAGCAACCTCAGAGCAACCCACAAGCCTTTACTCAGCTCCCATCAACAGCACAAGTATCCTATCCAGCCTATCCTCAGCTAGCAACAGCAGTCCCAACAAATGTGCAACAACTGCAACCTCAACAGAGCATACCACAGGGTTATCCTCAGCAAGTGGTTGCAACCACACTGCCAGCAACCCAGCAACCTTTCCCAGTAACTTCATCACAGCCAACTGTCCCTCCAAGTTTTCCCCCCAAAACTCAACCACAGACTCAATCAAAGTCCATCACTCAGAATATTGAAACCAAAGTTTGACACCCTGATGTACAAAATGTAAATTTTGGTGCATTTTTAACATATCCCAATCTATTCCTGGTGTAGTGATATTGAAATGATTTATTTTAATTTCATGTACTTTTGATAATGACCATACTATATTTATTATGTGTATTTCGTCATCATTAAGATTTAGAAATCAATGTGTTATACTTGAGAAACAGTATATTCCTATGGATGGTGTTTCATATAAATTATTTGAAAAATAATTATAGGACTGATTATTATATACATGTACATTTCAACACTTTCAATTCTACATCTGTGAAAACAAAATGTGGAAAAAATAACTACACCATTCTCAAAGTTACAAATACAGTGTACTAGTCTTTGTCTTTTGATTTGCAATACATGTAGTATTTTTTCGTCAAAAAAGTAGAAGTAATTTGGTCCACAAAGGGAAAGGGAAAGTTTATTTGTTTAAGCTTGTGTTAAGTTTATGTCTGTTTTCATAGTCATGAAAGCTGTACAAATTTATTCAGAATTTATTTCATGTAAATATTTTACTGGAAGTTTTGAATTAGGCATATATTTTTTCATAATGTTTAGTAGCGGCATTTCTGTTAAAATATGTTTATTTCATTTTAGCTAGATGTTTTCCTTAAATTTCCTTTCATGTGTTGATGTTGTGTGTCAAAACATATGTGAAATTTTGGAGTAATCTAGGTTTACATGTAAAGCCAGTATTCCAAGCTCTTTCTGTTTAAAGTTTTGATAAGTAGCCTACATCGAATATTCCTCCCCATATATATTTTCCTGAAGGTTTCCATGTGCTGAGATATATATTTAATAAATATACAATTATTTATGAAATGAACAATATCTGTCACACTTGAGTTTCCAGATCATGATATTCAATTAGCTTTTATAGTTTACTGAAAAGTTTCCAGGAAGTTACACCAAAGTCAGTTTTGCAAAAAGTTGCTGATCTGGTATTCTAGCTGTCATCCCCCTTACTTTCAAAGGTTCATAATTAAAATACATTATTTTTTTGTAGAGGGGGAGAGTAAGAATATTCTTCTTAAGTGTATACAGGTCAAAAAGATATATGAAACTTTACCCAAACTTGTATTGTTTTTGTCTTTTTTATTTATTTTCTGCATGGGCATAGCACATTAAAATTTTAGCATATTTTATAATTTATTTTATTTAAACTGGAGTTCCTTTGAACTTTAATTTATTTTAGAGAATTTTTTTTATATAAAATTTAAGAAAACTCATTTATGGTTTGTACAATTGGCAATTCTTGCATTAGTCTGGACACCATGACAGCAGCTGTTAAACAGTGAGATAAAATTGACAGATTAAAAAAAAATGGTTGTGTTTGAAAAAAAGTCATTTTTGCATGATCTCATTCCTGCTGTACATATTACTCTGTATTTAATGTTATCTTGTGATTCCTTGTTGACTTTTGAATAAAGTAGACTGGGTGATTTGCTTTTTAGGAAAGGAGCAAACTGGTTTATTTTTCTTTCATTATTTCCTGAAATGCACCTCAAGACAAGGAGTTAGGGCCATACTACAATAGTAAAACATGCTTGTAATAAAGTTCTAGGGACAGACAAACGTGCTTGATTTATATCAACATAATTTGTTATATTCATTAGCTTCGCAATTACTTTTTCAGGCACAGAGAATGAAATCCACTTTAATTCATTATAAGCGTCTTCAGTTTAAACATGTTATACTGTAGTTGATAATGGATTGACTCCACGTCACATGGGCTCATGGCCTTTATGGCAAATAATGGCCAAGAAGGGTTATAATGACCCAAGGGCAAGCTCGTTATAGCGTTCTCAATGTCATGTCAGTACTGTCCATAAGTTGTCTTAGCAAAATATGTCTACAAAAGAACCTCATGCTGGAAGAAAGGCTTGGGGAAAAGTGCAAACTTTTATTATTAAATGCCTTTTTTAAAGTACTATAAATACAAAACAAAGGGTGAAATGAGGGGAAGAAAAGATTCATTTTCCTCTACCTTTTCATTTTAAAGGAATTAAGATTTCTATATAGTTCAAGAACTAGAAAAGTTAATTTGATTATTTATTCAGGTTTCCAGCTTGACATGTAAAGTTGAAGTTAGTAAAATGCATAAATCATACATTCCAATTATTCATGAACATGTATATGATATCAAATTATGAAACCTATCATAAATTTCAGTCATTTGTACAAAAATATGTAAATGCCAGCACTATATAAAAATTTACATATATATCAAAGGGAAATTCTTAACAAATTGTAAAAAATTGTTTTCTTTTTACTTTTCCAGACATATAATATTAAAAGAAGCACAAAACTTTTATACACATTACTACATACAAAATCATGAACTAGTCATATACAAGTTCTGGTCCAGCTAGCACACAGTTCATTGGCCAGTTTACAATAAATAACTCTTAAAACTAATAGGCAGAGCATTCAAAATTTCTATACCCTCTGCACCCCACCCCCTCCTACAAATAAAGCATATACCTGGACAGTGACATTCATTACCTTTCCATTCACTGAATTTTGAATATTCAAAAATATCAAACTATACAAAAATGGAATACTTTGAAATAGACGACATCTTCAAGTACGGAAATGAAACAGGACTGCTCAGTTCCATTCATGTACAATAATTCACATAGTATTTTTTGGCAATAAATTAAACATTACAGACAAAACAATATAATGGCAAGGAAGAGGTGCAAACCTTTATGTTTTCTTATGTAAACAATATCTCCCAAAAAAAGGCAGAATGATAATGTACATGTACTGGCCCATGCAAGGAAGAATCTTAATAAGGAGCACTTGACGACTTTATTTTGCGTATCACATCTTCACCAGGAAAAAATTGAAAATCGTTATATAAATGTTCTCAAATATAAACTAAAACATGTGCATTTTACAGTGTAATTACCTATTGTGGTGACGAATTGTGATTTGAAGAAGGAAAGACAAGAAAATTGGGAGTCACATACTCTCTTTCAAACAACTAACTAAATTAATGTATGGGCACATGCATAAAGCACTGTCAAAAAATACTTAAAAATCTTATAAGCATTATAAACAAAAGTATCCTAAAATCAAAATGCAATGTACCTGCAAAGGTATTTTATAAAGAGATTTACCTACAATAGTTGCAGTTGTGCTATGGTTGTGTACATGAACATAAAAATGCTAAAGCCTAATTCATTTCTATCAATAATTTGAATTCCAGACTAAGTTCATTTTAACATATAGTGCAAAGAAATCAGGACACATGTTAGAAAATTTATCATTTTTCAGTTGATTTTCTACCCAGTAAGCATGACTTTCTTTTTGACCTTTGACTTGTGAACATCCGCGCTGCCTCTTATACTGGTCTCACCAGAGGGCGCTGCCATCTTGGCAACATCTTCACGTTCTTGAAGGTGAGCCTGCAAAAATCAACCGTTTGAAATTGAATAGATCTCTTTTATTTTGCAATAGAAAATGGGAAAAATTGAAAACTTTCCGTTAAGTTGCACATAATACCATTCTATATAATATATGTGCATGTGTAATGTACAGTTGAACCTTTATATCTCCAACCCAAGAGGACCAACATTAAACTTTGAGATATCTGAGGATAATGAGGGAAAAAAACATAAAAACTGATTCAGTCTGCCAACTTTCTATGACATTTCCATGGTTGTTCGTGATAATGAAGTTCAAACTGTACATAATCTCAGAAAAACAACTTGAATCTACTTTATATGTCATTTTCTTTACCCCAATTTTGTGCAATTTTTCTTCTAAAGTCATTTCTTCTAGTGAATGATCCAGCCGCTTTAGGCACTTCTCCGCAATATTATCAATTGCCATTAATATCACTCCTAGCTCAGTCCGCTGTAAAATGAAAAAATAAAGATTTTCCATAATTCTACAGAGCATGAAGGAAATCAGCTGCATATGAATGAATGATATAAAAAATTATCATTGAATGCATGTCCATTAAAAATAGTTTATACAATTTCAAATTACTTTGAACTTAGAGTGGTTGGGTTAAAAGTTTCAATAAGCTGTCAAATATGAGCAAATGTAATCAAAACAAGAGATGTTTGTTAAACACTTACTGTAGATCACTAAATTTTTGCAACACCTTATTTTCGCGAAATAGTCATTGACTCTTGATTAGCGAGACAAAATTTTCACGAATTGTGGTTATTGCTCTATAAAATCTTAAGGAATATTATTATATGCGAGAATTAAACTTTCGCAAGCACATTGTCTCATGTAATTATGTAAAAATAAAGTTCTCGTGAATAAAAAGTGATTTACAGTATGCCCCCCTCCCTCAAATAAAGTCCAAGGGGCATAACTCTGTCCAAATTGGCTGGATTGTACCCAAAACAGAAATTAATTTAGATATTCTTATGATAAATCTGTATACCAAATTTCATTTCAATAAGTGCAACCTCTGCAAAAACTAATGGTGGACCAACAGACAGACCAAACGAACAAACAACGGACAACAGCAAAGCTATATACCCTCCCTTCTTTGAGGTGGGGGCATAATAAATAAGATAGTTTGCTGGTGTCAGCACTTTTCGACCGTTTGTACAATTACGTATATTTAAAAATCTCTAAAAGCTTACTCTCTTCCTCATGTCTCCTTTACTCGAGGCAAACTGCTGTTCGTGCTGTTTGTTAGAGTCCTGAACTCTATCCTGCTGGTTCTGGAGTTTGGCAAGCTGACTGTTTATAGATACTTTCCTTTTGTCATGTTCTGTCTTCATGGTGTCAAGTTCTTTCTTGAGATTTTCAATCTGTAAATGAAAATATGCAGATGAACATCAGAAAATCTTATAATGAGAGAAACTTGTATCTGCCAGATTTATGTTTCTCAAAATCCAGAAAACAAGCTGAAAATGTTAACTCAACCTATAATCAAGGCATGTATAAGAAGACAAATAAAAACAGATAGCAGTATGTCACCTAAAAGACTGGGTTTTAAAAATACAACTTCAGGAGAAAGATCTTACCTCATCCCCCATGTGCACTAGGTTGTTAACAAGATCTTTGTTTGATTCACTGAGAGTCTTGTGTCTCATCATCAGTCCCTTTATCTTGTCATCATCCTGAATGTAGTCTGTCGATAAAAGTAAACAAAATGTTAGAAAGGGGAAGAACATTGAAATCAATTAAATTATCAAAACAACTGTCCAGTATATAACTATCTGGTTTTGATTATTTGGGATTTTATAGTCCTTTATCCATGAAAACAAATGCTATATAAATGTACTGGAATTATTTCTTTTCCTGATTACTTTTACATCAATCTTTCTCATGGTTTTTTTTTTTGTCTCTTACTAAATATTTTGGCAGAATGATGAAATTAAAAGCAAGACTTTTCAAGAAATATATACACACAAAACATATAAAGATTGAGTGTTACTTTCAATTTTCGCATGCTTCAGACAATCATTACTTTAATTTCATGCAAATACATGTAAAATAAAATAGACAAGTTCTCTGCAGTGAAGTATGCCTCAAACATTTTAATGAATGAACAGTATGGTGTTCTTTGAAGTGAAATGTTTTGCACAAATGTGGTCTAACGAAATATCTTTTTATTATCAAACTTATGAATATCATTTATCAAATTTGAAAAACTTACTTAAATGTGTGTAATTTTTCCTTTTCATAATTATATGATATTTCTGTACCATTTCAAAACACAGAGTGAAAATATGAATGTGATCAAAACACATCACGCCATAATATTACCATCTACCTCTGACAAGTGGGGACTATGTAGAATTAATAGAAGTATACAGCTTTATAAAAACATTATGATGAGTAAAATTTGGGTACTTAAATATTGACTTAATTGGCAAAAAGTATTCCTCAAAAATCTATAATTCCATATCCAAACTTCAGTAAATCATGTACATTTGCAATATATTACCTATTTTCAAGATCAAAATTTCATTTCCTGGTACCAAAATGGACCATTATGTCTATACTCTGAAACCCTATTTTCATAAATTTATAGTTAGATGAAAAATGTTCAGCAAATTATAAAATCTTCTTAATAAATAAAGCGTACTATGACCTACCTTCAGGCATAATATCTATGACCTTTAGAAGGTACTCTTCAAATCTTTTGTACTGATTGACTTTCTTCTCCAGATAACTTTTCCTACGAAAAGTACAATAAAAGATTTAAAAAGAAACACGATCGACACAATATTTGTCAAATAAACAGCAAGTAATACAATATGCCTTAAATAAATAAAAAGTTGCAAATAAAAAGTGATGTGCATTAGTTCACATGCCATTGTTTATATCCTTTTGTGTGATGAAAACCATCTTTCAATTTTCATTAATTTTCAGATTATGCTCTAACTCCCAGAGGAAAACTACTTTTAAAAGAGACATACCAACTGTAAATGGCAAATGCATTCTCAGCAGACAGGTCTGTCTTACCTCCTTTTCAGCTCTGCCAGTTGTTCACACAGCTCTTCATATTCTTTCTGTTTCTGTTCCTTAAGTAGCACCTCTGTCTGATATTTCTGGATGGCCCTCCGTCTTTTGGCATCGTTATCTTTGATGAACTTATCAAACTTTGCCACTTTATTGTTCATCTGTAATGCAATTAAGGTTAAAAATTTTCATGCTAAAGTTTCAAATTAAGATTTCAGAATTTTTTAAAATAAAAATTGAAAAATACAGTCAATTCTCCAATTATCGCCATTCGATTCATCGCCATTTTCACAATACCGCCATGATTTCCCAAGAACGTTTTTCCTGCTATATAAAATTCTCTTTATAACGCCAAATTCGCATACCGCCATCCGCCACCCTGTTTTCAAAACAAACGTCCATTTTTAAGTGTCAATTATCTCAATATACCGCCACAGATTCAAACATTCAGTGAAGCGCGGCTAATTAGTTGACGCTATCCCTGTTGTAAAGCATGCAAAGGCAGACAAGGTACATGCAATTTAGTAATTAAACAAGAATAAAATAAATAATAATTTTAACATGAACTGTTATTATAATTTTGTTTTTTGTTTAATAAAAATCATTTAGTCACGGCTTCGCCACGAAAGCGGTCGTTGTTATAGTGCGCAGATAACGATATTATTTTGATGATGTCTGCTTTAACTAATGCAAAGTTTGCTGAAAAAATAATTATACGGCATGAATTGTGAACGTTTCATTAACAATGATGCCATAAACGATGAATTTATTCAAAAATTCATTTTACGTACTTTCAGCAATAAATCACGACGATCGACCCAGCTTGTTTTTTTTTTCAATATCAGACGTGCAGATTTACATAATATTAAATACACATGACTTGTCTTTATTTCATTACTGCACATTTTGTTTTAGTGAAATTGTACATAAAAAAATACTGGAAGTATTTTCAATCAAAAATATGTCTTTATACATGTACATTTTATTATAAGAATAGAAACGCTTAAATGGTATTTCTAAGAACGGTAACTCCACTTCTTGTTTTCTAAAAAGATGGGAAATTCGATTCATCGCCAAATTCGTTATACCGCCATGATTTCTAAATTACAAAAGGTGGCGATTTATCGAGAATTAACTGTAAATGAAATGGGATGTTTTTAGTTATACATATGTAAATACTATCAATAACTAGTAAAAAGGTATAAAAAATCTCCATTATTAACCATCTGTCTTTTTTTCTGGACGTTGAGCTTCCGTTGCTGCAGCTCCTCCATCTTCTGTCGGAATCTACGGCGACATTTCTCCAGTTCTTCATCCACCTTAGCCACCTCCACCTCCTTTTTGAGGAGAAGTGTTTTCTGGAAGGTGTTGATGCCGGTCTCCAGGAGCTGTCCACCAGTTTCCTTGACAACTGGAAATGCTGAAACATCATGGTCCTCGTCATCTCTGTTAAATAAAAACATATGTACTCTTTCAGTTTCAGCTAGACCTATAATTAAGAGACGGTATATATGAATTCATGAATTTAAATTTTAGTTAACTAAGGCTCATCTATTTGAAAATAAAGTAAACATCTGTCATATAAAATTGATATGCCTAAAGTTCCTTTTTTTCCCTTCCCAATTTTCACAGTTTAATGGTTAACTTTCATTGGCGTCGGAAGCAATTGAAAGTGGGAGGGGCTAAGTGTAAAAAAAATTTTTTATACCTCCAAAAAACCTCACAAGCAAAAAAAAAATAAATGTCCATTTCCCAAACACGAAAATCCTATTTCGTGGGGTGTGTGGGCGGGGGGGGGGGGGGGGGGGGGTAGGTTCGAACTTTCAGTACCAAAATTTTTTCCAAACACCACCACTTTCCCCATTTTTAACCTATACTTCGACGTGTCTGTGGAAAGTGGGGGGGGGGGCTAAACCTACGAAGCAATGCATGTTCAATGTTTATACTAAGTATATATTTGGAAAAAAAGTGGGGGGGGGGGGGCTAAGCCCTCCCTACCCCCCCGGTTCCGACGCCTATGACTTTGATGATATAGAGGAAATTCCAGCCACTGTGTATAATCTATGTTTAAAAGAGATCTGGTTTTATGCAAACATGGTCATATAAATTTCAGTTAAAATAGTTCGTTGAACATGCTTAAATTCTCCAGAATGTTAATTACAATAGATAAACTACATGATAATCTATATGAAAGTTTTACCACATACACTACCTCGCACATGAGCTAAATTCTGCATGAATTATGATTACATGTTTCGATAAACCCATATACCTGTCATTCAGCTGGGTGACAAAGATATTCCTTTTCTGGTCATCCAGTTGCAGCTTGAATCTCTCGTTGTCATCCATCGTAAATTATGACAATAAACAAAAATTATACCATGTCTGATGTCAGATAAAAATATTCTCGTCCGCCATGTCTAAACACCTTTATGCAAATCAGCGCACCTAGGAGATAACCACGTGACAAAGAGCGCAACTTTTAAAATTTTCCTCATGCATGCATGCCTTGTGTCCTTGTTTTTTCCTCACACGCCTCTGTATTTATTATAATCATCATTATAATCATAAAGCCATTTTTTTTATTTAATTATAAAAAGAAAAATCAGAAAAAATACTCTTCTTGGAAAACATTCCAGATTATGAATCGATTTCAGCGGGGAGAAGAAGTGTAAGATTATATTGAATGGGCAAAAGACATTCTCTCTCTCTTTCTCAGTCTCTCTCTCTCTCTCCTATATGTCCCTTTGGTTGTATTGTGCCATTTGTGTGTGTAGGAAATATTCAGAACTTGGTAAAACGATAAAATTCTATTTGGGCATCACATTTTCATAAGGTAAACACAATGATATTTCCTAAACCATGCGCGGATCAAGAGGGGGGGGAGGGGGGTCGGGGGGTCAGGACCCCCCCCCCCTGGAATTTACACGGTTAAAAAATGTATATACTAAAGGAAGAAAAAAGTAACCTTGGACCCCCCTGGAAAACGCTGGCCCCCTGAATATGTGTAAAACGGGTATGAAAACGGAAAGATTTGAGGCAATAGAAGTCATAGACTACCCCCCCCCCCCCCCCACGAAATAGGTATTTCACGTTTGGACGAGAGGGGTTTTTTGTTTTTTTTGCTTGTCAAGAAATTTCTGGGATTGGAATTTTTTTTGACTGGGAAAAAATTTCTGGATCCGCGCCTGTCCTAAACTACAACAAATTATGTTTATATAAATGCTTTACTCGCATTCAGTCTTGTGTGCACTTCTTGTGAAATCTTTTGTGGCAATTTTAAAAAAATGATAAAAAAAACAAGGATTAAAAAAAGTAATAATAAATTTTCCATAATAACAATATTTAGATTCTTGATTCATGACTATTATATGACAGCTCAGTGTAAGTACGTGTAAGTACAATAGGAATTTATATAAAAAAAAGAATATTTCTTATTTTGTATTTTCCATTACAACCGGACCAACTAGAACTCAATTAAACGTCACAATAACGTCATAATAATGTGACGTCACAAAAGACTTCACGTCACAGTGGACCTATAGCTACATTGTTGTTAGCGTTTGTTATCAAAATGGGTCTTCTCCATAGCTGTATGAGGAAGCGAAGTAACAAAGTTGGCATTATGACTGACGAAGAAGAAGAGGCTTACAAGAAAATAGAAAGAGAGTTGAAAAACGAAGTACTAGAGGATTCTATTCCGAACAAACCCCTCCCGTGGTTGATGTTTTGCACTTCATTGACGGATGGCGAAAAGGTGCACACTAACCCAGCTGAGGGAAACGATGGAATCTCTGATGTTGTAAAGAACAAAGATGGGATGGCTTTCAACCTTGACTTTAAGCCGACTCTTCCAGCAAAACTTCCACCCATCAAGGTTACATCTTCCAGAATTGTTCAAGAGGATTATGAAAAGTGGAAAGGTTTGTTCTCTCACTCTCTCTTAGAATGTGTATGTGAAGGTTTTTTTTTTTCAAAGACTCAATTTTTTTTTTGTCCAGCCCTATATCAATATATTTTTGTAATTTATTTGCAGAGACACAGGACAAGAGTTTGATGGAAAAACTGGAGAAAGCAAAAGTGAGAAGGGAAACAGTTCTTCGGAAGCGCAGAGTTACGGCAAAAAGACCAAAGACAGCACGGAACAGAGTTTCAAAGGAAGTTGATTCATCTGAAGGATAAATGGAATCAATAACTCGCCAGCTGCTGTATACATATTTAAAGATAAATGATGAATCTGCATTGCCTTTAGATGATTTTTTGAACCGTTTTTGAGTGACTCTTCTGATTTGTTAAAAGTCATCTAACAAGTTTAGGTTTAAAACTTGACATTTTGTTTATGAAATACAAAATTTGTTCTTCTTGAAATGAAATTGTACACATTTATTTAAAATCTTCCAAATCTGTTACATTACATTCGCCATGAATAAACTGAAGTTTAATTACGGTACGCAAAGTGTTTGATTTTCTTTATTTTTGAAGTTCTTTTTTGGAATCAATTGTACGAGAGATTGTGTTTGCAGCGTTACAACTCTCGACATAACATGACCCTTCATGTAAAATTGCAACAGAGATTGGGGGACATACCAGGAAGTAAGGCCCTTGTGTGTGTGTGTTAGTTTGTCCTTGTGCGAAATGCGAAAGACGTAACTGATGTCGAAAGCTGTCTTGATTTATAGATATGGTCTTTGCGAGGGGATGCTCCGCTTTGCACTACCCGTGTCTATTTTGAAGGTCATAGAAAAAAAATCCTTGCAGGACTCAATGATTTTATTTATCTAGCATGTTGCAGTTTGAAAAAGCACTCACGGAACTAGAACAATTTATGTCGTAAAAGCATCTACTTCAGATGATAAAAATTGGAAAGCCAATTCATCCTAATATTCTGTGAATATATAAAACATGTACTTAATATACATGTTCATGTATAACTTTTTTCATCTGCATATGATAAAAACGAATCCAAACCACTTGCCTGGAATATGTTTCATTGAAATTGGTCTTTCTAATAGTTTACACAGTTTACCATGGTAAACAGTAGATCGATTCCAGCTCTGACAATTTTTTTAATCGCGCAACTAGACCATGAACTATCCACGATGGGTATTCTTAAAGTAGACATTTCAAGAAAGTGTGTCCTGACCTTGACTACACAGCTTAATCAAATGACAACAGATTTAGGAAGTTATTATAGTACCACACTATTTACAATCAATGTTCAAATCATAATTAAAAAAAAACTTTCATTTATGCACGTGTGTTAAAATGCACTATAATTATGAGAATTAAACTCAAGTTTATTTTCTAAAACCATTTAATAATACATGAGGTTCTATGCACAAATATATAAGATACATGTGAAATGGAGGAAATATTTTCAAACTATAAACAACAATAGTAAATTATGGAAGACAGACAAGTAATTATGTCATACTGTACTTTTTTTTAAATTTCAATTTACTGCGCCACGCGGGCGACGGTAATAATTGGAAAATCAATTCATTCTAATATTCTGTGAATTTATAAAACATGTACTTAATATACATGTTCATGTATAACTTTGCATAACAAAATATGTTAAAAGATCTTGCATATTATGCATTAAAGAAAATAATTACTATTTGACCTGATTTAAGAATTTTATTTTTTTTAGTGGGGGGGGGGGTTGATTGATAGGGAACCTCTGAAATATATAGTAGTTATATGTTGTACACAGCAATAAATTGGTCTGTATGTTCACTTTGAAAATATGTTGAAATAATTTGTTAAAAACAGAAAAGAATGGGGATGATGACTATAACAGTAATAAAAAGTATCTGTTTAATGTATAGAGTAAATGTAGAACGCGGCCAGCGCAGATTTAGACAGGGCTCACTAGAGAGAGAGAGAGAGAGAGAGAGAGAGAGAGAGAGAGAATTGCTGATAAGTGGAGACATATACCGATTTTTTTTTTTGTATCCTTGATTGTATTATATTGCAAATGAGTATATCATAAAACTTCTGCATTTTTTGCTTCTGACCTGCATTAATTATACATGACAATAGATGTATTGAACTTTTTAGAGTTTCAATTTTGAATATCGATTATGTTCAAATGAACATTTATCAAAACAAAAGAGATACAAAAAAACTTTCATGATAATCAATTGTGTGTTAAAATGCACTATAATTATCGCCACTTTTGAACGTGCGGTATTTGTTTTCTAACAACCAGTTTTAATAATTATAATTTTAAAAGAAATCTAATCTAACATAACTTGAAATGGAGGTCAACTTTAATATTTAATTAAAACCTATAAACAACAATAGTATCTATATAAAATCAAAAACTATAGGTTGACTCATAGAAATATTTTTAACAGTCCGACTTAGCAGGTAAGTCCGCTTTATGTTACGGTTTAAGACATACTGTACTTTCTTTTAAATTTCAATTTACTGAATCAGATGTATTGACAAAGTTAACAAACGTTTGTAAGGATGAAAATTCGTTGATAACGGTGACATACAAAATCGACGAACATTGACACCCTAGCTCGAAAAGGTATTATTCCACTGTAAATGCATTTTGATAAATTATGAGGAACTCTTGATTACAATTGCCAGTCCGAAGTCTTTAACAACAAAACAGTTTTCCGCCTGAGATACAATTTCATCAATCACGTCTTTGTTGAACACTGCGGATGTTGTCTCATCATTAAAAATAGTTAATTTACGTAACCTACTATTAGAATGGACTAATTCCTGCAATTCCTGAATTGACATGTTAGACGAAGTGTTCAGCGTTAAGGTACCCAGGTTTCTCTCCGTCAGAGCTATCAAAGATCGATCTGTGAGATGCCTAATGCCCTCCAAGGCCAACTCAAATAAAATCTTCAAATGATGCGCAACAGCCTCGACACCCTCATCTGTTAACTGTGGACAGAATGATAGATCAAGAATCTGAATATCTGGGCAACATCTAGAAATTTCTGTGATATCAGCATCTGTTATTCTGTGACAACAAGACAGGTCTAAATTCCTCAACCAAGAGTGCTCTGATGAGAATTTGTATGGAGGTATTCTCGGCCCTTGGAATATTGCACCACAGGTATCTGTTGCTAGGGCTTTGGACCCAGAAGCTCCGGTTGCTCTGGATTGTCCACAATCTTCTATTGACCTGGCTCTTGACCCACAATCTTCTGTTTCATGGGTCTTAGATACACAAACTCCCGTCCTCTCTACGCCTTCTTCACAAAATCCTTTTGCTTGAGCGTTTGAATGAAAAAGACCCGTTCCTTCCCCTGAATCTTCCTCGTGTGATTGGTCATCATTACGAAGCATCTGTTTGATTTTATCATAGGCTTGATATACCTTTACACAGTATCTCTGACCCTCCTCGATGGATGGGCCATGTTGCAGCAAACGATAGCAAGTGCAAGATACTTCTTCCTCATTTTCATTCTGTGTGTTTTCTAATTCTGTCAGGGGCGTAATTGCACACACGGGGAGTCCAGGAAAATTTACATGATCGTGCAACTTTACGTTTGAAATGAAGAAACAGGAATGCACCTGCAACCGCTGTAGCCATAAGCAATTCATCATAAGGCAACTAATTCCAAATCCCGTAACGTGCAGACAGAAAGTTAGATTCACATGGTTAAGTTTAGGGCAGTGACGTGACAGCTCCAAAACACCAAAATCAGTCACGCCAAAACATCCCTCCAGATCGATAGTTTTTAATTCAGGACATCCTTGTGCAATAGCTAAAATGCCTTCGTCAGATACATTAGATGCTGCAGAGTAGCTGAGTTTCAGCACCTGTAGATTCTTACAACTCGACAAGTACATTAAACCTTTGTTGTTGATAAGAGTTCCACGTGTCAGAAACCCAAATCCAGTTTCTCTATCAGACAAGGTGATGGGTTTGGCAGCTATAAAATTTTCGAGCAAAGGACTCTGTTGCCCTATGTACTGGCAAGCGTGCTCGTCCAAATCCAAACAATTCAACAAGGAAAGTTTCTTAAGCTTCCACTTCGTTGCAGCAGTCAGGTTCCTAATGCCATCAGTGTCGATGGAACAGTCTTCAAACACTATTTCTTCAAGACCGGCAGCGGCTTTATTGTCTCTTAAGCTATTCAATTCTTGTTCTTGACTTATTCTCAAACATTTAAGCTTTGGGCATTTTTGAATGAATTCCTCAATGGTTTGACTCCTGAGTCCAGTTGAATTGATGTCCAAGCTTGTAAGCTCTGGGTGGGCAGAAGCAAGACTTCTAAGCTCTCTATTCCAAGTATCGTCGAAAAGCATTTTATCCATGTCATCATACATATCGCTGTAAAAATGCTCTTCATCGATTTGAAGCTTCGTTAAAGTAAGTAGATTCTTAATGGCAGGAACAACAGTATCATACCGTATTTGATTGTTGTGACCAAAGGAAACCTCTGTGATATGGGGATATTTTACGAGGAGATTACTAAACTCTTCTAAAATAAGATCAGAGTGCATAACCTGAATCCTCTCCAGTCTTGGACAGTTGATATCATCCCTGAGGAATAAGAGGGAATTGGTGACGGCAAACTTTCTTCGGTATAATCTTTCAAGGCCTGTCCCTAAACCGTCTCCATTATGTTTACCATTGATATTTTTTATGCACAATGTTTTCATATACTTTGATATCATGCCAAACTGCTCCAGAAAGGTTTCTAGATTCTCAGCATCTTCCATCCAATTTAGTACACCGGAGGTTTTCCATAGACACTCTTCACTGGATACCACCATCCAACGGACGCACACTCGTTGTATGTGCGCCATGATATCATAGAAGGACAGGTGAGAAAATATCATCAGTAACAGTTCATCAGGGAGATCTTGAATGCCACGTGCCATTTTAAATCTGGAATGGGGAAAACACATGATATAATATGTTAATTAAAAGAACTGAATATGTGATATTATATATCCTTTCATAAATAAATTGGATGTGGTTGAGGGTAACATTGTAAATTGTTATACCTTTTAAAAATTGTTCCTATACAAATCTATCCGAAAAAAGTTTAACATTTCTAACGTTTTTTTCTGAGCGGGCATAAAAAAATCTATGTTGGACCGTTGAGTAAGATGTTGGACCGTTCGATGAGATGTCGGACCGCTCACGTCAGAGAATGGGTCTCATTTTCATTCGTTGGTGTTCAAAAGTGATGGACCTAATGTTATACCGCAGAAGACAATACAAAATACATGTATGTCAAAAAAATTAAATAAAATGAAAGGTATAACAAAACATTTATTGACTGAGTTCTCGAGCAAAATGTGTTTTGCGTTCTCGTGCAAAATGTGTTTTGCCGAGCCTCGAACCAAACTGTTTGGTTATTGGGTCCGACAAAACGCATGTTGCCCTCGAACTCGGTCAATAAATGTATATTATCAACCCCTGGAGACCATGTCAACCGAGGTGCAACCAAATTTTGTTGACAATAGTTTTCAAGTAGTGAAAATGTTCAGTATTACATAAAACCATGTTATATTTATTATCATAATCATTATACTGAATGCTGAACAGTTGGAAGGAGAGGGCAGGTTGTTGCCAGTGACCGTCGTAAGTGGCGTTCTTTGTTGAACGGCCTCATGCGTCCTCCGGGGCACGGAGAGGATAAATAAGGAAGTAAGTAACTGAATGTTTTACAAATGCATATAAAAGAGCATATGCTCTCCACAGTTAACGTGTTTTGAAATATTACCTATAGTCAAGCAATTTAGATTGTTGTTACACTGGAATGGAGGGTGTTGCTTCAACATTCAAAGGATAAAAATGTTTTTAATAAATATTTCGAGACGAGTCACATTCAATTAATTTACATGCAAGTACATTAATGTACATGATTGTATAATATTACAAAATGTAATAATTTTTACACATGAAAATTGTTTCAAAGCTTGGCACTGTACATAAAGGACTTCGATACCATTCTTACCATGTAGAGACAGCTTAAACCTTAATTTGTGTTAAAATATTATTTTATCGAATGAATTTGAAATCGAATAAAATTAAAAGTAAAAATTGATAGTTTTATTAACAATTTCAAATTTTGTTTATTCCATTTTTAAAAAAAAAATCTTACAGCATTTGTGACATTACCTTGTAAATCAACCCTCGTAAATAAACTTTCCTTGAACTGCGAAAAAAAAACCAAATGCCATAATAAGCTATTCTTTGTGCTTTGTAGTGGGGGGTTTGATTTATGCCTTATTTTGTAAACATTTTACAATGAAATTGTTATCCTCGCTCTTAATGGACATTGACCTTTTTTCCCTGTTTCACTGAACCGTTAACTCCATTGTGACCAGAGGAAAGGATGAATGATAGGTTACACAATTTTATCCAGATAAATAGAGTTTTCAAGTACTGGAAAAAATTCAAAAAAAACTTATAAACAAGGACAAAGTCTTTTCACTTGTTAAAAATAACAAAAAAGTGAATAAAAAATAAAATTCACTTGAACAGGAATCTCAATTTGTCATTCTTACGAATTTTACATAAAATGTGAATTTTTGTGAATTTGTGAATTTTTACCTGTGCAATTGCTAAGATAGTATTCAATAAATGTTCATACCGTTTAGAACATACTAGAGAGAAAAAAAAATAGCTCTGAAAGTTTGTCACGAATAAGCATAATTTGCTAACTTAATTACAAGTATTATCATAGACTTCACTAGGTATAAATCTATGTTTTGTTTTGTTTTTACATGGTTTGATGATAAAGAAAGCAGATTAAGTCCATTTTCACATTAAATGGATTTTGAATGTCAAATATAAAAATATGATTATAAGATTTAATCATCTTACCCGATGAAGATCTAGCTGTCAAAGGGAGAAGCTGACGATGGCTAGTTTAAAACCTGTTCCTTCAAGAGCTTGAGTAAAAATGGTGTCGTGTTTAAAAATAAAGCCATAATAATGATGGCGATACGCTTCATGGACTTTTAGATTTATATTGCTTTTCTTGACAATTAGGGGCCAGAGATTATAATTAAGTTAAATGAAATAGAACATCACATGCTGTTCACATACTGATAATTTGGTCAACAAAAGAGAGAAACATTACATAAATACCCTGAAGTGATCTTCTAATGTACATTCCAAATTTTATTTTCAAGACTACAATGGACCTTAAGATATCCGGACGCTTCAGTATCCAGGCGATTTTTGATCGGAACAGATTTTTTTAAACATTATTTTGTCTTGTTTAACTGGTAATATAGGTATCCGGACACTTCACATATCCGGACAAATTGACTAGGAACCAAAGTCCGAATAAATAAGCTAGGTTCCACTGTACATGTATCTGTCTTATTAACTACGAAATTTTTAATCAATTTTTTGTCATTAATATTTATATGATTTATGATTTATAGTTATAGTTCACCTCAAAACTCTTTAGATAAAAAGATTAAAAACACAATTTTTATTGTAGATCAGAAAGCTTAAGGAATTGTTACCTATAATTGATTGACTGATAACCATCATTGTGCAATTAACAAGAGTAGGTCTCGGAAGACTAAATAGAACAAGAATATGCATCAATATTTTAATATTGTGTGGGAAATTATTGATGAATGTTTCTGTAATCATCAACATTAAAGTAAAATTAATTTTAGTTATATTTAAGATGGCAGATTTTGAATATACGTACAGTGTATTACATGTAAATAAGTGGGCTTTGGGGTTGAATTCCTGGAAGTTTATGGGAACATTTTAGAATGCTCCATCTACCATTGCACTCTCTCACATACGAAGAGATATGGACCAGCACATCACATATATAGGCACCGTTGGAACTTTTTGTGTCAGTATTTGAACTGTGTATATCCTAGGCAAATTTATCTTTGTTTACATGTAATGAGCTACATGTATTTTTTACCTGAGATTTACTGTCCTAATTTGTGCCATAATTAAGATTGGAAACATTTTGGTATTTTCAATAATAAATGTTAATTTTCGACAAACCCTGTCTTATCTGTTTGGCAGAAAAGACCAAAAAGTACCTTTATTATATTATATAGTAGAGGATAGTATAACAGTACTTAGAACTGAGTTCTCATCAAAGAAATGTTACTTTAGCTGATTTTTTAAAGCAGTATTAGTTGCATTTTTGAGAAATTTATTTTGCTTCTTTATAAATAAATATATAACTTATGATTGTTTCTATGTGTAAAACACATTCAAACAAATATCATTTATGAAAAATATCAAAATGTAATCACCAAATTAAAATTTTAAATTGTTTCAGGGTTGAAGAAATGTTTCTGTTCTTTATAAAAGTTTTTTTTAGCTGGTCGAAAATGATATAGCGAAACATATATAAGAAATCATTTTTATATATAGCTGCCCTGTAATGCATTTCATTGTACAGGTTATAACGAAGACAATAATGTATATGTAATTCGTTATAACCGGATAAGAAAGTCATTAAATTTATATAGCTGGGGAAGTGCTTCGTTATATCTGTAAATTCGCTAAATATGAACAAGTTTTGCTGTATTGTTTTAACTGTATATACATATGTTCGATATTTATTCAATTACATTTTTGAAATATGTTGAAAATGTACAAATTTGTTCTTCCAGGTCCATGTATTAATTTTTTTCCAATGTCAAACTTGCAGCTCATATTGCTTTAAATTTTGTTGCTGTGATGCACTTTTTGGGGTAGGCAAAACAGTGAAAAACAAATGAACTCTCGTGTTTGACTGATAAATAAAGATTTTGAAACTCAATCAAAAAAAAAAAAAGCCAGTTACTACGTAGAACATCAAACGCGTTTTTCAATACTTCTTTTATTATTGCAGTACATGCTTTAGTGAGATTAACTCACTCTTAAACAAAACTGTTCACGTGACATTACCGTTAGTCACTCTAAATTGAACATTTGATCATTTTGAAAAGATTCCCTGAAGTCTTATATAGTTTACAATCTTGCCGCCTGTTAGCATTGACTGAACATTTGCATAATATAAAAGCAGAGAGCAAGAATCGGTTTACTTACTTTGTTCGAAGGGCCTTAATTTGAGTTATCGAACTTTGTAACAAACTCACATTATGCAAATTTCACAACCTACAATCAGTCCCAAGGGAAAAATGTATATATAGGCTGTCTCTGCAGGGTGGATGGTGTTGGAATATGTGCAATACAAGGCTTTTTGATAAAAGTATCATTGCACGTTGCACCTCTGCTGCATTACAATGCAATACCTTGTAATGCCTTGCAAACTGACTAATCAAAATAAAAAGAGTGAATTTGTTTCTTAATCGTATGAGATATATTGAAAATCCACACTATTTTTTTCCAAAATAAACCTTTATAAACCAGTCATTATGTCGAGATTAATATAATAAACTATTTATTTGATTTTGGGGGGTGAGATGTGGAGGTAAATGACTACTTTAAGTTCGAAGATAGAATTGTCATGTTTGTCTGATGAGTAGATCTAGAACGTTTGAAAATGATGCAGATATGCACCAAGGAGGGTAACGGAATTTACTCTGATGACAGTACTTAGAGCTGAGTTCTCATCAAACAGCAGTTACTTTTGCTGATCTTTATATATCGAAAACTGTTTAGGTATACGCTAAACATCCAGAGGAAATTTTGTGCTGAGTAAAGTTCTTTCAATTTGCAAGCTAACTAATTTTCTTTTAAAAAACAATGTAATGCTTGACCTACAGTCAATTTAAAACATACTTGCTCAATATTTATTGAAGTATTATATGAAATTTTGTTGAAAATGTATTCATTTCATATTTAGTGTTCTTCCTAGGTTTATTATGTATTATTATTAGATAAACTTTAATAGAGTTGTTCTCTTACTGTACATCTGAATCAACAATCGATAATATCGACACAATACGGTATAATAAAGATACAATTTGCAAATGAACTCTCGTTTTTGACTGACGAATCAAGATTTTGAAACTCAATCAAACAAAACGCCCAATTAAGGACCCTCTCTACACAAGTGCAAAATTTTTTTGGACACTGAGAAAAATATAGTGTATAAAGGAGTTAATACTGAGCTTATTTATTTAATTTTCAATGTATGGTGCGTGGCATTTACCCCCGGGAAAAATGTTCAAAGACAACACAGTATCACTGAATAGAAATCACTGTTAATTACTTCAATAGAGAAAAGACATGCAAATAACATGTTCAGTTAATTTATCTAGCCTTTTAAAATGTTAAGAATACTAAAATTAATTACAAATTGAGTAATTTATTGTAAATTATTATTTTTAAGAATTTAGATCTAATGGCAGATCACTCTAACTGCAGAAAAATACCTTAGAATCAGAACTCTTTAGTGTGCAGTATAGAGAGGGTTCATAATGCATAGAACAATCAAACGCGTTTTTCAATACTGCTTTTATTGTAGCAGTGCTTGTTTTAGTGAGATTAACTCACATTTAAACAAAATTGTTCACGGGACATTACCGTCAGTCACTCTAAATTGAACATTTGATCGTTTTGGAAATGACTCCCTGAAGTCTTATATAGTTTACAATCTTGCTGCCTGTTAGCTTTGACTGAACATTTGCATAATATGAAAGCAGAGAGCAATAATCGTTTTACCTACGTTGTTCAAAGGGCCTTAATTTGAGTTATCGAACTTTGTAAAAAACTTACATTATGCAAATTTCACAACCTACAATCAGTCCCAAGGGAAAAATGTATATATAGGCTGTCTCTGGAGGGTGGATGGTGGGGCAATATTTGCAATATAAGGAAAACAAATGTGCTTCTTTGCACGTTAGTGCCCTCTGCTGCATTACAATGCAATACCTTGTAATGCCTTGCAAATTGACCAATCAATATTAAAATAGTGAATTTGTTTCGTAATCCTATGAGAAATATTGAAAATACACACTATTTTTATTCCTAAATAAACCTTAACAACCCAGTTATTATGTCGAGATTAATATGATAAACTGTATTTTTGATTTTGGGGGGTGGGATGTGGGGGTAAATGACTACTTTAAGTCATCATGGTTCCTTTTGGTTCCTGGTGGAACATAGGGCCTCGGCAACAGTTCTCCACCGCACTCTATTCTGGGCAGCCTTTTTCAGTTTTTCCCAGGTGTGTCCACATTGAACTGATCTCCTCTTCACATGACCTTCGCCAAGTTTTCCAGGAGCCCAACTCGCCGTTTGCCTTGTGTGTTCCACTCGAGTGAGTGGCGTGTAATGTCTCCCGGTGGTTTTCGGAGGGTATGTCCAATCCATCGCCACTTTAAGTACGAAAACAGAATTATCTTGTTTGTCTGATGAGTAGATCTAGAACGTTTGAAAATGATGCAGGAGGGTAACAGAATTTACTCTGATGACAGTACTTATCAGGTCCAGCACAATACCCTGATAAAGGTATATAGCTTGATAAATACCTTGATCAAGGTATTTTATGTTATGAAAATACAAAAAAAATTCTAAAAAAAAAAATAAATAAAGTCGAGTTCTGAGTTGTTTTCAGTAAATTCACTCATGCATGTAAAGTAATCATGACAGCATAATTAAAAGAACGTCTCCTCACACGACATGCTTTTATACTGAATTCCTTGTGTTTGAGTACTTTACATATTGACCAACATATTGATTTTAAATTGTTCCAATCATAACTCCTGAGGTAGGGCATGGCCACAATAGGGAATCCAAGTTTTATACATTGAAATATATAAGGAAAAGCATTAAAAAATCTTTCGCTCAAGAACCAAAAGGCCAGAAAAGCTGAAATTAATGTGGAAGCATTCTTGGGTAGTGTAGATTCTAATTTTTTTAAAAACATAACCCCCAGGGGTAGGGCGGGACCACAATAGGGAATCCAAGTTTTGTATTGAAACAAAGGGAAAAATCTTAAAATATTCTTCTCAAGGACAACTGGACTAGAAAAGCTGAAACTTATGTTGAAGCATTCTAGGGTAGTATATATATATTTATATAGTCCAAATCAAGACCTCTGAGGGTAGGGTGGGGTAGGTATAACAAGGGGAAAATCTGGTAAAGAACGGCATGGCTCAAGTTACTCATGTGAGCAATGTGGTCCATGGGCCTTTTATTACGATCTAGTATTGCATAAAATAGTGTCATTTTAAAACACTAAATTTAAGGGACTCCGATCCTCAGCCAGGAAGGACAACTCTTTAAATTACAATTTAATTTAAAAAGTCTCAAAATGAGGCTTGAAAAAATCTTTTCATGCAACAATTTTCATTATATACCTCTCAAGTTCTCCGAAAGGTCTAATTAAAAGTCGAAA